GGTCTTGAGCGATGGTCTTGAGCGATGGTCTTGAGCGATGGTCTTGAGCGATGGTCTTGAGCGATGGTCTTGAGCATTTCAATATATATACCATACTTTGAATTTCCGAACACAGACCATACTTTGGATTTCCGAACACAGACCACACTTTGGATTTTAGATGCACAGCACACTTTGGACTCCTGATGTGCCACGACTTTCCACTTACCCTCCATCATGACGCAGACACGCCAGGATGCGAACCGACTCTCGCTCGTTTGTGAACCCCTTGATTGCGTTCCATCGATATTTGCCTCTCGAACGCTCCCCCTCAGTGCCCGACTTTACTGAACAACAATTGACAAATTCATCACCTGCTGTAGAAGTCAAAGAACGCTGCACATGATCCGAAAGACAGTTCAGTATATTCATGTCCCCTAGAGACATGAACATCGGGGCTCTCCTATGACTGCTAGACACTAGACTTGTTTACGGGTGTCTTTGACCTTGTCCCCAAATCACTAGATTGAAAGTAGAGTAATATTGTCCATCTGAAAGACAATTCGAGTCCGAGACCAAAACTAGGATCTCGTAGGAAGAATTCCGAGTCTCAATTTGTTTCCTGTAAGGCCTGCCATGTCCATAATCCTGGAAACCTGCTATTGGCCATGGTCTCTTCTCTTTTTGCCTTTAATGCTTGAAAACTCGCATGAAACATCAGAGTGATCATCAATCGTTCCGGTACGCAAACCGTCATCATCTGTGCTACAATCTACTGCTCCTTCCTCGGCAGTTTGATTGGTTTCAGAGGGCCCAAGATTCTAACTACGGACACTTACCCTACACCACTGCTCACACATAGATCTACAGCGATCGATCCTCACGCTTACGTCTCTATATAGTCAGAGACGGGGTCGGGGGGTTTTTCAATTGAACTCTAGTCCTCTGGCAAGAATAGGCTCGAGAAGAGTGGTTGGGACAAACGTGGTAGCCGGCATGATTAATTACGTCAATTATAGATGGTGAGTCGCACATTGAAATATCTCACGCTAATAGTGACGAGGCCAAACAAGTGAATGGTAGATATTAATTGAATGGAAATACTGATAGCATGAAAGCATTGATTACAAGAGAAGACTAATAGCAAGAACAAATAATAGGATAGAAGGGATGAGAGAAGAGAAGTAACAAAGGCAGACTGACTACAGGAGAGAACAAAGGAGGAAAGAGAAGCGGCTAGTGAGAGAGACCCTAACAAAGGCCGACAGTGCACAGAGAGTACACCTTTCAAGTATAACTGTAGAAAGGAATGGCTGTATGAAAGACGAACCGTGGAAAGAAGAGGCTGGGTATACATCCTAAAATCAGCCACCGCGACCCAGGTGCCATCCCTTTGTTGAACTACCCTAAACCAACTCTCAAGGTCGGGGGTCGACAGGCTGAAGATCATGTACTAGAGATCCTCAAAAGTTTCATGGAACGAATACTCGATCATATTGCGGCGCAGCGCTCTCTCCACACGAGCCATTGTCATTCGCTTACTGCCGCCAGAGAAGATCTGCACGTTGTGAGAAGGTAGCAACGATCAAGGAAAGGAGATTGACTTACACGCTCAAATGGGTTCTGAGAGAGATGGGTCAAGATAGGGGTCATGGTCGTTGCAAAGTTGATGACCCGGGTTTGGGTGAGCTGCGGATAGTCTTCCTCTCGAGCCTCCTCCCTCCATCGATGCTGAACCCGAGCGACCATTGTTTGAGCGGAGCAGTTGAGGTATATTGTGGAGTATCTTGGAGTGATCTAGGTAGGCCTTAGCAGACGTAGACGAACAGCGGGGGATGCCTTGGACTCAGACCTCTTTCTCGAATTCTCGCAACTCGTCCATGGTCGCGGGAAACCCGTCGATGAGGATACCCGAACCATCTGCCTGTCGGAGCCTGTCTTTCAGTAGGCTGATGGAGAGGTCCAACGGGATTGGGCGACCGCGACTGCGATTGGTGTTGATGGTGATGCCACGGTCTGAGCTGGGGTTGTTGGCCTCCTCCTCGATTAGACTAGCCAGTGAGATATGTTCAAAGCCGTGGGTCGCAGACAACCGCTCGCAAACGAAGGTTTTGCCGGAACCTGGTCCGCCTATGAGTAGAGTTAGAACAAGGCAAGGTTTCCTAGGTACAAAGGAGGAGAGGGGTAGAGAGTGTATCATTGCCACGTACCAAAGACGAAGTAGATGGGGCCTGCGTTCTGTATCTCCTTGACAACAATCCAAGAGTCGAGGATGGAGTCGGCTATCACTTGGAGCCATTCGCTGCCGATGCAGAGGCGGAGCCGCTCGATGAAGGGGTAGGAGTAGATCCGTTGGGCTCTCTTCTCGTGCATGAAGGCTCGGTGGAAGCGTACGAGGTCTCGAATTTCGCGGAAAAGCTGAGACAGGATTGTTTCATTGGCACCGTACTCTTTCCAAAGATTGAAGAGGCCTTGGGCTAGTGCGGGGTTTGAGGGTTTGAGACGGGTTTCGAGGTAGAAGATGGTCTCTCTCTCTTCCCATTGTCTTCGGTCTAAGAAAAGGATTAGTGTGTGGTCTGGACGTCGGGACTGGGACACGTTCTTTGGGGAATTGTTTCGTCATTGGCTACCACCTGGTTGAGATCATGGATCATGCACATCATGACGAGCTTGTTCACGTCCTTGTCCTCAACCTATACAACAGTTAGCCATGTCAAACCAAAGTGGGCAAGCACTCACGTCAGGGTGTAAGTAACAGATTCGCACCATCAGATCGGTGTGGATCTGGAGGAGCTCAGGGGGAGGGACCTGATGTCGGCGCAAGGTAGCTTCTCTGATCTGCTCGGCCATGTAGCGAGCCTCGCGGAAAGGGAGAGGCACCGTAAGGTACGACATCGTGGAGAGGACGCTCTGCAACGTGCCAGACGGCCAGCAGGAGTGTGGTGAAGAGGAAAGAGAAACAGCCGCAGCTGGGAAAGGGAACGAGATCAGTTCTTGCGTCCCAGCAAGACCCCGCACCGGATGAAAGTTGAACCGCAATATCGCAATGGCTGGCATCGGAACAGGTTTGGATATCGAGGAGCCCAAGCGGGGGCAAGCTGTTAGATAACTTGGGATACTCTGGTCCAATTGGTTGCAGGGCGGGCTGAGTGCATGGACTAGACCTTCAGCTGATGCAAGGAGTCATCCGTCCGACCAGAAGTGCAGTTTCTGAGATTATGCTTGTGGTAGCACACGGCGCACGGCACAGGGGCACGGGACTGACTGTGCTGATGCACATTCATCGTGGGTTTGGGTGATAGCCATCGGGCATAGCTATTCCCCAACGGCGTCTGATTGGACAACGGCCTGTGGGAGATCGGCGTATAGGGCCTTACAGGGACATCGGCGGTTAGTTATGGAGATTGCCCTGGCATTATTCCCACCAGCTTAGCTTCCGAAACGCTTGGGAACGGGGCGGCCAGGGCTCTATTGATCTAGGGGCATTAGTGGCAGCAGTTGGTGGGTGTTTGTGCTGCATTGGGCAATCTTTAGTGCTCGCCTGGTGGTATCGATAAGCAGCCGAACTCCACTGGAGGGGCATCACTGGGCCCAGGCGGAGGCCAGAAACCACCCCAATGTTTGGCCAGAAGAATAACATAGTGCCCTTCTTCGTCTATGCTGTCACTTCACCCTGACCACTCGGGCACGCATACAATCATCCCGGAAATCCATCCACGCATGAGAAGAAATCTTGATTCATGCACTGAGTCGGCTTGAAGAGAATTTCAAAGGAATTAACTGCCTCATTTCTGCGGTCGCACCAGTACGTACTTCATCCCGGGCACCCACACACCCAACATATACCAGAAATCCACTGACATGCAACATCGCGTTCACAGAAACCAACAAGCATGCCACCCCTGGTCAGACTTCGCCGGGCCAAAGGGCAAGATCTGCCTCAGATGCTCGAGGTCGAAACATCGGCGTTGGTGGACGACGAAGTCACCGTTCGCTGCCTTCCTGATTATTTCACACCTGCTGGAGGCCAGGTCCGGATGCATGGATACCGCGAAGTCCTGCACGAAATCACCGTGGCCGAACTAACGGACGATCAAGGCCGCAGCACTGGCAAGATCCTCGGTTGGGCCCGTTGGGTGCGTCGCCTAGCCCCCACAGCACCATCCCGATCATCCATGCACCGACAGCGACCCCTGCGACGTGTCGTGCTCTACCCTGACGGCTTCCCAGCCAACGGCGACCGACTCTTCGCAGCCGGCTACTTCCAAGCCAACCTGGATAACAAGGCAGAGATTGTTGGCCAGCAGCGCCACTGGTTTCTCAGCACCTTGTTCGTACGCCGCGAGGAGCAGGGGCGAGGGGTGGGGAGTATGTTGATCAGCGTGGGCACTGAAGCTGCCGACAAGGAGGGGTGGCCTGCCTACCTCAACTCCTCACCGGTCGGAAAAAGCCTGTACGAACGCCATGGATTCCAAACAGTGCGAACCAGTTGGTTTACAGAGGAGACCACCACATACCACATGCTGCGAAGAGCCGTGCCTGGACGGTGCGAGGACGGGCACAGGAAGCACAGGAAGCATGGGAAGCACGGCGGCAAGTAATGCATGTAATTGTAACTAGCCACTATGTGACACTGCACCAACGCAGGAGTCAGGATGTAGGACCACCCAGGGACTGTCCAGGGACGGCGGCAAGGGAGCACGCAAACCCCCGTTGTATCGGGTGTGACGAGGCCAGGGTGACGGCCGCAACAATAGGCAGACGTACAGGACAATAACGAGTCGTGCTTTTCCCTCTGGCCCTTCCCATGATGCGTGACCCCTCTGCACCTGAGCGGCAGATTATCTGCCGATGCCTGGAAAAACCTTGACCGTCGTGGCGGGAACTTACACGCACCCGTCTTATCAATTTGCTGCGGCAGGTGCCCGAGACGCTCCTTCCTCCTCTCCTCGTCTGCTTTTCTCGGGTACAGTGTGTATGTGTATCATTTCGCTTTCCTGTGCTGTGTTGCACAACGGCCGGCTCGCAACTTTTCCACCCACTCACCTGCTCAGCAGCCCATCCCTCTGCCTTTTCTTCTGCCTCTCCCACCCAATCGTTTTCCCATAGACACAAACCATCCAGCATCGATCACCCACCTCCGTGCCTCTCACCGCGTTGGCCTGAGAGCAACCATTTGCGTCGCCCCCACGGCCCTTCACTTACACAATGTATGGCTCCCTCACCACGACCAGCAGAGTCCCAAAGTGCTAACCACGTGTCAGACAAACGAGACGACATCATCAGCCAAGTGCGAGCCTTTAAGTCGTCGGACAGCCTCTGCCATCTCCCGCCACCATGGATGTCGAGGCGACTATCGAGTCGGTTCCATACGATATCATGTTGGTCATTGCCGAGCTGTGCACAAGAGATGTCCGACCTCTGGATAACGGCCCGCCATCCTCGTACGCCCGTTACCACGCCGCCATGGCTCGCACAAGCAAGTATTTCCACAGCATCCTCAATCGCGCGCTCTACGTCCGCAACATCAGAAAGGACCCGCCCGTCGATTCCTGCGTCCTCTGGGCCGCTCGCAAGGGCAACCTGGGCACCATCCAGCGCGCCCACGAATACGGCGCCGACCTCGACGCAACCGGCGCACGAGACGAGACCGACTACGACAAGAGCTGGGCGTCCATCCCTGGAAGGATCCGTTACTTTGCCTCTCCGCTGCACCTTGCCATCAAGAACGACTACCCCTCCATCGTCCAATACTTGCTCTTCAACGGAGTCGACGTGCATTCGCAGGCTCGGAACCTTTGTGGCTGCCAGGAACCTCCGTTCTCGGGCAAATGCTACCCGCTGCATATTGCTCTTGCGTATGAAGATGAGGAGGGCTCTGGTACCGACTACGCGGGCCTGCTCGTGCAGCACGGTGCCCACAAGATCGCCGACGACGTCCCAGCGCTGGCCGATCTCGCTCGCGCCGGTCGCTTGGACCTTGTTGACACCTTGATTCAGCGTGAAGACCACTTCTCCGTCACCGCTGCCCTCCATTATGCCATCTCCAAACAGGATCTTGGCCTCGTCGACAACATACTCGCCCGAGACGGTGCCGACGCCGGCGCAAAGAACTGGAAGCGATACGGCCCCCTCCACATTGCCATCTCGGAAGCGACCGATGATCTGTCAATCATCAACCGCCTTCTTCAGCGACCCGAAGTCGACGCCTCAGATGTGACCCCAGGATGGGAGACACCCTTGCACATCGCGGCATCCAAGGGCCGGACTGACATTGCGAACGTCCTGCTCGAGCGATCCGACGTGAACCCCGTCGCGGAGACTCTCACCGGCCTCAATGCGCTGCACCTCGCTGTTCAATCCGGCCGCAAGGACATGGTCGATGTCGTCCTTGCTATCCCTCATTTCCCGGTCGGTGCTGTTGACGCCGACGGCATGAGCGCTCTGCACCATGTTTGCCGCACTCGGGAGGATACCGACGAGGCCCGGGCTATTCTTGAGTCGCTGATCAGCCACCCGGACATCCATCTCGACCTCGTGTCTAACCATGGCACACCCCTCTTCATGGCGGTCAAGAACCGAAACTTTACCATCGCTGCCGCCCTCGTCCGAGCGGGAAGCAACATCAATCCCCCATCCCCCGCGCAAGCCCTCGCAGCCCCTGCATCCCTTCTACACGAATGCCTCCTGAGTTACTCGGAAGGCCAGGCTGAGCTTGTTCACGAACTCATCCAACACGGCGCAGACGTCAATCTGATGACCCCTTTCCACGGAAAGGACGCTACCCCCTTATTCTTCGCCGCCGCCTTTGCAAACAATGTCGACGCAGTCAGGATGCTGCTCGAGGCCGGCGCCAACATCCACTGCCTCGTCCGGGATCTTTGGGTCCCCTTCGAGAGCTGCATGACCCTCATCACCGCCATCCTCGAGACGTTCTTCGACCGCTGCCACCCGGGCCACCTTAGAAGGGAGTCCATCGGCGCCCTCAGCGCCTGCCTAGAGCTGCTCCTCGAGTACGGCGCTGTCCTCGGCCTGCCGTCCCGCCCCTCGGAGGACAACTTCCACTCCGCCCTCCACTGCGCCATGCAGATGACCGCCGCGGGCTACCAGGACATCCTGGACGTCCTGCTGAGGCACTCCGAGGCTAGGAACATTAGCGAGGACTACCTCGACGACTTCATCACCGGCCAGATTGACATGACCCGGCAGGGACTCATCCCGCGCGCGTCGCTGGAGAAGCTGATGGAGTTTAGAACGCGCATCTTCCCGCGCAAGAGGTCCCAGAGCTGGAACGACTCGAGCTACGCTGACCTACTCATCAGCAACTCGCTCCACTACGACTTTTGAGGATTGTCGCGGCATGCACGCTCTGGGCTGCACGCTCTGTCACGGCTCTGGGTTGCACTCTCTGGGCTCTCATGTTTGCAATTTTTTCTTCTCTTTCTTGTTTGCAATTTATGATTGGCACCGACTTGGTCGTTTGTCAGCTGGAATGTCTCAAACTTTGCGGGTTGTTTTACAAGTCACCATGATTCCTACCATCTGTCTTCGTCTAAGGTCACAATCACATGCTCACTGTTTGCAAACATTTCACGAACTACACGGGGTCATTTCTTAATCATACTTGAATTGATGTCTCCCTAGGTCAAGTAGTACGTTGTGTTATCTGCCCAAGAGCAAAGCAAAGAATGAGAGGGCCCAAAAAAGTTATCTGCTGATCCACTGCATTTCCTTCTGTCCCTCGTCGCGTGCTTGAGCTCAAGTTTGCGTTAAACCACGATCCCGCACTCTCCCTCGCCGTCAATGACCTTGCCCTTTTCATAGGTCCTGCGCTTCCAGCCACTGGGGGCGGTAGGGTCCCGCAGCCACTCCCAGGTAGGGTAGTAAGGCTCATTCTTCTTCATGGTGATGACAAACGGGATGGCATGCCAGGAAACGGCGCGGATTTGGAAGTCTGTTTTGTTTTCAATGTCGTTAGCAAATGCCACAAGTAGCAAAAAATAAAATCGAGGATCAGCAGAAACGAATGGCCACTACATCATGGCAGTGAACTTACATGTGTTGTCGGGAATCGCATTGATCACTTCGAGGATCTTCTCGAGGGAGGTTATCTCCTCGTCGTTGATGTGGGTGATGAAATTGGCCGTCTGCATGCCGTAGAAGCAAGCTGGAGATCCGTAATACTTAGTTGAAACGAAGATCTCGCTTGGGACCCGGTGAAGAACCTGCCTGACGGCCAGCTGCGGCTTCTGGACCATCATCCCGCAGAAGCTCACGAAGTGGCTCGTCTCGAGTTCGTCTGCATCAAAAGTTTTGATCCGGAAGCTCATATACTCGCCGTCCCTGATAACCTCCACGTCAATTTCGTTGAGCCAGTGTGCCATGTCGAGTTGGTTGGCCTGTGTAATCAATTCGCCGTTCATGGTGAGCAAAATGTCCGCCTCATGGATACGGGGATCTCTGTCACCAAACACTCTCTTGGCGCCGAACAGCTGATGGGGACCATTGAGAGCCTCGACCCTCTCAATCCACTCGGAGGGCACGCCGTAGGCACGGGCGTTATACATGGTGATAATCTCAAACTCGGCGGGGAGAACGCGGAGAGAGGGGATCTGACCTTGACGGATGAGATCGATTACTGTTGTCATTATGTCGGCACCGATGCCAAAAGTGTAGCACCCGTTGTCCATATCCCAGGTCATCCACACTGCTTGGACCTCGCCTTTGGGTGATAGTAGCACGCCGCTGGTGCAATCTTTGCCGACGCGGGATTCGATCCCAATGAAGTCCACATTGATAGGCCTGTACCGGGGACCCTTAGTCGGATGGAGTGAGCAGATGTGTCTTCTTGTCACGGAAGTTGACGAATACAACAGCTTGTGGCTTCCAGAATGCCCTACAAAATAGGTGGGACGGCCTTGAGTAATCTTCTCATCGCTGAAGACGGCACTGAGAACAGGCGCATTCACGAGGCTGGCGTCGTACTGGACGACGCAGTAATTATGCGACGGGTGAAGGAAGAGCACCTTGCCCTCGACCATGATGGACTGCGCAATGATGATTTCCAAGTCGCACATAACGTGCGGGACCAAGGCCCGCGAAACCAAGACAAGGCCCTGGGCGGCGTCAATAACTAAACCCATGCCCGTGTTCTTATGGCCGAGGACAGCATCAACGTAGAAGGGTAGAATTGATGTGACTTGAACCCAGGTTCGCGCCATATTGGCAATCAACTCGTTGGGCACATACTCTGGCATGGGGAATGATGCTCGGCAAGGCACGGGAGGCGCCGGTGGGAGAGCTTCCGCAATGGTCTCAAAGTCCCATGTTCCAGTGGTATCGTTACGAGTAATCATCTTCATCTTGGCGGCCCAATGACGATTGACTGTAATGACGTTAGTGCGCAGTCGGTTCAAGTCATTAAGGTCCCGGAATGAGAGAGGAACTCGGGTTCGGTCGGGAATCTGCTTCATAATAGAAACAAATGTGTCTAGGTCGGGCGTCCGCTTGTTGGCCACGCGCTCGATTAACCAGCCATTTCTACCGCCGATATCGAGGAGCCCAGTCTCGCTGGCGTAGACACCCTTGCATCGGACCACGTATCTGTGTGCCATCATATAGGACAGGTCGTGGAAGCATCCTCCGGCGACGGAAAGGAAGCGGTTGGGTGTCGTTTTCTCCAAGTCGTCAACGAGAATCTCCTCGTGCACCTCCTTTCCAGCGCGAAGCACATGGAACTTGACCACCTTCTCAACGTTATCATTGAGCGTATTGTCAAACACGAGGAAATCCACCACGAGGGTGCCGTTGATCTTGAGAAGAATGTCGCCCTCTTTGAGCTTCTCATCTGCGGGGCCTCCAGGCAGCGTGTCTTGCACAAAGAGCATGCTCGTCTGTTTGGGGAACTGCTCTCGCACATGGGACTCCCAATCTGCAGTCAGTCCCAAGCGGCGACACTCTTCGAATGTCTGGAGCCTAAAACAGGTTTGGATATCGCCTCTTTTGGGGATCCTTCCGGCTTGGAGTTCGCCCAGAGCACGCAGCGGCTCGTGAAGGGGCAAGAAGTAGTCTGTCGAAGCGCCGTCGGAGCGACTACCTGCCTGTAGCGCAATGACTTGACCGCTGATGTTGACAACCGGACTTCCAGAGCTTCCGCCGCTTGCTGCCGCATTTGACTGGTAGTAGGCAGTGTTGAAGTCCCTGTAGAGACCTGAGTAGTTGGGGGCGTTGCGGTCAAGGCGGCTGATGAAGCCAGAGAGAATCCCGAGGGTCTCGCCTCCGTCATTGCCAATGACCTTGATTTCAGCACCAACTATGCACGCAGAAATTGTTAGCTACTTGTTGTTTTGTTGAGATGTTCGGTGTGGTGACTTACCTCTGGCCCTCTCCGGGTGGAGGTCTAGAGCTGCCAGCTTCATGTACTTGACCTCCTTGGGATCAAAACGCAAGATCCCAAAATCGTGGATCGGGTCGCGGTAGAGCGCGCGGGCGTCTGCCTCTTCCTTGTTGTTGAAGATAAGGTGACCCCAGAAGGGTCCGGAACCCACGACGTGGCGATTGGTCAGGACCCATCTGTGTTTCGTGTTGTATTAGCATCTACAAACCAATTCACTACATATTGATACACCGTGCATAACTGCAGATGGGAGACTTACCCTCGTTCGGCATCAACGATGAAGCCTGTGGCCTGGCTTGTGTGGGTAGAATCCGTGTCAAAGGACAAGGGCCGAGTGTAATGGATGGAGACGACGCTGTCGGCAACTTTGGCAATGGTCTTTTGCCAGTTGGCGTCTCGGCCGTACCCTGGGTCAAAAGGCAGATCGGAATCTGACTCAGAAGAAGAACTCTCTGAAGAAGTTCGACCGAAAACAATTCTCCTCGCGGCCGGAGGCATAATGGGCCGATGCTGTTCCTGCTCTTCCGGAGGCGAGGCAGGGGCTGTCTCCGGGGGAGTGACCTCGGCACCGTGAGGCAACATGATGTTGGATCAGGACTTTGGTGATGAGGGATGGGCTGTAGGTGTAGAGTGATGACAAGAATAAAGGGCCAGAGCAGTCGCTTTAACAGGGAGAAAATGCCCAGCTTGTGCTCAGCCCCAAAGTAAGCAGGACCGTTTCTGCCTTACGGGCGTCAATGGTGCGGCCAAAAGAAAGAAAAAGCAAAGGTGCAAATTATGTTGGACAAGGGAAAAGTTGAGAACTGAGGAGAAAACAAGCTGACGCCGGGCTTCGTTTTGGGAAATTTGGGCGAACGTGCATGAGGAAAGAAGAAGACAGGCGTGACTGGGCTGGAGCTGCATTGCTTAGGCCACACACCTGCTTCCTGAGGCACCTGTTCCAGCTGGCCACTGCAGTTGGTGGCACTGTGACCAGCCAGTTAACTGTTGGTGACAGCGGTGCAGTCTTCCGTACATCAATGCATGGCAGCCTATGTGATGGCCCCCGGCGGCCCAGCCATCTCACCTGGGAGGTCAGATGAGACACGGCTCGGTCCCTTGATAATGTGCACTTGCATCTAGCTGGCTAGATCCTGGCCAGCTGAGGGGTGGATAGTTCCACTTTGCTGCCTCACCCCAGCAGTCACTTCCCTATTGTTCATTGCCCAGCGATAATACTCATTTTGCAAGGGAGCGGCCGATCGTAACCCCTCTTAAGGCATCGATTGCTGGGGCTGAACTGCTGAAGCTCAGTTGCCTCTTGCCCCACGCTACATATCACATTATGAGGGGCTCGAGCACCAGCTTTACATTAGGGATCACCGAGAGTCAGCAGCAGGCTGACCATGGTCAGGATTCCTTCCTTTTTTAGGCAATGAGCTGCAGCACAGCATTGGTAGGCGTCACCTAGTGTCATTTACCATTGGTATTAATTCTCAATCATCCCTGGGACAGGAGTACGGCGTACGAGTCTATGGAAAGTCCAGAATCTGAACGCAGCCAGCCAGCCTCAGGTTTCGGCAAAACTATTGAACAATGTGTAATTCTGTGCCCCGCCAAGTGATGCAGCAAATCGATCAGATCCCAGTCAGAGCTGGTCCTCGCCTGGGCGGTAGGCAGCAGTGTTGAACAGGGGGTGGGCAGACTCGCTCCGTTGCACACTTTGCCAGCCTTCATCTAGCCTTTTTGAAATAACACTCATGGACAGGAAAGAATTAGAATAATTTTGATCGAAAGAATTAGGACAATCTTGATTAAAAGACTAGGATAATTATGACTGAACACTCATTATGCCGCGCTAAGTTCTACTTGGATGTAGGGCGGACAATTTGTCGTAATCATCCCAGAGGCGGATCAGTCCGATCGTAATAAAGATAAGAAATTCCAAGGATTGAGACACACCGATAGGGTCTGGAAAAGAGAACATCCTCCACATACTGTTAGTTTGACATCTTAATTTTCACCTGCTCTCCCCTGCTTCTCTCGTCTCCTTCATGCAAACTGCGGGAACCAGTTGCTTATATCCCTATCCCAGGGTGCTATCTCCATACCAAGAGGCTTGGAAAAAGAACGATTGTTGAGCCAGGAATCTTTCATCCATTTCTGCCATTCGGCATAATTGCTGAAGAAGGGCTCCGGTACCAAACAGAACCATTCTGTTGGAGAATGGCGCCAGTGACGGTAGATTGGGTTGATCGGCTTGTCTTCTCTTGGGGCAGCATAGAGACAATTTGGCCTCCGTGTAGCGACTGCGTGCTCAAAGTCGATGATCACCACCTTGCCAGCAGTGCGGTCACTCGTTGCGTCTGTCGCAGCTGAAGAGGATCCGCGCAGTATCACATTTCTCGGGAATGGATCGCGATGGGAGACACCGGCAAACTGGAGAAAGGCCGTGGCCTTGAGAACATCGTTCAGAACGTAGAGTCGCTCTTGAGGCGAAAGAAGTAACTCCACCTTCACCCTGAAAATTTCCTCAAAGTCGAGTCCCTCAATATACTCCATCAAAATCATCCTGACTGGCCGTGTGTTGGCACTCTGGTCGCGACCCTTGAGCCAAGGCAGCTTGAGGAAAGGCAGGTTGAAGGTCCATGAACCATAGTATTTTGGGCTGAACGTGCCATCGTATCCGAATCGCTTGATGTCTTCGTACGCGGCTGCCTCAGTACTGTACGAGGCGTCGGCGGCCCATGTCACATCGAGCGGGTACTCAGCACTGAAAGCCGGGTCGTATGCCTTGGCCATGTAGACTTTCTCTTCATCGCCGTCCAACTGGCACTTGAAGACCTGGGAGCGCCTGTTATAGCCCCCAGAGATGAGCTGCAAAATCTTGAGCGAATGTTGTTGTGCACCCTCTTTCGGCTGTGTTTCAACCTGTGGATACTTCAAGCACCATCCCAGCTGACCTGACGCCATGACCTCTGCTTCTGGTGCTGCCTTTCGGTACCAGGACAGGTCATAGAAATCTGGCCTGAATGGTTCTGGTGGAATGTGTTCGGTGATGGCTAGGACGATGCCGGGACGATAAATTCTTTGCAGGAGCCCAGGAGATACATGTTGGACGTATCTCCCCCGCGTCGCCATTTTGTTTCCGGCTGGTGGGAAACCGTCCCTTTCGTCAAAGTTGGGTTCTAGTGCTTGATCTTCAGCCATGATGCGATCTGATGGATCCTCGGGTTTCGAGGGAAAATATCACGAAGGGGCATACCTCAACATGAAATGCGGCTCAGAACGATGCAAGTTGGTCTCTTGAATGTAGCGGTGCCTTAGAGCGCGCCTGGGTAGGGAATACTAGGAAGACTGTCGATTGATGTGTTGGTGTAGCAGGAAGAAAGACGCGTCTCCACGTACGTACCTACCTCCCCTATTAGAGGAGTGCCTGGCGGTTTTCACCCAGCAGGCGTGCAACCCGTGCGACCTTGACTGACCACTCATGGCAATCAAGAGCTCGGGACTTCGGAAAACGTTAGTTTGGTTTTCACAGGGGGAAAAAAGGAAAAAAGATATATTCTTGTATTTGCTTTTCTTTTTTTTGTCGTCCGTATACTCCAACGTCATTCGAGGAGGGTACTCACGCATGTAGCCATAGACAAGCTTATACAACGAACTACAATCTAATAAGGCCTATGAATGGTTTAAACGTAGAAATTTCCATTAAGGAGGGAAAAAGGACTTCTAGTGTGTTGAGCTTCTGCGGCAATTGCACTGAATTCCATGGATATTGTTTGGGGGGAGGAAGAGCGTCAACAGTTACACTCTACAAGAATCCTATCGCTCTACGTTTACAATCCACATTTAAGAGCAGGCAAACAAAAAGCAAGGTACATACAACAACCGGGACTCGCTAGTCGTTACATCCAGCTACTAATCGGCCCCTTACTAGCTTAACGTTCGGAGAGCAGACGGGATCCAGTGCTTCCTAGTAGGTATGTCCGTATGTAAATGAGCGGGTGGTTACTTTCTCACTTACCGTCTGTCGATCTGGTCCAGGGTGGTAGTGACTACTTAGGTAGGTAGTGGGAAGTTAGTGACGATGTTGACTCACAGTGGTGAATTTTGGCCCTGCATTCCTGCTCCCCAATAGCTGTGGCCTCCCTGCTTCACTGCATGTTCCTCCACCTAAGTATCCAGTGACCAAGTAATCTTTCCTTCCTCTGCAGTTAATGGAGTTGTTGTTGAGTTTACAATTCAATATCTGCAGCCAAAGGATGCTTAAGCGACACATAAATCAGAGTACTGCTATCGTAGATTGCTCTTCCTAGACATGAGTCGTTAGTCTCTAGATTTAGTTTGATAATTATACCCGTTAGCCCGAGTTCTAACGATCACTTTGAGTGCTTAACGACAGACAAACAGTAAACAGAGTAATGGACCAGAGGATCGAGTGGTCAACACGCCTGGAAGAGTGACAGAGCGAGCTGTGCAGAGATTTCCCCATATGCAGCATGGGTAACTCTCCGACGTGCTTATACATAGAAGAGCAGGACTCAGAGTATTTGTAAGTGTCAAGACCTGGACTCCTGGTCTCAGGCAGATGCGTTGGGGGGAGGAGGCGGGTAACGTGGGGGTGTAGAAGCAAACCGTCCCGAAGCGCCGCTAATCTTCAAGCCAGACCGCATGTGCCTGCAGCAGAAACAAAACATATAAAACTAGAGATCCAGCTCGAACGTGGATCTTTCGGTATCGAGAGTGGAGAGATGCGTCGCGGAAGGAATGAAAAGGGGCGCAGATATGCCGCCGGCATAACCCTAAATAGATCATCCAGGTCGTCAAGCGAATAGAATCCCTTCCTAGGCAAGATTTAGCTTCAAGTTCCCGAAAAATCATATTTCAATCTAGAGAAGCGCCACTTAGCCGAAAGCTAAGATTTAAGGGAAGTGCCACAATGCCTAGGACGCATAAGAGCCCAGTAGGCAACTGCAATACGAGCTCCTTGAAACACAATCAAACGGTGGTTGTGTGAGACGTTGCTAGGTTAATACACTCATTAGTTGCAACATTCTTCTTTCGAATCAGGTCAGCTGGCTGTGGCAAAGAGATCTATCCTTTTGAATCAGTTTAGCTAGCTCCGGCAAGTCAAGTCTGCCAGGGCGGCTATCAAGGATCTATGATCTGGTCGTTGACAGGCACAAATAGCTGTATGAGTTTATTGAACTTTGGTTTTTCTTCTAATCGTATCGGGGGCGGCGACGACGAATCTTTTTGCTTCTAACAGCTCGGGCGAGGGAATTGTCTTTATCGGACAAGGACGAGGTTGTTTTGTTGTTTTGTCCGTTGCTAGTACTAGGAGTAAACGAGTGTTTGACGAGCTAGAAGAAACTTTATGTCAGTTCGAGTAGACAGGCTGTTGATACATGGGCTGCATACTACCTGCTGTATGGTGAGGTTTCAATGGGTAAAATCACCGGAGGCTGGTGATAAAGTGTCCGTGAGAGGAGCTTTTAGAGTGAGTGATTTGCAAATACGTCCTTGCCGTGTGTGGCTCGCGTGAATCAATCCCGTGAGTAGGCGCCCTAATTGTCCACGAGGGAAGATATAAGCCACCGGGCAAGTCAGAGGAACTCACGCAGCCGTCTGTGTCGGCAAGTCCGCATATTCTGCTAGGCGAAAAGCTATTAGACCAGTTGATGACAAAGAAAAGCTCATCTCGACAGATGCTTTGTAAAGACCATCCCATGATCTGTAGAGATCAGCTCGGATAAAGGGAATCGTTGGTGTGCCGCGGCCTTGTTGTCTTCAAGGCAGAAGTACCACGAGGAGGAGGATCGGATCTTGTTGGCCTTGAGAGATAAGCATTCAGTCAATGCTAATGAAGTATGTGCCCCAAGAAGCGGGGGCGGAGGAGCTTGTCTCGGACATCTTACTCTGGAAATACGTGCGTTTCGCTGAATTATAGTGAACGTGGTTAGAGCTCTTTGGGATGTTTTCGAGGAGGTTTGTCGGATGTGTATATCGGTTGGTTTGAACTCATGGACTCGTAGATTGGAAAGCGAGGCGGTATGGAGATGCCGATTGTGCTGGCCTAGTTCGGTTCAGGGACGCCATCGATATCGAAGAACGCCGTCGCGGTCCGACGATGTCAAATCTTGAATGTGAAAAGCTGACGAGAACTTGTTTGCGAGTGGTTCCCTGGAAGGCTTGCGGAGGCAGGCTTGAGTGTACCTGATGATGCACAGGGACTGGTTGTCAAGGGACGGCTTGACTGCACCTTTCCATTGATGCCTGAGGTTTATCCTTAGGGGCACCTAACTCGTTACATAGGTACCTGTACAGGTATTTAGTGGGTGGGATTAGTTATCGTAGGGGCAAATATACTGATGTGGCCGTTTCCCCTGACTTCTACAGCGGCTCAGTGGTCCACATCTACGGTACATTTATTATCACCCAAACAACAGATTTCCGGCTCTGTATAAGTAAATATGGCCATATGAATGCTACAAGCACCTAGTAAGGTAAGTGATTGCTGTCAGTGCGCCGTTGCATCTCCTAGAGTTGACTTACATAGCGTAGGTGAATAGATTCCTAGCCACCTAGTACTTTGTCACTGGCTCAGATGATCGATGGTAGAATTTTCTTTCTTGCCTACCTACCTACCTACATAACTGCTATCATCCATATCAAAGCCAGCTCCTTGATGGACCCAATTCATTCCATGGCTAGTTCTCTCCAACATATGCATAGCCTCGGTCGCAAAATTTGTCCGAGTCAAGATATCCCAACAGCGAGAACGACAAATATCTGTTTGTGGTGAGAGAGAGGTGCTCGAGCTATCCTTTCGAGATTGGCCATACACTTTTAGAGTGACTCAACATGACGGTCGGTTACGCGCTAGATCACTTAACTTAATAGAAAGTTCATATTTTTCGAAACATTGCTACAGTAAGAACCAGCAAAACTTCGGATCGCAGGAGCCTTAGTTCGCGGCATGCAAAGATGAGAAGATCTGTATCCCCCGAGACCGAATCTCAGGGAACAGAAGAGTGATTATAGCAGCCGACAAACCACACCCTGAAGCCTAAGTCAGTGTTGGGTAACTCGGTCTACTGCGTTTAGGCTGCTTATTCAGGGCTGTCGATATGTGATGGCCAACTGGAATTACCATAGGCTCATTTTCCGATGGTACTTTGAATCAAACAGCGAGGTGGGTGTGTTATAATCCCGATCGTTCTACATAGCTCGTATCTGCCGGATCTTGAAATAAGAGAGAGACGTCGGTCTGCACTCGCGTAGGACGTGCGCTAAATTTAGGAATATTGTATCCCTTTCTTTTACAACAGATACGTAATTGAACTTCGCTCCCCAACTCAATGATAAGCTATTTTTTTTAGCTCTTGGTCAAAGAAACATACACTGAACTCCAATGGAAGCCATGTCTCATAGATAAGTTTAGATTTAGCCCTGACTCAAGTATAACCGATACTCAGACGAAGCAAGAGGTCTATCTACTTCGGATATTGTCTAAATCATCTCTTAGCTCTCTCAACAATCTATTAGCCACATTCCCAATCGCCTTGCAATTCCCATTCTGATTTGCATCAAATCTTGTGGCTCTTCGTTTTCCGTCCGGTATTTTATACAGCAAAAGCCTTCGCTATCACGGCGTCTGGCGTGCTTTGAAAGCCGCCAGCAGGAATTTAAAACACTCAGCTTGACCCCATATATGCCATTTCTATGCGTTCATTCTCCATTTGGGCCATTGTAACAGGATCCCATATATGACTCTTCAGTCCCAGACGCGCGTATAGAAATTGGTCAAGATTAAACTCTTGGCTCCCGTCGGAAGAATCCAAGATTGGCTGCTCGTCAATCTGGAGCGGCTGAGCAATCCCGTGACAAGGAGGAACCTCCTCCCAGACTTCGACGGCTCGAAGGTCGACTGAGACATAGTGTTCTCCACGTACTCTCCAAGTAAGGATTGCCTGGTTTTGCTGAATCTCATATCGCAGGAGACAGGCGGTGCCTGAAGAGTGGGAGCCAAAAATCTCCATCAACCTGAGGTTTGGCAGGTTCCCAGCTGCCCGTGCGGCCTCCTCTATCGCAACCTGGACATCCTCACTTCTCGGATCTCCCCCGGAAAACTCGGTCGAGCGAAGACACAAGCGCTGGAGGTTCTTCCATTTCAGCCGAGTCGGCACCTTTCCATGTAACATGTTCAGGAACGCAACAGAAGCTAGAAACATGCTTGCGTCCAGTTGGTAAACGGCACAGAACTCAGAGAGTTGAAAAGAAGTCTCGGTACCAGTCACGGCCACTGCCAACTCTACTGAACTGCCAAGATTTATGTCTGCCGACCCAAAAGTTGAAACCGTGTCCTGGGTCAGAAAGAGCCTTGTTAGGGAAGAAGGTAGGGCGGGTATGAGCTGGCCAATGTAGTCTAGTAAGTTAAGAAATCAGTGTCAATACAATGCCGGGTTATTCGTATTATTCGCGTACCTTGAATAAACGCCCTTTCTATTTCAGAATTGATTGCGTGTCTTCTTTCAAATCGGAACCATTCCACAGCTGTCAAACTCTTCTTGAAAATTTGTGCAAGCGACGCAGCATGAATACTCCTGTAAGCAGAGCGACGGAGAAGAAGCCCCTTCACTATGGGGGCTTTTTTCAGAGCGTCAGATTTTGGTGAAAGCCGGAGAGCTGTCCCATATATTCTTTTTAGTTGGCCAAGGAATGCCGCTCCATGTTTAATGTGATTCTCCGAAACGGAATTTCGAAGAGCATGACAGTTGCGGTGGTGCTCTCGGAGGTTTGGTGTTCTGTCGAGGTCTTCCTCAGTTAAGAATGGATACCTGGCCTCTGATGTGCAGAAATAGAAGCGATGTTCAACGTCACTAGGTGATAATGCACTGATCTCGAGAGTCAGACCACGGGATATATGCCTTGGCCTACCATCAATCTCGGGCTTCCAACAGGACAGTACCCCCAAAAGGTTGCTGATGCAAGACGAGAATATTTGGTTGTTTCTTCGGTAAAACCTGTTAGCCATCTAGATTGTTTAGGGAATCGGACCGGGCGTGTCAGGCTTACATTTCAGCCGTTTCCTCACTCTCCTCCGTCCCACAAACATCGCAGCCATATTTTGGCAACTCGATTCGAAGCCGTATGTGTTGTACGTAACAGAGCCTCATAGGTCTCCTGTTGATAGCCATTTGGAAAGTTGGAATGGTAGCTGCACGGAGTACCACCTGTTTGAATGTATATTCTTCGACAACATTCTGCCAAGCTTTACACACAGTTGCGAGGCGAGAAATCTTGCAGCTTGTTTGAGTACGCTCTTCTATGATCATCTCTTCTAAGATCAAGAGGAGGATCTCTCCAGGAAATAGAAGGCCGGCCATTTCTTCGAACACTGCAAAACCCGTTGTTTCGGCGATCTTGGCTTGTTTGTCCGCAAACGTATTCATTTACTGTAATACGTGCTGTAGCTTGAAAAACAAACTGGAATATCTTTTGTTCTTTACCCAACACTAAAAGAGAGAAAACGCTTACGAAGAAGCCATAGGAAAGGGGCAAGATTTTATGCGGTGCGAAGGTGGAGAAAAGTGCCATCGAAATTCATTCATAGCAGGATAGAGTTGAATCTATCGTTCTCGGGCACAAGTTCGAAAAGTTCCTTTTGTTTTGTAAACTTAGATCTTATTTACCGGGCGCTTTAAGTTGTGGCTGAGGTTGGTGGCGAGCGTTGAACAGTACTTGCATGAAGTTTATATCAACGAATGGGCGCGACAGGCACAGATCGAAAGGGCCATGTTATCACAAATTCGATAACTTGGAATCAAAGACTACCCGCCGTGGGGGCTTTGCCTGCTGCCTAAAATTAAAATTCCGCTGGTTGCTTTCCCGGGACAACAAGGAATCGATTCGAAAGAGAATGCCTTGGCCTGCACTACTGCATCCGCTCTCATCCCCCCTTTTTTCTTCATGGAACGAATTCGGCTCGACCTGGACGTTCATAAATCTTGTTGCTTCGCTTGATGTTGATTTCGATTCTTTGCCTTAGCTTGAAAATGGTACTCTTTGGACTCTTGGGAAGACCGAACATCTGCTGCTGTTTGTATAAATTGACCTCTGCTCTCCTCCACCTCTTGTGTGCAATCGTTTTGAATCCCATCCACATCTAAACTTTCAGTAACTAATTTCGAAGAACTCGTGACTGATGACTCTAAAAAATGGTGATTAACTAGCGTGGGGATATCAATTACGACAGCAACCATGCATGATGCATCCCATTGATCTTGACAACTCGCCACCAAGTACAATGTCGAATCTATTTCGTTGTGAGAAACTAGCCTCAGCACTCACTTGTTCCTCCTCTAGGCGTTCTTTTCATTCACAAGGACATATCTGAACCGCGGCCTGCCTGCCTTCAAGTCGAGGATGGCTTGGTTGGCGTCCTTGAGCGGCCGCAACTCTATCCAGGGCTTGACGCTCTTCTTGACCGCCAAATCGAGCATCTCTCTAATGTCTCCGGGCGACCCAATTGGACTTCCTCCGAGCTTAATTTCGTTGGAAAGGAGGGTGAAGACATTGATTGGAGGCAGGGCGCCACCATCAGGTGCACTATGACCGGTCAGCGTCAGCCTAAATAAATTAACTTTCATCCTGAAAAGCTTACCCAACTTGAATCAGACTGCCTTTAGTCTTGAGAAGTTTCAAGTACCCATTCATCGGCATCTTTTCGCTCGACACCGTGGATATGATGAGATCAAACTTCCGCCTATGTGTCTCTTCCCAGTTTGACTCGTCGTCGGTCGCGATATACTCATCGGCGCCGAGCGAGAGAACCTCGTTTCGTTTAGACTCTTTCCTTGAGATACCAGTAACTCTATCCGCGCCCAGAGCTTTGGCAAACAGGATACCAAAGTGTCCTAGACCGCCAACGCCTGCTATAGCCACGGACTTGCCAGGGCCACACCCGTTCATTTTCAATGGTCGGTACACGGTGATGCCCCCACAGAGCATTGGTGCGGCATGTTCGGAAGCCAGTTGGTCGGGGATTTTGATGACAAAGTGACCATTCGTCCGGTTGTAGTTTGAATATCCCCCGTAGGATATCCCCATGTCGTCGGGGTACCTAGCAGCATATGTATTAACCTGGCACCAGCGAGTTAGTCTTGATCTTATTATCAAAGTCACACTATTCCCATCGCCAAAGAGAGAAAAGGGGCTGGCCTACGTTAACATTGTTGCAGGTCATCTCCTCTCCAGCGGAACAGGCAGGGCAATCGGGCTGCAAACAGCTGAGGGACTGGGCACCGACACCGACGCGGTCGCCAAGTGTGATGTTCTTCACGTTGCTCCCTACCCGGACGGCCTTGCCAACAATCTCGTGACCGACACAGCAGGCTAGAGTGTCAGGATTAGCAAACACATATCTCCATGGTAGTAAACCAGGCTTGGGTATGTACACTTACGGTAGGGCACTTCTCCCCATCCAGAGGACAAAGTATGTAAGTCGCTGCCGCACATGCCGCAGTGCGTTACCTCGATGTCAACATCATCCTCGGTCCACTTCTTGGGTTCGAACTCTCCCCACTCCATCTTTCCATTAACGCTATCAGGATTTCGTCCAAGCCATCCTTCAAACTTATAGTCGGCGGATGCCATTCTGCCTTTGGTGATCGCCGTAGCCTTAATAGGGTTGATGTGGTAGGTAGAAAAGGCGCCCCAGTAAAGATTGGGATTGAAGCAACTGAAGGATGAAGAGATGGAAACGTATGACCACTGAGGGAACCCAGTTGTCTTATATACGCAGTACTTGAAGCGGTTGATTGTATCTAGATGTTTCATCTAGCCTGGCGTGTTATGCTAGCTCGCGGACGTTGGAGATAAACGGAGGAACAGGCGCTCGGGCACTAATGCAACTGGCTTACGGCCACGGTCCACTCTTGGACCGGTCGTTGAATCTAAGGCCAAGTTCGGCTACTAGTGGTGAAGAACATCCAATTAGCGCAATGGCTATCAAGGGAGCAGAGTTCTGTGAACCCAGAGGCTTGGCACCTGCGTCACTCCGAAACTCTAGGATTCGGCCCGGATGTTCAAGCAAATCTGCTGCCGGACTTTCGAAGTTATCTCCCCTTGCGTAGACTTTGAGGCCCATGATCTGTCATTGGAGCTCGTAAAGGAGTTGAGAGACGGCTCAACAAGGTTAGGCCAAGAACTTTCAATGAAGACCAGCATCGTAGACGCCAGCAGACGATACTCCTCCGCCATCCGCAAGGTATTTACCTTTCCAGAATGGTCCATCTTCGTGGCCTGATTCCACTCCTTCGTTGGGTGGATCGGTCTCCGGGTGGCCAGGCATTCCACAAGTAACCCCCTGGAGTTACTGATTCGTTAGTCATTGATCATGACGATAAGTCCCCAATTCAATTGGTCCAGCACAAGCTACCTCATGGTAATCGATATCGCCGTCAATATCGTGGTGGGTAGTGCCCTGACTAGGTACATAGCTTATACGGGGATGTCTCGATGGGTTTCAAGGAATGCGCCGACACGATTGTCACTCGTGGTATACAATGATATGTGATGGCTGGTTGGTCGTGGCTTATTGATATTGTTGAGTTGCGTTCCTGGGAACCCATAAAGTTCTTTTCCAGGCCGATAGTCTAGATGGTCTCTTAGGGTTCCTTTCCGACGGCGAGACCAGAAATGTGACAGTGGATGATGTCGGTCCTTGTTGTCAACTGCGGTGGGGGGCGATTATTCGTAGCAGCAGCAGATAAAACCTATGAAAGCATCAGCCCTAGTGTTTGAGCATAGTTGGCATCGAAGTATGCACAGCAGTAAGCCTGACATCGGCAGGGGTAGTTTCTTTTCTCGCAAACTCAACAGACAATGCCCTCAGCCTGCTCCGGAGACATCGATCTGAGAGGGGAAATTCCGTGTCCATCGTCCCCAGTTGATCTCAGAAATTGTACGATTCTTGTGATATGAGTGGGATTTTACTCCCAACAACCTCTCCGCCGTCTGTTCACTTTGTTGCGCGTTCGACGCAGCGCGGGGATGGGAAACGATACGGCGCTCATTGCTCTTCGGGGCGAGTTCCGAGCAGTGGTTCTCTGGAACTGCTCTCGTCAGAGTGTATTCCACGAACAAGCGGAGATACCAAAGCCAGTGATTGAAGCAGATGCCAGGAAATGGGTAACTTGCTTGTATTTGGGGGGTATGCGCCCTGGTCGAATGCTGCAAACGGGTACTGCATGCGGTTACTGTTGGGGATTCATAACCTCGAAAGGCTAGGTGATAGTAGTGATTAGTTATGGAAATGCAAGTCAAATTCGAGGGTTCGAGCAATGGTAGGCTGATGAACGTCGGGGACGTGGTTGATGTTATGTTCAGGTAGTAACGAAAGCGCATGTAGGTTAGGTAATTGTGCGTTGATAACGGCATTTTGGCTGCCACCACATGCCGGCAAGTCACTAGCTGCCCATCCCTCCCCAGACAATCTATATTCTTATCACGCTCATTCGCAACATTCCTTCGCTCCTCAGCCATTCCGCCATCGGCGCACGATTAATTTACACGAACCACCGTTGTATCAGCAGCTCGACGAATCAAAACAACTACACCGAGCAGCCCGTCAGGAGCTTCGATCCAGTACACCGGACACCCCAAGATGGCCGGGTTGGTAATTATAACCTCCGTTCCCATGCCAGTACATCAAACGTTCGAAAGCGCTACCTATAGGTTAGAGGCTATTTCTAATAGATGGCAGGTTTTTCCTTCTCAGAGCAACATGGTATATCCACCCGGAATCTAGCAATCCTCAGTCCCTCGAGATGCCTACATACAACGCATGATAGTTCGATGCTCCCGCTACAAGAAAAAACGAGCCACAAATGTCTCATTGGATGCTTTGTTCGAAGGCAACCCGAAGCGATGTAACGCCCGAGAATGCGAGCAAGGCCTCTTCCAGACATAGGAGCCGCAGGGCATGGCACATGCGACGTCAGCGACATAATTCACAAGGCACCCTAGCGATCGTATACGTCTATCACAGACGATATGATTCGCTAGAATACAACTCATGCTCTGCTATGACGCCGCTTATCCAGACCTGATGTAACTCTAGTACTTCTTACCGATAGGGGTGGCACGGCGCTTTCTTACTCGACCTCCGCAAGATAGAGGCACTTTGGTCTTTGAATAAGCACCGTATCTCAGCATCAGATTGTCAGGGGTGTTATTTACATCCTGTTGAGTGTAACCAAATAATACCACTCTCTCCGGACGCTCGTAGCTAGACTCATAACTTGCTACCATAACAGTCACGGCAATCTATGCGAGCTGGTTACCTTAAGTGGCTCTCCTCTTTCGCGCGGCCAGAATACGGCCAACGATTGCCGATCGACAATTTAGTTGGCATATCAAGTTTGAGATAAGTTGAAAGAATTCCATTGACAAACGTGTGGGCTAGACAAGTCAACTGCAGGCGCCCCCTTTGGGCCATTCGCTTGCATTCAACATGCCAAGCGATGTTCCCCAAAGCGCAAGTTAACCCAACAATGCCACCATACCTGCAAAACGAATCACACCTCCCCTGCACCTAGGAGGGGTATATAGTTCAACGATACATATCTCATTGGACACTAATGCAGCTGAAAGATTGTGATTCATGCGTTATGGTAGCTGGAAAAATCATGTGCCAGACGAGTTCTACCACAGCACAATAATCGCCCGCTATTATTCAAAAAGGGGGGAAAGGAGAAAAGGGGGGGAGTCCATAGCTACATTAGATATGGAACCAAAAATGAAACAAAACATCAATCTTACCTCAATCTTCTTCGTGAATGGGATACTCTCTACCTTGGATGTGGGTGTGAGAAGGGGCTGATCCTTGTCGGTGCCTCACAGTATTCACGGATCTGAAAGCCATAAAGCGTCACTTACAATGGACTCCACCATGCAGCAACTCAACAGTCACCAGCTCAGATGGCGTGAAGGGAACACAGAAGCCTCAAAATCCAGTACGATCGAAGATTCAGTTACGGCTCATTGGCACGTTGTTGCGTCACTCCTCGTACAAATGGCTTGGCAGGCAAGACGTTATTCACTGAGGCTCCAACTAGATGCACATGATTTATCTCCAACGAGAAACAATTCTCCGCATAATGTGGGGCCCAGGTAGTATATTCGATGGGATACGTTTACCTGACAACCCTAACTCTTCAAAAGCTAATGCATTATGCAACAAAACCGTAACATTCGCTTCTTCTCAAATGCAACCTCAACAGTCCTCTGCCGACTATCTGCGCCGTTACGGTTCATCCAAAGATATCATATCATACGTGGCTCCATTCAAGCGGCCTGATAGCCTCGATAGCAGCCGTAGAGATACTTCCGATGCTCGACAACAGGGATGCTACTCTTGAACTCAGGTTTTGATCGTCCATCATCACTCACCGCGCCCCACGCTTAACGAGAGCGATTAACTAGGTATAAATTTGACCACAGCAAGATCTATCTGAACCTAACCAGAAAATTTTCCTCAATATTCATCTCTACCAAGAGTTCCTGCAATGGATCAAGTTGTACTGCCCTCGATGCTGAAGTCAGCCCTTCTATGGGGCGGGAAAACAATAGTGTTACTAGGTGTATTCCCATTAATGCTTGTGGTATGTGGTATTTCTGTCGCCGCAATGTTTAGAGAATCAGAGGCTAACCACATACTGCGAGCTTCTTCAGTTTCTACTGTCAGGCCTATACAACATATGCCTCCATCCACTCGCCAAAGTACCAGGTCCAAAGCTCTATGCTTTTACTGCCATACCGCATTTGTATCATATGATCAAAGGCGACTGGCACATTGTTCTCAAGGAGTTACACGATCAGTATGGCCCTGTCGTTCGCTACTGTCCGATCAGTGTCTCCTTCACCGGTGCCGAAGCCTTTAAACACATTTACGGACACAAGAAAGCTGGAGAGAAGCCCTATGAGAAAGATGAGACGTTTTACGTTCGTCCGCGTTCGACAGAAAATATCTCGTTCACCTCCAGCGCGGGGCACGGCCGGCACCGCCGTCTGATATCCCACGCTTTTTCGGCCAAGGCACTCAGCAGCCAAGAGCACATCCTGAAGCAGTACTGCGACTCGTTCGTCAGCAACCTTGAGAAATACTCCAAGCAGCAGGGCGGCTCTGTGGACATTGTCCGCTGGTTCAACTTTGTGACATTCGATTTGATCGGCGACCTGGCATTCGGGGAGTCCTTTGGCTGTATGGACCAAGGAGGATACCACCCCTGGATACACATCATGTTCGGCAGCATCAAGTTTATAATCTACCATTACGTTCTATGTCGTCTTAACCTGCAAAAGGCTGTCCCCCTGCTGCTCCCAGCCAGCATAAAGAAAGGGGCCGAGGAGCATCACAGGTTCGCTCGAGAGACGTCAATGCGAAGAATGGATGCAGGTGTCAAGGATCGACCAGACTTCATGACGTACATCCTTCGGTACAATGATCACAGGGGTCTGACCGCAGAAGAGATATTCGAGAACGCCAACTTCCTGGTCGCCGCAGGTAGTGAGACTACGGCTTCGCTCCTCAGTGGCCTCGTTTTCTATCTCCTGAAGCATCCTGATATCTATACCAAGCTTGTGACAGAAATCCGGAGCGCGTTCAACAGCCAAGAGGAAATTTCTTTGGATGGAGTCAGCAGGCTTGAATACATGCTCGCCGTTCTCAAGGAAGGCCTCCGGATGTGTAAGTCAACCCCGTTTTCTCCCACTTACTTCCTTTGGCAGGACTAACTGAACCACGCCAGGCCCTCCAGTCCCAACAGAACTCCCCCGGAGGGTGCCCGAAGGAGGAGATGTCATTTCAGGTTACTGGCTGCCTGAGAATGTAAGTGAAGCCATCTTACGGCTTGCGGCCGTCCCTGAAATACCCCTCAACTAACCATCGCGTAGACAAGAGTCGGCGTCTCCCATTTCGCAGCCTTCACGTCGTCCTCGAACTTTCGGGATCCAGACTCCTTCGTCCCAGAGCGATGGATGAATGACCCCCGGTACGCAGATGACAAGAAGGACGCGCACAATCCCTTTTCGCTAGGCCCGAGGAACTGTGTTGGTCACAAGTAAGTGTCTGCACCCCGAAAGCCCCCGTCGTTTGCGAGAATACTGACCAAAGAACCAGTCTGGCCCACGCGGAGATGCGGTTGCTCCTTGCTTATCTGCTGTGGAACTTTGATTTGGAGTCAGCTTGTCATGATTATGAGAAGTGGGCGGATCAGCCAGTCTATGCTACATGGCAAAAAGAGAATCTCAATGTCAAGTTGGTCAAGGTTGCCAGGGGATAGGGATTTTTGTAACTGCCCTCCTTTGTTGCTGCGAATGAGGCAGGCTCGAGATTGAATTAGCACTAGGTAGGATGATGCAGAAGAATTGATCAATTCGTTATCTTTGTCTCAAATAGCGCGAGTCGCCTGATGTTGCGATATTGGAGCGATTGTTTCGCCCGAATGCATGTGTGCTGCGGGTTGAATCCGGAGAAAGTCCCGAGGCAGGACAGCGCATGCACTAGAACTGTTGCAGTAGGGTACGTCACCTCCAGCACTTGCCTCACTGATTGTGTTGGGGCAGTTGGGAAAGACCTTCCAGGGCGTAACGGCAGCAAGAGCCCCCTAAACTCGGGTACCTGACATGCCCCGCCGCAATGGCCACTGCCCGGTCACTGTGGTCAGCCTCCTGAATACGCCTCAACACGCCGCAGCAGCACCATCCGACGTCTAGCCGCCGCTGAATATGCCCCAACAGGGCAATCACCCGACCTCGAAGATCACCACCCAGAATTCCCGTTAAACGGTTGTCTTTTACCATTGCCCTAGATGCACCGCGTGGGCCTTCGGCATTCACGGACAATGACCTGGATTGGGCCGCTCAGCACGGCAAATACTGCATCCATGCGACCCTGCAATTAATCCATCCGATGTCAACGCCAGTCAGCCCCATTGCGCCTAGGCACTCTTCGGCTTCTTCTGTAAGAGCACGGCAATGCTTCCAGGTTGAGCAATTTTCAGGTATGAAGACCTACCTAGATACATGTCCATCATGCAGGCAGTTAATAATCAACTCTCAAGTCTTCTGCTACCGATGACCGCCTCCTGTGCAGATACGGGGCTGCGCAACCGAGCACGACTTGGCTGCCCACCGATTCGCGCAAAGGGCTTCCAAACGAACCTCGGTCGCTCTACTCTAGCTATTACGCCACTCGGCATTGAGGATCTAGAATTGAGGTTACCGTGCCCCAGGCTCCCGAAGGCCAATGGGATGCTTTCATGGCAACTCCACACGCCGCCAAAGGGACCCAAGAACCAAGAGTTCTTGTGGCTTCTGCAATGAGTAGGTCGCAATCGCCCACTCTCAAGTTTGCTGCGCCAAAAGCCTCCAATGCCTTCCTGCCTAATAGGTATGGCTTGTGGAGTATACCGCAAGGCGGCATCGTGTCATTGCATTCGCTGACTTCAGCGCATAGAAGCACAGGAACCTTTGTCTTGGACGAAAACCCGCGCGCTCTTACTCCCGATTCGCCTCTGCCGACCCAACTTCCTAAAGCGACAGTTACCTTTGCCCATCATTATCAATGCGCCCTGGAGCTTGGACCCAGGATGACAGAAGGCCATGTTGAGCTGCCTCATCCTGTCCAATGCCAAGGCGCCAAACCCCCTGTCATCTTCAGTGATGCGACGTGAAATTCAGGGGCAAGGAACTTTATTAGAAAGGTTGTTCGGATGGAGTACAAAAGACGTGATCGACGGTCTGGGCAGCCCGAGGAGCGCCAGGCAATGGATATATTAGAAGAGAATGCGCCCCAGGAAGGATAGTTTCCCATCAAACTCAGGGCCACGTTCATTTTGAGTGACGATCAGTAGAGTCCGCTTGCTCCATCGTCCGTCCATTCTTTATAGCCACAATGAAGTCTACAGTTCTTCTCGGCCTGACTGGCCTGGCGGCAGTTACTGCCCACCCACACATCCACTCCCGTAATGATGGCGGCAAGGATGCCGTTGCCCTTGGCAAGCGTGGTGTAAATCTCGACCAGTACCTGGACGTACCCAGCCTTGGGTCATACACCAAGGCTGAGGCCGTCAGCAACGATGCTCCCTCTGTGTCCGGCTCAGACTACATCCAGGTTGCTACAGACCTTGTGAAGAAGACATTCCCAGACCTCACTTTCCGTGTTGTGGATGACCACTACGTTGGCTCAAACGGATTTGGCCATGTCAACTTCATCCAGACCATCCACGGCATTGACGTTGACAATGGCAACTTCCATGTCAATGTTGCCGCCAATGGCAAGGTGTTCTCGCATGGAAACAGCTTCTTCACTGGTCGCCTCCCAGAAAAGCCTGCCAGCCGCAAGCGTGACTCTGGAGAGCCAGTTGATGCTCTTAGAGCTGCTGTGAGCTCCCTGAACCTCCCCGTCCAAGTCAGCCCCGACGCTGCTGTGTCAGCGAGCTTGACCGACACTGATGACGTCTACACCATCACCGGCGTCTCGGGCACTACTACAGCCCCCAAGGCTCGCCTCGTCTATCGTCAAGACGATGCGACCAAGGTCACCCTGACCTGGCGCATCGAGACCGACGTGGTTGACAACTGGCTGCTGTCATATGTCGATGCTGAGACCAGTTCCGAGGTCCTCGGCGTCGTCGACTATGTCGCAGACGTCTCCTACGAGGTTTACCCAGGGCACACCACCGACCCAAGCCAGGGCGAGCGTGTCATTGAGCAGGATCCTTGGCTGCTCGAGGCCTCCCAGTTCGGCTGGATCAGCGATGGGAAGACCAACTACACCACTACCCGCGGCAACAACGCCATCGCCCAGATCAACCATGACGGAGAGGATGACTACCTTAATAACTACCGCCCAGACAGCCCAGAACTCTCCTTCCAGTACCCATACTCCCTGACGGAGCCTGATTACAAGAACTACGTGGATGCTTCCATTAGCCAGCTGTTCTTCACTGCCAACAAGTTCCACGATCTCCTGTACCTTTTGGGTTTCACAGAGGCAGCGGGTAACTTCCAGGCCAATAACAATGGCAAGGGAGGCAAGGAAGGAGACTATGTCATTCTAAATGCCCAAGATGGCTCTGGAATGAACAACGCCAACTTTGCCACCCCCCCTGATGGTCAGAATGGCCGTATGAGGATGTACATCTGGAACGCCTCTACCCCTTGGAGAGACTGCAGCTTCGATGCTTCCGTCGTCCTCCACGAGTACACTCACGGCCTCTCCACCAGACTCACCGGTGGCCCCGCCGTCTCCGGCTGTCTCTCGGGCACAGTCCCAGGTGGTCTGGGAGAGGGCTGGTCCGACTTCTTCGCCGTCGGCGTCGGCCTGAAGCCCAACCACACCCGATCCACCGTCTACCCGATGGCCCCCTGGATCTCCAACAAGCCCCTCGGCATCCGCCCCTACCCGTACGCCACCGACTTCAACGTGAACCCCCACACCTACAAGGACATTGTCGGCCTCACCAAGGTCCACTACGTCGGCACCGTCTGGTGCACCATGCTCTATGAGGTCCTCTGGAACCTCATCGACAAGCACGGCAAGAACGACAACGACTTCCCCACCCTCGACGACAAGGGGAAGCCCGACGACGGGCGCTTCCTGGCCCTCAAGATCGTCCACGACGCCTTCGAGCTGCAGCCCTGCCGGCCAAACTTCGTCACCGCCCGCGACGCCATCCTCGACAGCGACCTCGCCCTCACCGGCGGCGAGAACAAGTGCGAGATCTGGGCCGGCTTCGCCAAGCGCGGTCTGGGGCCCAAGGCGACTGCCAGCCCCGTCGCCGAGGATTTCGAGACGCATGCCGACTGCCAGTAGAGTTGGGCATTTAGGTAGAATCTAAGAGGAGGAAAGGAAACCTGCACGGCCACAAGCACAGAGATCTACATAATTGCTTTTAATTGCAAATTTTATGACTACATGTTGACGAACAAAAAAACAATGAGAAGTGCAACTAATCTAACCATGTGCCTTGTGAAATTTCCGAAGAAAATACCAGCTTTGGCTTCGTGATATGTCGTAACTTCCCGCACAAAAAATCCCGGTCGTAACAATTGAAAGGCATAACTGAGGCATTGCCATACTAGGGACTGAGGCTACTAAATAGGATCGAAAACAGTGCTCCCGTCTGAATCAACCCTCCGTTCGCCCCCTTTCCCATTGTGCTAAAGCATGAAAGGCCTCATCGCCTTGGTTAAGAAAAACGCAGCCGTCCTGATCTGAACCTTGCCTCTTCCTGGCAGGCATATTCGATAGTAAAAGAGATAACGAGAAGAGAAATCTGGTGCGATGACAGGCGGCGAAAATGACTGTCGAAAACACTATTAGGGGAAGGTGTGGGTAGGTGGTCGATGTGTATCAATGAAAACATTTGCGAAATCCGGTACTGGTTCTTGAAATTCCTGCGTACTCCTTTTTAATGCATGGTCATTCATGCATCGGATACCGATTAGGGATGTCGATGCGTTCTTTCGTCTCTTTTTTTTGTTTGTTTTTTTTTGTTTCTTTCATGGATAGGAATCGTCAAGAATGTCCGTTGTTGCTCCTTGCGGTTGATCTTAGCCGGAGTTTGACTGTCTGTACGGGGGCAGGGCAGCCGTCGCCTCGGTCTGGTCACGGCTAGTCAATGTCTATCAAGATGTCAGTAAAAACCCGGAACATGATCTGCCTAGAGAACAAACATACATATCTTGGCAGCGTAGGGCTTGTCAAATCCCGGACAATAACTTGGAATGGAAGCTCAATGTTCGACCCAGAACCGGATTCCGCGGCCAGTCCCACACGAAGAACGTAGGCCCGGGAGATCAAACAAGCGTTGAAAGTAGGCAGGAACGTTGTCTTGTCATCATTCAGCATGTCGAGGGAGAGAGTAAGAGTAGATAGATACTTTGTGGTGTCCGAGCCGGTGGGGGTCTCCGCCTTTTGCCAGGTAGACTGTGACAACTCGGCAGTGGCCTTCTTCGACTTGGTGCAAAGCACTACGTGAGGAAGCTTGGGTGGTTGACCATTCTCGCCAATTTTGGGTGCAAGGTGGCGTTGGGCATAGCTGGTAGTCGTCTGGACCGCGGCCGACTTTGCCTGGATGACAGGAAAGAGAGTGGCCGGCTCGGCCTTGGTGACGAACTCGAGATGCGCAGTGATCATCGGATTGGAGATCTTACCGCTGTCATACGAGAGATAAACCAGGGTTGGCCGGATGCCAGCGATTGTCAGCGAGTCTGACTTCGCGTAGGACCGGCCCAGTTTGATTTCTTGGGGGGGATCTGTGGTGCAAAGCGCATCCTCTTGGAAATTGGAAGGAAGCAACTTGATGTAGCGGTGGAACTCGACTGGCTTCAGCAATTCAATGTCTTTTCGAGCGGGAGTGGCTCGGACTCGAATGGAGTACTCGATTTTCGCGGTTTCGGGTGATTGATCTGATTTCTCCCAATTCCCTATTGTCGGGGGAAGCTCGAGATGGGTTTCGTGAATGCATGCCTGCAGGGGGCGCTGCTGGGGCACAACGAAAAAGAAAGGAATTTTGAAAGTCTGCTTGGCACCGAGTCGCTTGTCCTCTGGGAGACACTCGGGAGCGATAGGCATGGACAGTTGGAAGAATGTAAACTTAGAAGGGGGGGTGTCATTGAGTATGCCACTTGTTCGAGTAGTGGAAGTGCCAAGTAAATTGATCTCGAGCTTGTCGTAATCAATATCGCGGGTAGCAGTGATGAGGACCTTGCCGCGGATTGCAGATCCCGTTGCGTAGATTTTGGCCTCAAAATGGTTTTCGATTTGGATTTCGATTTTGAGAGGAAGTTTGCACTTGATCCCAAGCAGGGGCGCGGACCATTTGGCCCAGGTCGCGCCAAGTGCAATCATGGCCATGGGCTAAACTTGAGAGTGATGCTTTGAGTGGCTTTTGAATGCACAATGAGGGAGGATGAATTAACTTCCAAGTTCCTTCATCGCGTCTGCAGTGTGCAGGAGGTTGTAAGAGAAGGAGCGCGTACCTGCCCACGTGGTCGGACTCGAAAACAAAAGGGTTCTCACTCGAGCTCAGATCTGAGATCACTTGCACGATCGGCTCCTGATCCGGCATCGCTAGGCTCCACTTTTAACATAAGGCACACGCGTGTTGGGATCACCTACACAACATTCACATGGCATTATAAATATTGTGCATGCTCCTACAGTGATTCTAGCTGTAGATTAACCAATTCTGAACTGTCAAGTAGGTGACATATTAGATTCCCTTCAAGACCTCGCGTTATTAAGAATATGCTGCCAAAAATTTGATCACCCTAAGTGTTCAACATAATTCTTCTTGGAAACAAATTGGGTGGCACACGTTGAGCTCTTTCCCTTCTAACTAAATGCGTAATGTTCTCTCAGGTATTCCTCAGCCCATGTTCAAGGAGGCGGGCAGGCTAGCACCTCACCAGGCAACCCCTTTACGATCGAACCGTAAACACGCCTACGGCTTAGACGCCAAAGAGACCCATCGACTTTGATTCCTTATGTCATCCTGCTTCCAAAATACCTTTGAAATACTCAACATGCAGTACTACGAAGCAGGCTTCTCGCCTAAGATCTTCTATGTTCGAGTCTACGAAAACACGATCAAGGAGGTTCGGCCCTCCGCTAAAACCTCCCTCGGAGGCCTTCCTCTCCTTTGAGTCACTGCACAATTCGTTCCAAGATATTCCACGTGCTTCTCTTTGTTCGGGTTGCTATAACCGCAAGGACAAGAACACGCCTGTCGAGTCGACCGATTACTACACTTCTTTGTGTGCCTCAGGTCTTTGTATTGTCAGAGGCTGGAATAAGAACATCCGCATCCAACTTGCTCGTTAATCCCTAAAATCTGTTCCTCGCATATGTCGTTCGGAGTCGCTCGGTCGTTGAAATCGCCCAACACTTCCGTCGATCTGGAGCCAATGATTGGTATTTGGAGGGTTTTTCAGCCATGTACTGCCTGTGAATGTGTCAATCATCTGGATCTTGGGGTACGTAATCAAGTCTTACTCTAGCTTTGCTCGAAGTCATCACCTCTTCGAGCACGCGTGGCATCAATACCAAGTCGGGAGGCAAGGGGCAACGGACTTGTTGTAAGACTCTTTGGGGTCTGATGCTGTCCGAACTCGGGCCGCGTAGTCAATGAAGCGAAATCTGAGGGTCTGATTAGTTGACACAGTGTGTACGTTACCGTTCAAAGACCAATCGTAGTCTAACGGTCGTTGGAGACGTAACAAATGCTAGTGTAGGAGAACACTGAGACGGAGGTCGCAGCCAACGTGGTAAGAGAGCTTGAATAAAACGGTCCACACCAAAAGTAAAATGAAGAAAGCCACCCCGTGCTTGCACGATTATGAGGGTAGAGGTAAATGCCATCCATCAATGTGGTAGGACTTGAAGGCAGACAGCACGTTGAGGCGGTATCCTGACGTTCAACCTGGACCAATCATTGGCCGCTCTTATGGTTAGCCCACTTGCTCTAAACAGGCAAACGGAGCTCGGGAGCTAAATTGGCCGGGAGGCTAAGGTACCTCAGTGTGGCGCGAGCCGTGGCATTTGTGGCGTTAGAGTTGGTCGCTGAGTCATCTCGGTCCTGTTCCTTGACACTGGAATCTGGAATCGCGTCCAATACTTGACCCCTACCCTAAACCACCAAATATTTGAACTCAAAAGCGCATCAAGAATTAAAAATCAACACTTTACCTTTATGGTGGCATGTGGTCTGTGCTAATTCTTGCCTAATTTCTCATTGTGACTGAACTTGTAGAACTCTCAATATTGTAGATGCTTTGAGTACATGTATGCGGTATTCATTCAGTCATTATTGATGGTGTCCCGCATTTACTTAGCAAAGAATACTCAACCAAGCTCCCACCCAATCAGGAAACGCGATGACCTTTAAACGGGAGCGACAGCCCCTTCGAGAACGAAATACCCTACTCCGGTCTTGGCACCTTTTGGAAGTAGTCTTCCACCTATAAACTTTTATTTCTGAAGTGTGCAGTGTCGACTTGATTTGACTGTTGACCCACGAGGAAAATTAACGTGGTGTTATGCGCGCGTATTTGGCCTGGTGGACCTCCCGAGCGAAGCATAAGTCAGCCACACCCAAAGCCAAGACCCTTGCCCACGATCAGCAGACTACCGGCTGGGTCGTCTGCTCTACGGCTCTTTTCAGAAACTTCTAGAGCGTAAGGACAGAATCCGACATCAGTATGTCTCTTGTACATCGATCAATCAGAAGCATGATGTGCATATGCTACGGGTGAGCGGCCTGCTAAACTACTTATTTAGCACATCAACCTCTCTAAACTCGACAAGGTAATGTCCGAATCGCCCCCAGATATTCCAAGTTCTCATCGAGGCCCTGAAGGTTGAAGCAGGCAAATTATGGACACCTTGTAGGAGTTGGTACTTTGGTGGGAGTGACAACCTCAAGTCCCATCCTTTTAACCCCCCCTGCCCTGCCGAATATTCCGGGTTGAATTCACCTCTGGTACGTTGCACATCGTAATAAACTTTCGCTCACTGTTTAATTGGTTGTGTATTATAGGTAGCGTCCTCTTCTCGGTCGACCTGATGAAAAGCCCTACTCGAAGAACTAGCCTAGATGTGGCTATTATTAAACTACATGCAAGATCCTTTCGATTGCCTAATTGTTCGATTGCCGGTATGAAAGGAAGCCAGACCGCATGACAACAACGTATGACCCCACCGGGCTGCGAGCCAAAAGAGGGAAGAAGGCTGTCATGGTCGCTTGGAACATGAGCTTGTGAGTGGGCCGTCTGTTTTTAGCAACATCGGGAGATTGCCACTTCGATAAACGGTAGTCGCCGAGCGGACCATGGACCACTTGGCTAATCTATTTGCGACAGAGACGCCTCAAATTCGGGAATTACCTGCATTGGTTCAGCCCAAGTGGGTATGAGCTGAGCTGCTAATGCCTTGCTGTAATCGTATAAAGAGTTGCGAGCAATCGACGGCTTCAGAATGGATCACCAACGACCTCATCGCCCGTTTCCCAAGTCAACCGAGCCGATTGAAAGATGATTTCTCCCATGAGCCTGATCGGGCGGCACTTCGCCGCCCTCCTGCTGGCCACCTCCTCCATCCTCGACCTGACCGAGGCCGCCACCAAGATCAAGGGCGGCGCCGACCCGGCCATCATGAAGAGCGGCGACTACTACTACTCGGCCAACACCTGCGGCAGCAACAACATCTGCGTCCGCAAGGCCAAGACCCTCGTCGGCCTCGGCGACGGCGCCGTGAGCAAGACCGTCTGGAGCGACACGGCCGGCAAGGGAGAGGTGTGGGCCCCCGAGATCGCCATCGAGGACGGCAAGACGTACATCTACTTCGCGGCCGGCAAGTCGAGCAACCACCGCATGTACGTGATCAGCGCCGACTCCCCCCAGGGGACGTACTCCGCCGAGAAGAAGATCAACCTTCCCGATGATCAGCCCGCCATCGACGGCATCTACTTCAAGTTCGAGGGCAAGCGATGGTTCGTCTGGTCTGGCTGGACTCCCGGCAACTCCGAGCAGACCCTGTACATCTGCGCCATGAAGAGCCCTACCGAGGCCACCGGCAAGAAGTTTGTCATTTCGCAGCCCCGCGAGGCCTGGGAGAAGAAGGCCGGCCTCATCAACGAGGGACCCGAAGTCATCGTCGACCCCAACGGTCAGCTGCACATCGTCTACTCCGCCAACGGAAGCTGGGCCAGCAAGTACTGCCTCGCCGATCTCCGCCTCAAGAAGGGCGGAAACCCGACCTACGTCTGGGACTGGTACAAGTCCAACGGCTGCCTCTTCGGCTCCCACCAGGACAACATGATGAAGGGCTGGGATGCCACTGTCCAGATTGACGGACCCGGCCACCACACCTTTGCCCTCGACAACGGCGACACTGCCAAAAGCCCCGGCGGAAGCAGCAGGATCCCCTTCGTCTTCCACGGCGTGCCCAAGGGAACCGAGTACAAATGGGGCAACCGAAACTGGTACACGGGTTCTTTCGTCTGGTGGAGCAAGACCACCTACAGCCGTGCCAACGTTCCTGGAGATAACAAGAACACTGGATACAGCTTCAAGTTTTTCGAATAAGTGTATATTTTTTCTCTTTCATTTGTTTAGGCCACTTTGGATAGACAGGGCTCGCTGAGGCACATGATGTCAAGCCAAGCGCGGGTGTACTTATAACTATGGCAATCATTTAGCGGATGCGTTGAATGGTTTAATATTCTATGTATATATTCAAATCAAATGTTATAAACATGCAAAAGTGACTAGTCGAACCCCTCGCAGCAACTCGAAACTCGCACGGCGTAAAAGTATCTCATGGAAATTTCATCCGTCTGCGCAATGACAATTGACTCCAATGTTGGTAAAATTGTGTGAATTCTTGTAATAAGTAAGGAGTGTCATACAACACATTGAGACGTTGCACTAGGCTGCCTCGAGGTACCCATCGCTTCTCAGGAATCGCTGCCTGCCGAGGTAGTTTTCCAGTGTGGTTTGCATGGATAAGAGAGAGTGGCACTCTATATCCTCTGACGTGTTTGGAAAGGTGACACGCTCCAAACCCACGGCCGTGATTCTCCTCTTGTCTGGTGCTAAGATGAAGTTGGAGAGGCTTGCATCTTGTTGAACTGCCCCCTGGTCTGCCATCTCATTGAAGGAATCGCCGAGGAGCTTTTTGCTCTCGCTGTAAGACAAAGTGGCTGCCTCCGGTTGCTCTAGAGTTTCCCCGGGACAATGCTGTAAAATCAAAGCCTTTCTGCCACTGAAATGTGTCGATCCATAGCACCTGGGAATCGTCAAACCCTGGATGGGCTTTAGCCGGTTATATGCGTAGTGCTCCGCTTCAAAGAGTCGCTCGAGCCGCTCGTCATCCGCATACTCAACGTCTGTGCCCCTTTTCTGGCACTTCAAGACAATTCGATTCGGTAGAAACCACTCAGGCAAGTGAAGATGGAACCATGAGCGGATGAATGAGGGGAAAGACTGAAGCAGGTGTAGCAGAAACCTGACGAAGGCCGATGGAGGCTGCAAATGGAGAGCGTAAACGTTGGGCGTTCTAGGGCTAATAGGATGCCCGAATGCGAATACTCGACGAGTCCGAAACCAGAAGTTCTAATTAAGAAATGTTTAGTAAGGGGTGATGAAGAGTGCGAATGGAACCCATACCAGTGGCCGCAATGGGCAGACGTCCCAGGGTTTGCCAATGGCTTTTTCTGTAACGCGATATCGTTCAGGCTCTCCGGGTATGGGTCGTGGTTGCATGTCTGCAAGCAACTGCATGCTCTCTTCGTAATTGAAAATTGACATGGTAGAAAGCGGTGGATAAATTGTTGGTTGTGATGGTGTTGAGGGTTTGTGAATGAGAAACCAGGCGAAATCGTACCTCGCTTGGGCATGAGGAGCGAGGCCTTGCTAATTAAGAATGTGTGTTGAAAGTTGAAAGTTGGAAGGCAGATGGCGACAGGTCTGCCTGCCTCAGGTACTAATTTTCCACGTACCTTAGCCAATGCTGGGAGGTAGGTCGGTCGGTCAGAGCCTCACGTAGCAACCTGTCTGGTGAAGGGCTAAGATAACGCCCCAGCCTTTGGTTGGTTGAGTGACGTCGCGGCGTCTGAAAGTCTGCCTTGCATCTTGAAATTACCTATCGATCAATGCACTCCTCTATGCGCTGTTTTTGCCTTCTTGCACCTCTGCAAGAATTCAATCCGACTACCTCCTCTGCAACAATAAGACCCAAAAACCATAGCAGACTGTTGCCGGGCTCTTCAGAGCGAGCGAACCTCTGATGCGACATAACATCCTCAAACCCGGAGAGTCTCACTAACAGCTTCGCACCCACCACAGACCGCGACGAGGACAGAGCATTCGATAGGACAATCTCTGCATATTCCACTTTGGATACTTGCATTCTCGCTTTTTTCATTGCCTGGTGCCAGTCACTCCCAAGCGGCCACGGCGGATTGCAAACCAGGCGCTGCGAACCAGGAGGCAAGTGATTTTCATGACACTCCTCTACCCAACGCCAACACGACGGATTCCGCTAACAAATACCAACAAAAACACCCTGCTAGGCATCGTGAGGGACCTCCGAGTGTCGAAAGCGTACCCAAATTTGCCTTACGACCAAAACCAGTACCTCCATCCTACTCCAGCCAACCGAGCGGAAACAACCCGCACCGGCGTCCGAAAAGAAACCTATCCTCCGAGAATCAAGTGCTCCTCATCAAGTCGGTTGGTTACCTTTCTGGGCTCTTTGTGACCAGGCTGGGCTGGGCTGGACTGACTTTACTGGTGCAGGTACATGGGGCGTCTGTCAGGACGCCAGCCTGTTTTCGTTGGAGCCAAGCGGGGGATAGGAAGGTATCGTCAACTGCCGAGATAATCCGTGAGCGTTGAAGCCCGCAGCCAAGCCTGTTCGAACGCACAAACTATTCGCTAGTAACTAACATCAGGAATTCCGTGGAAACCGGCCCGGCTTCGAAAACGAAAGTAAGGACCTTACGAGCCCGAGACCGAGCTGCTCGCTTGAGAATACGTTCGAGGGATTCTCAGGGATATAAGGGGTCGCGTATCCCCTCTGTAAATACCAGTTAAAAGCAACAGTCTCAATTTATCCCTTTTACCTGTGAAGTTGGAAGCTGTTAGATGGAGACACTAATAGTTTCTCCTCAGAACATATTGTTTACCCTTATCGGCATGACGTAAAGCATGGGAAGTTACGGGAAGTTCCAAGAGACGTCAGTCAGATGTAACATTGTACAGGGGAGCTCATGAGCTCAGCGATCGTTCGGGACATTGACACGATGCGGAACGAGAAGAACGAGCTGGTGCTGCCGGCTGGATTTGTGCCTCGTTTCGAGCGCTTTCGTTTCACGCAGGGTTGAGGATTGACAGTAGGCAGAGCAGTCTAGCCCGCCCATATATCGGTTACATGTTGTCTGACCCTTTCCATCTTCCAGTCTATGCTAGTGGAAATTGTTCAGATGATATCACGGAACAAAGAAGTAAGACTTCGTAAAACTTCCAATGTTTTATTCTTTTGATCACAGCCAATAAGCCGTGGTGCCAATTACATCAACTACCTGATTAAAGCTAACAATAACTCTCTCGGGCGATGTATATGATGTCGAATCCACCAAAATTTAAAAGCTAACAATATGGAATTCATCCCATGCACAAGCACATTAAACCTACACCCTCCCGATTTCGAATGCCGAGCGGTGAGAGCCCATTCACATGTGTGTAGACTTATTCCCCAAAACCTAGATACCGAGCGATGAGAACCCAGCCAGATGTATGTTAGACCTACATCCTTGATGTCGGATGCTGAGCGGCGAGTGCCCATCACATGTATATGGGACCTACGTCCTCAATTTCGCATGCCGAGCGGTGGGAAGGAGACACCACCCAAATTCCCACACACTTCTCCGGGACGTAGCCATCAGGCCCGGCCTCCGGGAAGGCATGATACCTCACCTGATCTTGTCGACATCCCAACGCCTCCGCGCCGGGGAATTGCACATCAGGAAGAAGCGCAAAGACTGCAGCAGACAGGATGGGCACCTGTCGAGGCACAGCCCTGGCCGTGCGGCCCAGAGTTGTTTGAATCTGAATCGCAAATGGGTGTTAGCGCCATCTCCAACGAGTTATGTTGGGACTGTGCAGAATCGTTGACGTACCCCGAAACCTTTTCCATGACCCAACATGTTGAAAACGACGAGGACGGCGGGTGTCTCGCCTCTGAGGGCATCCAGTTGCAGTGTATACTGGTTGCCGTTGAATATGCCGTGACGAATTGATTGCCTGTTACGGTAATGAAAACCGAGCCCAGTCCAGTTTCCATGTCGATCGGAAGATATATCGATTCTCCCTACTGATGAGAGCCTTTTGCTCTCGTCCGCATTCTGAAAGAAGAAAGTCTCACGAGTAAACTCATGTCTCATGGCGGCCTCAACAGGGTGCGCCAAAGCAGCATCGAATGTCAAGCTGGGGGGAGAGAGATAAAGTCGCGTAATCCCTTCAGCCAAGTCCAATGGGCGCTCAGTCCGAGCGGCATGCGACAAGACAAGCATCCTAGTTGACAAGAATGGACTGGCCGTCATCCGAACTTGGATATCGTCCAAGGCCTCGCAAAATACCCACGTAATGGAGTCCTGCGATAAATATGTCATGTTAGCTCGAGTAAAGGGGCATCTACCTAGTGTAGGGGAGTGAGAAAAAGAATGACGTACCAATTCTTCGTAAACCGTTGAATGGTACCGCAGATACGATTGCGGAACTCCGGAGTACTGCGGCAGGCGCAATTCGAACTTATTCTGAGTTGTTGTAAACGTAATGCCGACAACTTTCCCGAATCGCTCAATGGAACGTGACAGTTCCACCTCCATTGTGGTCCAGACGGCAACTTCAAGAATTCTTTCGCCTGGGTTGAGCTGAAAGCATGTTCTCTCCTTCATCCACTGGCCAACAACTACGTCGCCTCTACCGCCCTCGTACTCAATCCACAGGCCGCTGATATGGTTCTTGGAACGGGAGCTTCCACTGTCGGTACCCATAGAGACGTGGATACAGCTGATACGTTTTAGAGACGCTGTGGTAGGGCAACAACCTTCTCTCTGTTGCATCCACGAACAGGCATGAACCATGGCCGGTGTAGCAGGTAAGTTACCTCCCGGTCTGATGACGATGTTCGTTGATATGTAGGGCTGCTCAAAATGTTCTGTTGAGATACGCATGAAGCGCCACTCGGGGGACTGTTTTGCAACGTGGTTAGTCATGGCCAACTGAGCTCATGAAGGGTAAAAGTCTTACCTTGACCTCGATCGTTATAGACTCAAGGGGGCCTTGGCCTTCCATGGCATCCCCATATATGACGGAGGCGCCATTAGAAGCACCAAAAGTATAACTTCTTCCAAAGTTGGTCCAAATCTGGGCGACTCAGAGTTAGCCAGGAGTTTGCTCCTTTTGGAATTGCGAAGGGAACAGGAGTAGAGTGAAGGATTCTGAACATACCTGAATGTTGCCTATCACAGGGGCGTCGCTTAGCATCCTACCTTCAGAGAGCAGCATAATTCTCTCCGAATTCGGCCCGTCTATGACAAAAGTCTGGGCTACACAATTTATCGATTCTCCCCTTGGCCCTTTCGTCTCTTTAGTGCCATACAAAACTGAGTCTCCTTCCGCATAAGCGAGTTCAAGGCCATACATGCCCCTGCGCCCATGGAAGTAAGCCGTGATAGAACAAAGAGAGGACAGCTTGGAACCATCTGGTCCCCCCAAGGGAATGTGGAGATTCACAGTGAATGCTGGCGAAAACGAAGGTTGACCGTTTTTGTCTGGTCCTAACTTGTATGGCATCTGGGGGCTCCATAGGACAGGAGCTTTCGAGATGGGCCTTGGGATATATGCTTCTTCGATGAGCTGGATCGAGACGGCTTTGTAAAGCTGGTGCTCCAAAGTTAGTAATAGAAAGACCACGTCAAGGGGTTGAAATGGGCACGTACATCAAATCCAACAACGAAACCGATGGCCGCGGATTGCGGGACCAGTTTCGTCGTGGCGACTAAACCAGGATATCTCTGGTTTCCAGCGCTTTGTACGTATTCTTGGCCATCATGTCTGGTGATGGAGAACTCTAAACAATGGATTCCAGAGGCAGAAATAAAGGCATCAATGCTCGATATTGAATCTCCAGACCCGATAGTAATTGACGTGAGGTTTGATGAGACGATGCAACCACACTGCCCAGTGACTCTCGACTGGCCGTCTGCGGATTGGACAGAAACTCGAATGCCCGAGATGTATGTACTGCTTACAAGAGAGATGGAAGAGATCTCTATCAAAGTTGAATCAAAATGGCCATCATTCTCCAAGAAGATGACATATTCGTTTCGAAGCCGAGTACCCATCGTGACGTACTGCCCAAAGGGTTCGAGAGAGTCATAATGGTCAGGGAGCTCAGGGCATGCAACTCGTCTTCCCAGATGTCCGAAAGGCGAAATCTGATTCACAACCTCCCACGGGGGAAGATCGACATCCAACAAAGCACTGAGAATTATGGAAAAATCTTCGAGGCAGCGCCAAATTCGCCGGCGATTCTTGAAGGATGTGGCAGTGCGATCGTCGTTGATGATCAATTTACACAACTGATATACTTCCATCCAGTTTCGATGGCGTGTAGCTGAGGAGCTTGTTGGCAAACAAAGGAACCCCATTTCTTTGTCAGGGAGAAAACGAGAGGCCCAGAACTCTTGAGGGAGTGGCGCTGAGAGAGCAGCCAGGCGTGGGCAGGAAAGCCTCAAGGAGCACGCGTCTTTGGATGGAAGCAATTTAAAGATCTGCGCGATGAGCTCGTCTGGAAACTTTTCAAACATGCCGCAACTCGATGATTCATTGGGCTGCTGGGGCATATCGGGCGGAAGCAAGTCTGCAACAGCCTCCATCATGCTCTGTAGTGATGGCCGTACGAAGCCTCTGCTGACTTCTAGTACTGGCGTCATGCCCTCATCTGGGTCTTCCATCAATTCCGATGTACCTCGGGCGGTTTGAAGTATGTTAAGGGCGCCGAAGGATTCGTGATCGGGTACTAAAGCCCCAAGCCTCGTCCATGGGAGGGAATGTAGAACGTGGAAAAGAAGGACACCAACCCGTCTGGGATCCGGTTCAGAGCCGGTTTCAGCCTTGATTCGGCTGAGCAGAAACTGCCAACAGAACTCGTGAATGCTAAAATTTCTGACTTTGTCGATGGGGAAGAGTAGGTGCTGCAGCTGAAATGGTTCTTCTCCTACAGCATCAGCATAGCCAATGTCATAGTCGAGGCGAGCTGCCACACGGTGTCGAGTAACATAGCCGAGGCCTGTTACCCGTGGCTCAGTGTCTTCCTCGCGCCCATCTGGCCCATGAACTATTCATCATTAGTATCACGAGATTTGCGAGTAGCAGGTAAACGCGGGAGAGAAAGCCATTCATACCTGATCGGGCGGTTGTAGACCAGTGAAGGGGACCTTGAGGCGGATGCGTGCCATGATGGTTCCTGAATTTCCCTGCGCAGAGGGCGCAATGCGGGATCAGGTCCATGCTTGTCGTAGCCATGCTGTCCAGCACAGAACAAACGAGTTCTTGTGAAGGAAAAGAATTGGACAAGTTTGTTGCTCGCGGGAGCTGAGCTGAAGTAGAGGAATCGGCTGAGGCCAGGGCGTACCTGCCCGGCTTAGAAGTGCGAGGCGAGACGAGCGAGACGAGGAAGGCACGCCCCAGACCAACATGATGTGATTTGCGAGCCGTGGCCAGTGGCGCTGGTGGTAAGGCAGGTGCGAACCTGTACAGAGGCAGATTTACAGCACAGAGGCCATTTGGCGCACCTGTAGTTGATCTACAGGAGAGTCAGCTGTGATTTAGTGCTTGAATCGCTGTAGCTCCCTCCGGGCAAGCATCGAGAGAGCCTAAGGTGGGTGATGGGCGACTGAGAAGAGTTGTGCGGTGCCTACATATCTATGCTCGGGGGATGATTGTGCCTCGATAAGTTGCAATAGAGAAGCGTTGTGCGGTGCATACATGCCATCTATGTTCGGTGGAAGATTATGCCTCGATAAGTTGCAGTAGAGAAGTCGCATACCTACCTAAGGTGCCTTAGTTTGAAAACACTGAGACGAGCCGAGGGACATAATATAGGACGCTTCTCGCCAGAGTTAAGACGAAGGGCAAAAGCCAGGCACCCGATGGCGATAATCAACCTTTCTGTTTTATTCCCGTCTGATTGGAATATACGTCTATTTTGATATCTTCTCCATCTATTCAATATCTACAATTTCAGCTTGTTCCTCCATTTCCTCGAGCGGCAAACCAGTTAGTTCCCCCTAGGCCTGGCCGTTCTGGACGAGAACGTTGGCGGTGCCAGAAGGAACACCACTGATGACGCCCTTCAGACCTTGGTCCACGATATAGCTGCACGCACCGGCGGCCTGGGTAGCCCCGATACTCAAGTAATAGGCGGCCAAGCCAGCGACGTGGGGAGTAGCCATCGACGTGCCGTTAGCATCCAAGGTCGAGCCGCCGGGCTGAAGACTCCTAATACCGACACCGGGCGCATACACATCAAGAAGGGCACCAAAGTTGGAGAAGGAGGCGACGCGGTCCTGGCTATCGCTCGCGCCGACAGTGCAAGCGGAGGGCTCGGAGGCAGGCGAGACAAGGGCGACGTCTTCGGGGAGGCGAGTGATTCGGTTACCGTTGCCAGCAGCGACGGCCAGGAAGATTCCGGCGCTGACGACGTTGGCTGCGGCATCGTTGACGGCCTGCGACTTGGGACCGCCCAGAGACATGGAAGCGACGACACCCTTAGGGCAGTCTTGGGTGGCCGCATGGTCGGCGATCATGTCAAGGCCGGCAATGACTTGGGCACTGTGAGAGGTTAGCACTTATTGTGCAGAAGATGTCGAGATCAGGAGGTACATACTATTCACCGTTGCCCTCGAAATCGAGCACCTTGATGGCGAACAGCTTGGCCTTCTTTGCAACACCGTACGTGCTGGAACCGACTGTACCGGCGCAGTGAGTGCCGTGGCCTTGGTCATCCTTGCCTGTGCCGATGAAGTCACCAGCCCAGGATGCACGTCCACCGAATTCCTGTTTTGATGTCAGCTGACACGATACATGACGGACAGGCCGGACTACTTACGCTCAGCTCGGTATCTATACCAGTGTCGAGGACATAGACACAAGTACCCTCTCCAGCAGCATCATCATAGGTGTAGGTGCTGGAGCCGGGCTCCTTGTTGGAGAGGCGAGCCAGTCCCCAGGGAGCACCAGTTTGAGTAGCGAACATGGTGGCCTTCTGATCTTGCTCGATGTATTCAATCTTGGGGCAGCTGTCAGTTTCTGGCCCATATTCTACTTCGGAGAAGTCACTTACATCAGGGTTGTTGCGGAGAGTCTCAACCTCCTCGGATGTCAGGCTGGCCGAAAATCCTCCCAGGTTCTTGTACACATGGTCGGCATTGGACGCAATGCTGGCAATGGCAGAGTTGATGGATGCAGAGGCTCCGTTCTTGACCTTGACAATGTACTTGCCCTCAATGGCCTCCTCTCGGGTGTAGAGAGGAGCACGAGTGGCAGGTGCTGCAAGTGCCAATGGCAGCAGAGAAAGGAGAGCGGCAGAACGCATGATGAACCGGGTATTGAACAATCGGGAAGATGGGTAAGTGTCCCAAGAGTGACGAAAGACTTCACAGGGGAAGACTTGGTCTATTTATGCTCTGGATCGAGCGCCACATCTATGGTATTTCAAAGCCATCTGCGTTTCACTTGTTCCCGTGGGGAAACATTCCACCTTTTTAGGTATGTGACATTGAAAATGGGTTGCTATTTTAGGCTGGTGTTTCTCTAACCCAATCCTCTCGCGCTTGGCTTTATGCTTATTGATCAAGACTTGCGGTTAAGGGGAATTGTAAGGCGGCTCTCTGAAGGATCTCGCGTGCCACTCAACTGACCACCTTGGTGACCCCTGGCACACTGGAGTCATGCCAAGTCTTGCTCCCCACCATAGCCCAAAGGAAGCCAGGCTGACCTGCCAGAACAGGGAGTTGATAGGCACAGGGAACTGCTTCGCCACGAGTTAAAACATGAGGCATGGTGCGATCCCGGAGATTGAGTGTGTTGATCACTAGAGGTGTACACGGGTGCGCGCCAATAAGGTTCCTGCTCTGGTGGGTTGGGGACTGCTGCAACTCCAGCTCAAGTCTGTCATTACTCAATTGCATCTACCTCTTTCGGCAGTCTATGTCACTCGCCTACCAAGCCTTTGTTGTCAAAAGTCCGCCGATGGCCGGCCATTGGAGATAGGCGGGGATACGAGGGGCGTGCCAAGATGTTCGAAGAGGCAGTTCAGACGGCTACACTTGGACCTTTTGGTCAGATGATAGTTTCTATTATAAATGCAATTGATAAACACAAGTGCGAATAACTAGGACCAGGTTCTATTGATAGTTTTGGCAAGTAATGATAAGCGATATGGCCACCGTCTCTCTACTAGTCGAGTCCTATTATCATGAAAACCTTCGTGGAACCGTGCTGGTCTTATAGGTTGGATTAGCTCATCAACCGGCAGCGGCGGTAGCGATTACAGCCACCTTTCCGACCGACTTGCCATCTTGACTTTTCTGATTCTAGAATTGTGCGGCAAGACAAAGGCTGGTTTGTTACTAATGAGGGTTGATAACCAAGTAGTGCGAGACATGTAGACCGCCGACTATAGCTAGATACTTTTGAGCTATATTGCATCGCAATACTCTAGCTTGGTCTAGACTCATTATGATTGGCAAGTACAACTAACGCGACCTACTATAAGCTTTTCGATCGCTCTCGAAAGCCTTTTACTACGCGTGCCATGTTCGTCCGCAAAAAAAAGCGTACGACTGGGTAGACGTATGCTAGAAAGACTAGAGGTAGGTAGCTTACACAGTGTTTCTCGAGTGCTCAATTCAGGCAATATTTTGTGAAGAATTTGCGTAGCACTCAGGTACTTCTTGCGAACGGACGTCTCTATTAATGCTAAGTATGTTCGTATTATCGGTTTGATTCTAATTGAACCTTGTCGTCTATAATCCCCATCCCAGGTATTCAGAGATGAGATGTAAAGCTAATCATGTATTTGATCCGCTAGACCCCTCACCCTATTCCTTCACAGATTGTTCAAGGCAACTGCCTCCCAGTATGCGCTCAAACACTCGGCATTCTGCAACAAGAGCTTAGCCGCAGAAAACGCTGCCGACCGTGACAGTGTTGGTGGAAAGGTAGGAAGGGTGGTCCTTTGAGAAAGAAGCGCCGGCATTCCCGGTGCCATCGGGGTTCTTGAAAGGGGTGCAGCTGACGGTAGTGACATCGGTTCCGATAGCCCCGTCCAGGATGAGGGTAGAGACGGCCTCGAGAGCTGGGTGGCCGGTGAACATCTTGCCAAGAGGCACGAGGATTCTGGTGTCGGTGTGGTCGCCGGTGACACCTCCAAGGTTCTTTCTAACGATGATGTCGGCGGTTCCGGATGATCCCTCAGTCTGAGCTGGGGCGGCCATGGTGAGAGTCGACAAGGCAGCGACAACAAGAGTGGTAGCGACACGCATTTTGGTGATTGTCGGGTTTTGGGCGGAAAAGGCTTGAGATGGTGTTGTTGAGATGGTTTGGGTGATGGAACTGTGCTTGTATTGGGCTGATGTGCTTGATCAGATTGAACAGTCGAATTGGGGGAAATGGGCGAGTATTTATCTGTTAACAATTACGAGGTAAGTTGCCAAATTGAACAATTCATCATCGGCCATGATGAGCCACAGCGCAGATCTTCGTGTTGAAGATTCCAGAATGGAAGCCTGCCCGAGAGAAGAGCCAAAGAGTCGAGGAATCTCGTAGTGATGATGCTTTGCCATTGAGACCCTCGCGAGCAAAGTCAGCACTAAAGCCTCATCAACCACTCGCATGTGGCTTTCTGGCTGGTGAACGCAGTACGCCCGGCGCTTGACTGGCTATCCCTACTTTTCAGGGCAATGATCAACCTCGTATTCAATTGAGATATTCTTGTCCTCGCATAGCCACAACCGCCTTTGCAGGCAAATAGGTGCGCATGGGAGGGGAAGCATGAGGCTTTGAAGCCAACCTTCTCGAATGTTATTTTCTTCTTCTGTTTTTTTTTTACTAGAAAAATATCAGTCGATTGGTGTGTGGCGCCGTCCGGGAGGAATAATTTGTCAATCTGTCAAGCATTTGATTTTCTTAGGGTCGGATCCGAGACGGGAAGATTGTCGGCTCCGGATTAGTCATTCGTAGCTCGTCACACGAGATGCGCCACCACTTTTGAGAGTCATTCATGCTGGGTAAAAACCTGCAAAAAGTGCCTTGTAGAGTGTCTGAAACAAATATGTTTATAATGTACAGGCGTGTTACATACAAAGAATCGCCAGCCATCGCCAGCATGCAAGTGGCTGGACTTTATCTAGCATGTGAATCAACTTTTTTCCGGCAGCCCAATCAGAGGGGAAATTCAAGCTTAAGCACTCCGGGAGGCGATCATGTTCTGGAAGCTGTGTCAGCATCCGCACTTGTCGTTTTTGGGCGAGCTGAATGCTGCGTTAGCATAGCCTGTGGCCCTGGTGCATCAATGTAGGCCACACAACCTTGACGGAGAATAATTTACGGCCCATCCGTTCCTCTGGGGTGTTTCAAGTACGTGATGCCTGGGGCGATTAAATGAGAGCGGCAATCCAATCTACGCATGGCTTTACCGTCCAAAGCTGTTGTGTGCGTGAGCTGGAGGTCTTGTCAACGGTGCGGGAGACTCTCTTCCCAATTACTGCCCAATTGTGCTCTTTTCTCAATTGTTTTCCCAGCCACCGGATGCTGCCCAGCGCCATGTCTCAGCAGTCAGCGATCTCAGTGGTTACATTTGGTGCACTTTCCGCTCTCGATGCTGAGGCTGGCTGCACACCGCTCATGTGATAAATATTCACCAAGACTTGCATGAGCCGTGTCGGTAGATCGCTCGATCCATCTTCCCATTTCCCAAAAATGCAACATTGGTCTTTTTGTCTCTTACGCCAGTAGCAATAAATAGAATAATATCTGCTAAACTAGCCCATAGCGCTCCCGAGGGCCGGATCTCCCACAGCACGGGCATTGTCCCTCGAACCTCGTAAAACGGTGGCGCGAGCGGCTTCCAAAGACACTGGACCCTACTTCCTGCTCAGACCTACCTGCTGCCCAGATCACCTACGTAATTGTAATTATAGGCAGAGTCCAGCGCACAGTCTGCCGCTGCCTCTTTCCACAGAGCCTCAGAGCCCGTGCCCTTTCTGGAAAACCCACTAGCCAATGCAGCCAGAGTCCAGGCGTGAAACGGTCCTTCCTTCCCAATTAACCAGTGTCATGCACCCCAAATCATCACAGTCGGCCGATTTGGTCTCGTTTCAAGCTCGGGAAGGCGCACTGGCCCCATCTGAGGAGATCGCCGCCTGCCTGTCAGTCAAGTAGGCTCCTGCCAGGCCCAACGCTCAAGCCCCTCAGGTCAGTCTGAGCAGGAGCTGAGCGTCAAAGCGACCTGTCAAGAGGGGCTACTATTAGAATATTGGCCATTCAATAGGCTCTCTGGCCAGACTATTGTGTCTCAGACTTGTCATCGCCACACACCCACTCCAAGTCCAAGAATTCTTGAGAACAAATTCCAGCTTTTCCCCCCAGCTTCCAGCTTCCTAGCTCTCTTTGTTAGATTTTCCTCCCTTCTTAGCCCCAAGACAGCACAACACATTGCGGGTTCAGACCAAGCAAGTATGTCACCAGGTGATCCGCCTACGCACCTGGCCCCGACCGGGTTTGCGGCCACTATTCTTGTTGTTACCTGTGTTCTCGCTGGTCTCTCCTTTCTCACGGTTTCCCTGCGTACTGTGGTGCGGTTCGCAGACAAATTATTCGGCCCGGACGATGGCCTGATGCTTGTCGGTTTGGTAAGTGTCCTATCCAATGCTTCACTACTTGACAACCAAACCTCTGACTCCCATCCAGATCTTCTTCCTGGCTGAATGTGGGGTCGTTTCCTATGGCACCTTCGTCGGGCTTGGGTACAAAGACAATTCGACCACCGATCGCACAAAATTCGAAGCCGTCAAGTATGTCATTCTGTGGCAGATCTTCTACGTCATCTCCCTCTGTGCCATCAAGTGTGCCATTTGTATCACACTCGTCCGAATCGCCGAAGCTCCAGTCCACAAGTTTACCATCTACGGCATTGTCGTCTTGACCTGTGCGACGTCCCTGATCGGTTTCGTCGGTATCATGATATCCTGCCCGCCCATCTGGGCCGACTGGCGGCCCGGCACAGCGATTTGCACATCCAACCAGGTCATCTCCTACATCAGTTATCTCGTCTCCATCTCAAGCATCGTAACGGATTTTGCATGCGCGATTGTTCCTATATTCATTCTCTGGAGGACCCAGATACGAGCCCGGGCCAAGTTCGCGGTCGTGGTTGTGTTGGCACTCGGTACCTTGTAAGTCTTCTCGATATATCTGCACTGCCAATGGACTGCATTGGGACTGATCAAACTGGACAAAATAGTGCTTCTGTTACTACCATTGCGAGAATACCGTTTTTGAAAGCCTACAGAGAGCCAGAAGACAACTTCCTGTGTAAGTAGTCAAACGTCAACCTGCCCCTGAATAACCCAAGCTGACCACCACTTGTCTCCAGACAAGATAGGATATGTCATTATACTGTCACTGTCCGAGTGCGGCATCGGCCTCATCGCCGGATCCCTGCCCATGGTCCGCCGTCTCGTCCGCAAGTGGCGCGGCCAAGACGACGAGTCGAACGATACCTCGCGGCTCACGCCCCTTTCATTCATGACGTTTGGCGGCAGCGGACGCAGCCACCGTAATACCATTGCCAGTCTCGGTCCCCGCGGACGAAACGGAAACCCAGCCAGAGGAATCTCCCAGACCACCGTCCGCGCTGCTCAACCAAGTGAGCAGTGGGAAAAACTGGAGAGCGGATCGGGCTCTGCCCGCCTCCCCACACCCATCAAGGACCAGGACAATGGCGAGAGCCCTTCCTCCATTCACGAACGGCGCTCAGTCACCATTGAGTATGAGATCCGAAGCCTGCCTGGACTATCCGAAACACGAAGCCTGCCGCGGTTCTCTAGGTCGAGCTGGGCAGACTCCCTCAACAGGTCTCGCAGCAACAGTGCTTAATGGGGAAGCAAACAACGGAGAAGAGCGCAGGTATGAACGAATGAGATTATTTATGATGTTAATCCCGCAGAGGAAATGAATCAAACTGTCGACACGCAACGAGATATGACACCTTTAAGGGATGATTTTATTTTTGCAAGGAAGGGTCGAGAGACCAACTAACTTTACTCACTTGGAGGGCGACTCGGATCAGGAACGAGTGTTATTTTTGGGACCAAATTGCAATTACTAAAAATGATGATTGGTATTGGAACAATAACTAGGTAGATCTATCCTTATGTGTGTGGTATAACCAGATAAAAAACGCCGAAAATTAAATCAAAAGACAATATATAATATCCAACTACCTATGTATCCCTTTAATGTCCCGTCTATGTTCATCAAATGCGACTTGTATTGTCGCAATGTAGTCGTGAAAGTCAAAACGTGTTTACTCGTACTTGATGGTGTCGTACTGGCTCTTGGCCCTGATGCGGCGGCCAAACTTGAACAGAAGCCATGGGATGGGCATCATGGCGATGGCGATGAAGCCCAGAAGGCTACTCGCCCATTCAATCTCAAGCTTTTGGTACACTGAAAAAAAGCGATAATGTTAGCCAAAATGTTACCAATGTCGATTTCGAGGAAAAAGGAAGACACCTACTCTGAACGGTGAAGAGGGGGAAAACAGCAGCGAAACCGTATCGGGCCAGACTGTTTGCGCTGGCGGCGCTGGCGACGACATCCGGCGTGTAGGCATCCCCCTTGTACTGGAAGGTGCTGATGAAGATGCAGATGTTGCCCCAGGCGAAGAAGATGATGGCGGCGGCGGGACTGGCCCAGGAGACGCTCTCGCGGGCGGACCAGCCGAACCAGAACAGGCCGATGGGGAGCACGATGCTGCCGACCATGGCGCCATAGAGGCGGTGCTCGGGAGGGACGAGGTTGGGGGGGTGGCGGGCGACCTGCTTCTGGTAGAAGAGCTTGTCGCAGACGATCATGGTCACCAGACCCAGCACGCAGCCAATGATGACGGCAAGGAAGACGAGACCGCACTGCTTGACGGAGAACTTGTACACCAGGGTGAAGACGTAGGGAACAGCAGCGAAGAAGCTGAACAGGGTGCCGAAGCCCAGGGAGACATAGAGGCAGATGCAGGTCACGATGGGCTCAAGGAAGAGCATACGCACAGGGCGGAGAACTGAGCGAAAGAAGAACTCGTGGAGACGCTCAGATGCGGAGGGAGGTTCGGGAACAGGAAGACCGGCTTTGATGGCGAGACGGCGGCGGATGATGGGGTGGAAGGTCTCCCTGGAAAGGAGGGTGAAGACGAGGGTAACGGCGGCGATTATCAGCAGGCAGTACTGCGTCCATCGCCAGTTGTGCTCGACTACGGCGTAAGCACCGACAACCGGGCTACCGGAGTTGTTAGTTTCAAAAAACTAGAACGTGAGAGAGGTAAGAAATGTACTAACCCAAGGCCTGGACCGAAGAAACCCATGAGGACAACGATGGCGCTGACTGGGCCTCGCTTCTCTGGCCGAAACAGTTCACTGCATGATCCGACTGCGATGGCCATGGTAGGGCCCCAGCAGAAACCAGCGAGGAATCTGAAGATGCAAAGGGCGGCGAAGTTGGGCGCCTCAGCGGCACCGATTGTGAAGAGGGCACCGGTAAGGACACATCCCACATAAACCCATCGACGTCCCAAAGTCTCGGAGAGCGGCCCACCGATGATAGGACCGAAAGCCAGAGCGATAACATAGAGGGTGAGGGTGAGGATGATGGTGGTACGACTGGTAATGCTGAACTGGACTCCGAGGGCGGTGATAGCGGGACTGACGATGGAGGCGGAAATGGAACTAGAATAAGTGTGAGCGTGATGGCATCTCCTAGTAGACTGCAAATATCCCTTACGCTAAGCACGATACCAGTGACAGCATGATAACATGGATTGCCTTCGTCCCGGAGTTCCAGTTATAGGGGTTGGCGGGGTCCTTGTCCCAGATCTGATCGGCCGTTTCCTTCTCTGAGACCCTCTCGGAGGCCTTTTCCGGGACGGGTGTTGCGACTCGAGTCGTGACACCGCTCGGCGCCTCACTTGGTACGGCGGTTGGGACCTCGCTTTGGAAAAAGTTCGGGACGGGGCTTTGTATGGGGAGAGTGATGACCGATTGAGACTCGAGGTCCCCGAGTTTGATAGAGGAACTCATCTTGGGCATGAGAAGAGATGACCGAAACTCTTAGACGGGCGATGAATGGCGAAGGGCCTCTGGAAACAGACGAGCTAACGACTGCAGCAAAGTGTCTCGTCTCTTGTTGTCGATAACGGCAATCTACTTGGTTGACGGGAGCGGGCCATCAGCTTAAATACCAATGTCAGCCCTGAAGCCGTTGCCAGGGCCAGAACCATAAAAAAGGGCTGCGGTCCCTCATCCCAGACACATCGCAACTCGCAAAAAGAGGATCCGCCATGACCAGACTAATAATACAAACGTGATAACCATGGCTAGTCGTCCACGTTGATCCATGTTGTAAGATGAGGGTCTTCCTCGATCCGGGAGGGATTGTCGAGCTTATGTCGGGGCAGGGGTGGAAGCCAAGGGCCCAAGACCCTCTCACCCTGTACACGGTCTGCGCAGGGCTGAAACGGTATTAAGCTACCGGGACCGAGACTGCTTTTCCAGACCAAATTTTACTTGGCTCTACTGGCGCTTATGTTAGGTCATCTATGCTTGTATAAGTGAGGGGTGAATATTACCTCAACGGGTTGCTTGTTGCGCTTGAACTCTTGGCCTGAGCCTGGGACTGTCCCCAACTCGCACCACCAGCAGTGTGTGTGTGTGTGTAGCATTGGAAGGATGTCTACAGTGGAAGGAATCGCTAGATGTGTGGTGGTGTTGAGAATCCGCCTGTTGGTGGTGTGTGAGCCGCATGTTTAGTGGCGTCTAATGATGGCACCGTACATGTGCATATGCACCATCAAAAGTCCTTTTGATCAAAATAAATAGAAGTAAAAAAGAATGAAAGAATGTCCACAAAAAGAAGCGCCAGACGGTTGGCCGAGGCATGTGAACGACAGAAGGGCGGGAAAACAGGTCATCTCGCACCGCCACGGTGCCTGTTGGTTGCGCTCATGCGTCGTTGTCTTGGGTCGGTCAGCAAATATCCACAGAAGCTTCGAAATTTTATGCCTGGACGGGGGCTCTAGTTGCGACGACTCGGACGCTTAGAGCCAACGGCGATGGGACGGCCCACTGCCGGCATTAACTGCAGCAACAAAAGAGGTCTGGACGGGTGAAACGAGAGCCAACAGTCCGTGGTAGCCACCCGCAGCGCCGATTTTGGCAGATTGTTGGCGCCCAGCACGTGGGACCATCCGTTAATCTGGACGATGAGTGAGATCAGGCGCCTGGAGTTCGGCGCACGCTCCCAATGAGGAATCGAGGTGCGCGATTACACCGTCTCGTTGCTGACTGCAGTGGCTGGCGCGTCAACGGGCCTAAAAATAGGATGCCTGTCCTCGCTCGCTGATGAATCATTTTTGCCCCCAACGGCATGGCTCTGGGAGCATCCCGTCCCTCCATGATCGGCGTGGATCGGTGTTGCTTTCTGTGGCGTGGTGCAGCTTGCATGCGAATCGCGGTGATATTCTCCTTCGCAGAAATACGACCAAATCGGGACACTCCTGTCGACAGCTCGCGAGAATATTGACTTTTTGTGTGCCGAAAACCGAGCCGGGCTATGGGCAGTATCGAGTCGTCGTAATTGGGGATACCCTGTCTCTGCCGCAGCTTGCATGTCAGACGAATGATAACAGACCCGGCCAGAGGAGACTGAGTGTACCCACCAACAGATTTGAGGCCTCGGAGCCAAGCTGGCGGCAATCAGGACGAGGAAGGAAAGAAATTTGAGAGTGGTCAATGTTGGCCAGTTCTTACTCAGTTGGCTGCGGGCCGACTGTCTCGCAAGTAATTTCGAGTAAGCTGAGAGCTCGTACCAGACGAGGCCCGATGATGGTTTTTTTGTTCCGTCTCGCCCTGTTGAACTTTGAACTGTGAACTGTAAGGCATGGCAATTGCGACGAAGCCCATTATGTAAGCGGTAAACAGGTGTAAGAGGCCTTATGACCGACCGCCGCTAGTCCGAATGCGATGAGCAGTGCGGCAGCCAGGCACTAACACGACTGCCAAGAGGTGCGTAAGCAGCTGTAATTCCGTGTATCATCTGCTGCAGCGCTGAGGTTTGAGGAGCTTCATACCGGCATGTGTAATGCGCTCGAGGCCCAGGATTGTCGTATTTGCAAAATTACCCTTCTCCAGGCCGAGTTTCGGGACCTTGGCCACATGCATGCATGACGTTCTTTAGATGCCAAGCTCAAGAAATGAATGAAGCGCAGTGATTGTCCCGTGTTGCAAAAAAAGACCATTGCTTGGTTCGACGTTCACGAGGTACCCTTACCCTATAGGAGCATCCGCTCCGAGAACGACTTTCAACGCAACTCGCGCAGCCTAAACAGGTGCTTCACAGTGAATATTGCCCAAATGAATTGATTTCCAGATCTCAATTAAATTATTTCTTTTCCTATTGGACCTCCTGGCAGCCTTACCACAAACAGTACCCTACCTTCTGCGAATCCTCTTTTTAGTGACTGCTACCTTCAAGGAATACACAACCAGATCATTCTCTACTTGTGTCTTTAAGAAATATTGAAGGCAAAAATAAATCTCTTCACAATTTGCATAAGTGAATAAATAAAGCTGTAACCTGGCGAAGAGATAATTCGTACCCAATTGACGACTGGCATTTTCCAGGCAGGGCCGAACCTACAGGGACGTTGATTACGCCAAGAGGTAGTTGAAGATGCCAATTCACCTTGCAGCACGATACCTATCGGCGCAGCGTCATAGGTTTCAGCATGCGATTTTCGGCATGGAATGTATCAAGATGAATCTGCATATAGAGCTAATCAATTGATACTTGGCACAATGTACAATCAGGAGGGCGTTCGAGGGAGATTTGCACGCCCCCACCGTCAGCTGTCAGCCACGTCCCTGATATCTTACTCTCTGTCTTGAATCCCTTTGGTCAGCCCCCTGAAGATACTTCCATTTCTAAATTTAAGGAAATCGACGATCGTTGAATTGTCAGAATTCGGAGCGGATCGATATCCAATTGCTTGGAGCTACTGCTGGAAAATACCCGCTCGTTCTTTCCCTTGCAGCACAGATCCAACTCTAAGCAAACGTAGATAGATGAGCATTCGGTTTCTGCGGAGTAACCCCCCCATGAAATCGCATATAGCCCTGCTTCCGTACCCTTGAGTACTATAGTATCATCTTCTAAGCATGGCCGGTTCCTTCGCTCTGGGGCCGTACCACCGCATGGCTAAGTCTACCCGCAGCCAAGACAACCAAAACTATCGGAGGCACATCTTCCGAAGCATAGTAGCCGTCAACAGTGCAGAAATCAGCCAAGTTGCTTGTTTACCATCGACCATCGTCATAGCTCTTGTTTGTGCGAGTTGGCATCTCATTGTCCACGAGAACGAGGATGAGTAGACTGTCGAAACCCTGGACGCCTTGAGCGATCATATAGTCTATCCTTTTATGATGATGAGAAAGCTTTCCAGGCTGCCGGTAGGGAGGGAATGCTGGGCTGGGGAAAGGGCAGAGCGAGATTAGATTGTGAGATCATCCACCCCAAATCTAGCATTCGGATGACGCGGTGTTAAAATATCTCAAGGTGCTGAGACCTATGGGATTAATTCTTTCTCTTTGTACTTTGGATTATGGCCTCTTTGAGGAGCAGGTTAAAGCCCTATATTACTTTAGGGAGGCCATCCTTGGGCGTATTCCCGAGGATGAACTTGATACATAGGCCATCTCGACATTAAGGAGTCAGGGGTTAGAGTGGTTCCAGTTTCTTGCCCAAGGCAATATCCTTCCAGCAGAATGCCGTCAACGAAAAGAACAAGTAGGGCGGCCGGTGGTACTGATAAAACCACTCTAACCCCTAACTCCTCAACGTCGAGATAGCCTTGGTATCGAGTTCATCCTCGGGTATATGCCCAAGGATATCCTCCCTAAAGTAATTTAGAGCTCCTCGGAGAAATTATTCAGCATAGGTTGATCTAACTTATCAACCTCATCGGTTTTAATAGCCTTAGCAAAGTCAGCAAGCTTATGGTTGCTGGTGCTAACTTTGGGCTTTATAACATTGCGGCAGGTAATCTTATTGCCTTTGAGAAAAGACACTGGAATCTCGTCTTTTACCATGATGTCTTGATTATGGGGATAAACAGCGATGGCTGAGGGTATATCAGTGCCAGTGCTCTGGCCAAGGGGCTATTGGTACTTACTGGGTTGGTTGGTATGTTGATGTGTTTGGATTGGTGTGTGAGGGCTGACTCCAATACTAATTAATAGCTTTGACTGATTCTTGCCCTGACGGTGGAGGATAGAAGACAAGTGGGAAGCCGGGTAACGAGGGCAGCTTTAGTAGTCATTTAACGCACAGCTCGTCTTGACGCCAAGTGAGTCATCGGTATGAAGGTTTAAAGAATTTTCTGCTCTATGGCTGTAGCCTTGGGCTAGTAAAGCTTTTTTTATTAACCTTTCGTATTCATTGTATTGACTTTGTTGGGATCTGATATCTTCTTTGTTTTAACGTTCGAGCTGCATCTCCTCCGGTACTTTGGATTACTACCTACTTATACGTTCTTTTACAAGATAAGGCATTTGCTTATTGAATTAGTCTCTCGTGACCGGCTGGTAGCAGAATGAATGCGTTCCAAATGAGCTCAAGCTGCTCATAACTCAATGAGAGCACCATCGGGGAACACCTCTGACTACTTGCGCGTCTATGATCTTAACTTAACATTATCCATGCCATTCGTTCGCATGAAGGATGGGAGACAACGCGTACCAATATAGGCCCCATTTTCACTTGATCAACATGCGAAGATCAGTCTGTTGCAACGTGCCACGGTAAACGGCCTGCGTAGAGAAAACGACCAAAGAGGTCAGCAAATGGACAATAATGAGTAAGAGATGGACCATGTATGTATATACCAAGTTAGAAACTTATGATTGTCTAACATCCAACAACTGGTAAGCGTTTGCAGGGGTTGTGTGGAGCAGACTCTTGATGGAATAGCGACTGCGCCGTCAAGGCTCCACCAAACGCTGACCGCAACAATCCATCAGCCTTGACACCACAACTCTTGACCAAATCCTTCGGGAGGAGATAGTCCCTTTCTGGAGTTTCCTCACTCCTCCTAAAGCGCAAAAGTTCAACCGAAGTGGCAACCATCCCACTAGATCATGCGCCTCATTAGCACGAGTACCTACACCCTGCGAGAGTTCCGAGACGGGGAAATCCCGCGCCATGCCATCTTGTCACACGTCTGGGGCGAGGAGGAGGTTACTCTACAGGATGTTGTAGGCTCCCACGCCAAAGACAAACAGGGTTATGAGAAGCTCCGGGGCTTCTGCTCCGTCGCTGCTGCCAATGGCTTCGAATACGCCTGGATTGATTCTGCCTGCATCGACAAAACGAGCAGCGCTGAGCTTTCCGAGGCGATCAACTCGATGTACTACTGGTACGAAGAAGCAGATGTATGTTATGCGTACCTGGCAGACGTAACGGCGACATATGAGATGGCTTCCAGCAAATGGTTCACCCGAGGATGGACTCTGCAGGAGTTGATTGCCCCACGATCCATGATTTTCTATGATAAGGATTGGCAGGTACTTGGGACGAAGGAGGAGCTGGGAGAGATTATTTCAGGATGTACCAGAATCCCCCGAAGTATTCTCTCTGGAGACGAGGACCTTATGTCGCAAAGCGTTGCGCAACGAATGTCTTGGGCTTCGCAAAGGAAAACCACCCGGATCGAGGATCGCGCCTATTCCCTTCTTGGGATGTTTGGTATCAACATGTCTTTGATATATGGAGAGAGAGAGAATGCCTTCATCAGACTCCAAGAGGAGATCATGCGTATCTCGGACGATCAAACGATTTTTGCCTGGCGATCGCGGGATCAGCGAGGCGGGTTGCTCGCCACATCGCCGGATGCCTTTTCCGACAGCATGAACATCGTCAGATTCGATAAGCTTGACGCTGTCGACGAGCCTCCCACCAGTAATAGCCAAGGTATTCATCTGCATGTGAATTTCTTGGGCGTCAAAGTCCGTGGAGTAGGACTGGCTGTACTCCACTGCTGCGACACCACCGACAAAGCGAAGCCAATCGCCATTTATGTCAGAGACTTGGACTTCAAAATGAAGCGTTTCGAGAGGTTCCAATCGCACTTAACCTTACCGATAGATATGGCATCTTACTCACCCTTGAGATTCGCTGTACGACATGTCTGTGTCCAGAGGGGTAATCTCTTGCGCCAAAGAAGAGCAAAGGAAGAATCCTCCTTCGGAGTCGGAGATATTAGCAATGAGTCTGCGGAAATAGCTGTCGAAAGATTTCCAGGGGTAAGCGGCCTCACAGAAGCAGCGAGTGCTGGCCACAGTGACATTGTGTGGCTTTTACTTACTCTCAGAGACATAGAGGCTGAGCTCAAGGCTGGCAAACTGTCCAGAGTCTTTTGGGCAGCGGCTGAGAGTGGTCATGCTAAAGTTCTCGAGATTCTTGTCTGTAGAAGTCAAATTCCGATCAATGAGGTTGCTAAAAATGACGAAGGGGAGTCACTTTTAGTAATGGCGGTGAAGGGGGGAGCCCTTGATGCTGTTGAGCTTCTGATAAATGCGGGCATTGAGTTAATATCATATCCTCGCCAGTCAGCGTTGGGGTACGCCGTGATACTTGGCAGGGAGGACATGGTGCGGCTGTTGATCGAGAGGGGGGCAGATATTGCCTCCGTAGACGCCCTCCACAAAACACCTCTCTGTTATGCTGTGGAGAACAGCCGCGCACCAGTTGTAAGATTGTTGATTGAGATGGGAGCTGCTTCAGCTTATCATGGGGTTGCCAAGAAAGATGCATACTCAAGGACACCGCTATCGTACGCTTCAGAAAAGGGTCATGTCCAGATTGTCCGTATGCTTTTACCAGCGTACAACAAGGAAGATTTGGAAGTGCCCAATCAAGGCTTGCGAACGCCGTTATCTTTCGCCGCAGAGAAAGGCAATGACTCCGTTGTGAAGTGTCTTTTGGACAGCGGCGCTGACCCACTGAGCCGTGATGTAGCAGGTAGATCGCCTCTCCATTTCGCAGTGAGCGAGGGCCACGAAGATGTTGTTAAGTTGTTGATCGAGAGGAGCGCCACCACCCTTGAGATCGAGGACGGGGGTGGCAAAACACCACTCTACTATGCTGTCAAAAGGGGCAGCATAGGCCTTGCTCAGCTTCTAGTAGACGTAGGTGCCAATACAAAGACGAAGGACCGACTTGGGAAAACTCCTTTGTCTTATGCCGTGGAGGCAAACGACGCTGAAATGACCAAATTTCTGATCGATAACGGAGCGCTCATTTCTGATGAGTCTCGAGAGGTGCGCAGAGCATACAAGAATATTTCCAGTAGACACGATACTGTAGCTGCTCATAAACGAACTTCATCAAAGCTTTTTGGGATAATATAGAATCGTTCCTCCTATGATCGAATGCACATTATTATCATTTCTCTTTGTGTGATATTCTTTGTTGCTTGTGGTTGGAAGCGTCTGTCCGTTTGTTTCGACCTTGAACATTCGATATGTGAATGCCCACCTTTTGTAAGCTACCGCATCGATTTCCCGTGGCCTTTGGTTGGAGATTTGAGTTGACTTGTCCGAGTTGGTTATCTGTTGCCGGGGTGAATCTGATTGAGTATGACGTTGATCACTTGATGTGGCGACGGTATCAGTCGTGCGAGTTCCTCTACAGTTTCCGATGCCGATGCTGCAGATTACTCTTCCGCAGAGTTTTGTCCTCTGTCCTCTTTGACGTTTGGGTGAACTTCTGAAAGGCGGTCATGATTGAAATGCGGGAAAAGTTGGTGTAAGAGAGACAACATTAGCCCCTTTTTCATCTCTAAATCGAAAGCCTTTGTCAGCTTTGGTCTCTCCACCTCCTTATAAACTCCTTTGATAGTGTTGGTAGACTTATCTGGCAGGTTGAAATTTCTTGCCAAGTCTTTGAGAACTTGAGTCAGATCGTTTTCGGTCAGGATCGTGGGATGACTTTTTGGGTCTTCGGTCTGGAGGGGGCTCCATTTCGCCAAACCTAGATGTCATTAGCCCAAATCTTCTCTTCAAATGTGCTAAGGAACTATATATACATTGTTCCAAGCAATAGCCATGTGGTTTAAGCACGGCGGCTACTGCATCCCGAGTGCCAAGCACCTCGTAAGGCCTCGGCTAAGTTGGGTCATGCCGGAGGAAAACACCTAAACGCTGGCAGCTCAGACAAAGTACCTGGCGTGATCATCTTCGACGAAATCTCACAGGCGTGGACAGTTGTGGCTTTCGAAAGGCATGTTTGAAGGACTGGAGACGCGCCTCGGCAAAGGTAGGTAGTTGAAGCAGCTCGGCGCTAAACTTCCATTGATCGAGCAAATGGCCGTAGGGTACCGGGGTTGGCCTGTAGTTGGAAAACAAATAAGGACTGAGTACTGAGTTACCTAAGATGGACTGCGCAATACTCTTGTTGGTACTAGCCCGGCTTTCTTGCAACGGAAGGCGATACCAACCTCAGGCACCCACTACGACACTCACTGCATTAAGGCATAGTCCCGCTGTGACACTTATCACGTTACCATCTATGATGTCACCTGCTATTGAATGAACTGGTACCGGCGAATGCTTCTCTTCTACCATCCTAGGACATGGCCATCTCTCGACGCATGCATGATACCAAGCGCCAAGGAACTCTTATTTCGCCGCAAAAAGATTCGCGAGTCCCTCGATGCTCACATTTCCTCCACTAAGAACGATACCAATATCCCACCCAGCTTCGCCTGCCTCCTCTTCAACCATCTTTCGAAACTCCTCGTTATAAAGCGCGACAGCCAGTGGAACAGCTGCACTAGGCTCAATTACCAGCTTCATCCTTTCCATTATCAGCTTCGTCGCCTCAAGAATCTCCTCCTCCGTGACTGCATACATTGCAGAAACAAGCTTTCGCTCATAGATAACACCCCAAGTATGGACGCCAACCGTACCCATCAACCCGTCGGCGATGGTACTTGTTTTCACCTCCGTTATCCTCTTTCCGGCTAAGAAGCCACGTCGGACATCATCTGCCCCTTCAAACTCTGGTTCGGCACCGAAGACACGAATACCGGTTCCTTCGCAGCTGAGCGCGACCCCTGATAGCAAACCTCCGCCACTGCACGGTGCAATAATCGCATCTACCTTGACCTGTTCCTGCAACTCCAGGCCAACACTGGCTTGGCCAAGGATAATGTCTGGGTGGTCGAACGGCGGCACAAGGCGTGCACCTTTTTCGGCTACGATCCTAGACGCAGCAATTTCTCGCTCGAAGCGTCCGCAAAGGACTACCTCAGCTCCATACCCCTTGGTGGCTTCGATTTTGTTTGGTCGCACAATGTCGGGCATCACGATATAAGCCGGGATTCCGCTCTCTCTAGCCGCGAGCGCAAGTGCTTGCGCATGGTTGCCTACAAATGGTGTCAGAAAATGAAGTTCCGTGGAGACAAATTTCAGGGGCCGGTGGTATCCTCATACCGGAGCTAAAGCCAACAACACCATTCTGCATGCCTCCGCCCTCGAGCCAAGTCGAGTCTTGTTTCAGTTTCTCAATGGCATAGAAAGCTCCACGAGCCTTGAACGCTCCAATGCGCTGCAGGTTCTCGCACTTGAACCAGAGCCTGATAACTGGTTTTGCAGGGTTGATTACGCCAGTCTTCGGTGTCGAGGCCATCTTGCTCAGGGTGGCGCCGCTCATGACTGGCGTAAGATGAACCAGTGGCTCTATGACCTTGTGGGCTTCGATAGCACTCTCCCTGGTCAAGGGTAAACATGTTGACACGTCAGCCATGATGCAAAATCTCCACAGGCACTGATTTGAGAAGGATGTACAAGAAAAGAAAGATATTCCCCGCAGACGAGGGGGGCGGATTGTCAAGATATAATCACTTCGCCAAGGAGGAAAGGGCGTGAATTAGTCACTAGGAACCCAGCCGGCTTTCGGAGCAATTGTGACTAGGCGCCCATCTTGGCGCGATGCTGGTCAGTTGATCGGAGCAACGTATTGCTTCCGTCTACGATGATTAGATGCCGCTTATCATCCCTGACACTTTGGCATTGGCCGATATACGATAGGAGATGGTTCCCCCGCTTGTTTCTTGTTCATGTATCTTCTAGGTAGATTCCTTTCTCCGTAACAGGAAGGTATGTAACAGAGAGAGTTCAAACCCCGAAGAACACTAGGATTCGTTAAGTGACGACGATAGCATATTGAACGCTCTGTGGCAATAACACGAAGGTTCCTCTTCTGTAGACTTAAAGGCTCTATAGACTTTAAACGCCTTTGTATCAATTCTCGCTCGAATCCTTTCACAAACGAACTTCGCTCGCAGTGACTGCTGTCTTCTTGGTCAAAAACTCTTTTCATTTCGGTAATCTTCATTATTTTTCTCCTGTGTGTCCACTCTCTCTGTTGATGCAGGCCAAATATCGGCTACACTTGAGCGGCGTACTCTGCTAATCTACATATTCTCCCGATGGATAACAGTGGTTCGGCGATTGCAAGCGGGGCCGAGTTCCAGCGGCGATGGCCGAGTTACTCGGTCTTTCCACAACTGAATTTCACTCCCTCGAAACCACCATCTCAACAGCAAAAAGATTTTACCTCTAAAGGTACAAAAATATGACCACAAATCCCTCACAATACTATGAGAACGACTCTAGGGGGTGATGAAGGTATGCTCGTTTCTTGGCTATTCCATCTTGCGTTTCTTTCGTGACTCTGGAGCGGGAGAACGTCGACCACCAGTGGGTTGCAAAGGTGGAGGAATGGCTCCACCGCCACCGCCGGATTGAGGTGGAGGTGAAGGACTTGGCGAGTCCGGGGCGTGGAAGGCCGGCGAAGTTGGAGAGTACGGTGGAAATAGTTGGGAGAAGTTTGGCGAAGTTGGGCTATAAGTTGGTGAATATATGACGTTCAATGGCGAACCCGGTGGTGAAGTTGGGTGGTAAGATGGTGGAATTAGGGAGCGATGAAGGTTGAAGCTGCCTTGAAAAAGTCCATCAGGAGCCTGTGAGGCGAGTGAGGGTTGCTGCTCAGAGTAGAGATTTGGCTCGTCCTCTTCGTGATCGGCGCTTGGTCCTGCGGAAGGACCCGAACCAGTCACCTCCTCATGGTTCAAAGTGCGAGCTTGCTCGGGGCGGCGGCCCTCATCAGTGATTTGGGAGGCAGATTCGACATGCTCTGTTGCCTCCTTGCTTTCGCTCATGGGGTCAGGGCTTGTTCCCACGAAAGCCACCTGGGGCTGTTAGAAAGAGGCGGTTCGAGTAAATCGGCCTCACTTACGGGTTTCTTGTCCTCTTGCTTGACGTTCGACATTGTGTACCTCGAAAACAATGTGGAAGGAGGCAGATTCTGGTTCTTGTGATGTATGTCGCTGGGAGAGAACAAGGTGGAGAGAAGGATATTCAGTTCTTCTGGTTTCTGTCACAGTGCTCCGCGCCTGCCGTGACAACCAACCGCTTGGCACGATGAAGGAAGGCGCATCAGGCAGGCAGATGTGAAGGAGCGCCAGTAGCCTCAGGCTCCAACCATGGACTGGTCGGAGTGAAGCATCTGCTGAGGTGATATGTCAAAGATGCTTGATATTTTATGCAATAACTTTCTTGACCAGTCGCTTTGTGTGGCCTTTTCCTGGCCAGTGTGCTCAACACCTGCCACTTTATAAGGACAAATCGTAGACACCAACTACAAATTACGCTCAAGACAATTGATACAAATTCTGCGCCTTTGCTATCCTAGTATGCATAATAGTAATGCGATGCATAATTCTCAATGCTTTGAAATAGCCTCGCTTTTTCTGTTGTCTTTGATAGGCAGTAATCTCTCCTATGTGCGCTATTATCGAGCGGAGCAGCCTCGCCTAGTTGGTATCGAGAGAGCGCAAAAATTCGCAACTATGATTTCTTGTAGTATTCAAGACCATTTGTGTCCTCGTTTAAAAGGGCATTTTCAAATCAGAGCATGATTGAATGCACATGGTTGTCCAACAACTCTAAGAACTCCGCACCAACAGAACAAGGGCTTAGAATAATTCAACAGAGTGTCTTTGCGTAATTTTCTATTGAGTTCCCGTTCGGAGACCTATGATCCTTTTCCATTCCTTCCAATTATCTTCTGTGGGTAATTGAAAGCAGTACGATCAAGACGGTGTGGTGGTTGTGCCCACCCATGCAGATTATCCAGGCATTACATATCGCCTTTACGAATACCGCGAAAACACCGAATACACACGTGCACCTAAAAGCTAATCCAATGGGGACTCAATTAAAAATAATATGCATTTATTGATTCCACCAGATGCCCACTTGTAACCTCGGATATATCTGCTGCCTGCATTGCCGAAGGAGAGTTATCTCCATCTGTGCGCGCGTAATCCTAGCCCGCTTACAAACAGAGCCTTATCCACCAGACGCGAACCCTCCCGGTGGCTTGTAGTAGCCTGTGTGATTCTAGAACGCAATCTCTTCCTCGGAAGGTGAGCTAGGTGCATGCATAATGTCCCACTGGCTTCTCGTCATGCCAGCAAAGAAAGGCTGCTTGCCTCGCTAGACCAGGGCATTACAAAGTGCACAGGTAGACCCTTCAGGTGAGAGGTGGATCTCGACATAAATCATGGGGTTTAAGTTTACAGTTTGAGGTAGACTTAAAGGAGAACGGGGACGCCGAGTTCCAGCTGATGTAGATCACAGGAAGATGCGAGTTAAAACACTGGGAATCATGGATGTGTCTGTGGCTAGGCATGGTTCGTCACCGTCTTTCCCTGCTCTGATGGAGCAACGCCGATCGAAGTCCATAATGGAAGACCAAGGCGCAATTTGCAAAATCGGAACCGAAAGACAGACGTTATGCTCCCGGAATTAACTCCAGACTGTCCGTGCCATTATGTCATGGTCAGCTTGAGAGGTTGCGTGCCACCTGCAAGCGTCAACGCTCCAATATTGATCTCGAACCGTTACCCCTGTGGATTCGTGGAGCCCCGCCTCTCTTTGATTTGCTCCTTTAGCTGTAAGGGAGGCTGATCGGCACAGAATTGTCCATTAGATCTACATATGAGTGATGTTTTCTCGTCGTCACACGGTGAGCATAGTGCCGGATTGCCGAGTTTCCAGAACATGACTTGCCAAGTCGGGGATGGTTGTAGAGACCCGCAGTTATCGGCACCAATGTGCCGAGCGTGAATGGGCATCTACTACAATAATTGGTGAGATATTCGGGGATTGGGGAACGCGGGGCTGCGGAGTAAGATAGGGTTGGAGATTGGAGTTGGCTCCCTCACCAGGACGACCATCGAGCGAGGCAGGCAAACTGGGGTAACATACAACGGTCTAACGGTGATATGATAGTATCTGTGTTGGCGGTACTTGAAGCAAAGTGTGAAATGAAGGTTTGATAGTACCTGGCGCCATGAACTGGGAGGAGTTTAGGGTGAGGAAGCCAACCACCGGCTGTCACAATTCGGTGCTGACAGTGACATGGCACGCGGCTTGCACGGGCCCGGCCACGAAACACCATCGAGGGTCCACTCCCCCAACTCGAGTAAGTGTTGGACAAGGCATGAAGGATCCTGTGACAGTCGTATGATAAGACACAAGCCCGAGCTAAGCTCGGGAACGTAATCCCCGCAGACGAAGTTTTGGGGGAAGTGTGGAGAACCGTCAGAAGTATAACAACCTGGCAGCCGTCGTGCCGTGTTATCCTGCCGTGGATGAGACCCTACCCAGCCCTCCTGTCACTGCCCCTTTATCGGTTTCTGACAGACCTCTCTTTGTCTCTCATCTTCCGTACACACAAGTTTGACGAAGATTGAGCGCAATCGATCATGGCCGGCGACGAGTACGATATCAAGGCGCCGCATGTTGGCATGTCGCCTCGAGAATATGCAGCCACCAGAGTATCGACTCTGAAGCCCCCCATGCTGAACCTGCCCAACCCCATCAAGCTATTGCGGATGCTGAATCGGCAGCAATGGGCCTTCTTCATGGTCGCTTTCTGCGCATGGGTATGCTCTCATTGCCCTCCATCCACGATGGGTTTCGATGATTCGTCCGATCACTGACAGAGAAGTATTAGACATGGGATGCGTTTGACTTCTTCACCGTATCACTTACCGTCACCGAATTGGCCGAGAGTTTCGACAAGTCCAAGACCGACATCACTTGGGGCATTACCCTCGTGCTCATGTTCAGGTCTGTCGGGTCAATTCTTTTCGGTGTCGCGGCGGATCGATATGGAAGGAAGTGGCCGTTCATCATCAACAACATGTTGTTCATCGTTCTCGAACTCGTAAGATATTCCTTAAGCCTCACTGTAAGCAACGAGCTGCTAATCGGGCAATCAGGGAACCGGTTTTTGTCAGACATACTCGCAATTCCTCGCCTGCCGTGCGCTGTTTGGCGTTGCCATGGGTGGTCTGTACGGTAATGCTGCGGCTACGGCCCTAGAAGACTGCCCCGAGGAAGCTCGTGGACTGATGAGCGGTATACTTCAGCAAGGCGTAAGTGATCGAGCTGATAGGTCTTGAATGATATGCGGCTAACATTCGTTCAGTATGCGTTCGGTTATCTCCTCGCCGCCGCTTTCGCTCGTGGGCTTGTTGGCACGACGCCACATGGCTGGAGACCCTTGTTCTGGTTCGGGGCCTGCCCTCCTGTTCTCTTCATCCTTTGGCGTCTGGTCTTGCCCGAGACGGTCGCTTACCAAGAACGTGAGCTCCTGCGACAGGAAGCCATTCACGCGGGTAATGCCGGAAAGAGCGTCGGTAGCGTTTTCATGACCGAGGCCAAGGTCGCAATGAAGAAGCACTGGATCCTCCTCGTCTACCTCGTCCTTTTGATGGCCGGTTTCAACTTCATGAGCCACGGAAGTCAAGACCTGTACCCCACGATGCTGACCAACACACTCGAGTTCTCGCAGACGATGGTCACCGTAACCCAAGTGGTTGCGAACCTCGGAGCGATCACCGGCGGCACCGTAGTCGGTTATCTCAGCCAGTCGGTCGGTCGTCGCCTGAGCATCATCATCGCCTGCTTCGTTGGCGGTGCTTTGCTCTATCCGTACACCTTTGTCCGCGACGAATCCATCATGGCAGCTGCCTTTTTCCAACAATTCTGCGTTCAGGGAGCTTGGGGTGTGATTCCCGCTCACTTGATCGAGCTCAGTCCTGGTAAGTTGGCCTTCAGTTTCTCCTCCACTCCTCTTGTGAATGGCCGTTTGTGGCGGATCGACGCGGCGAGACATGTGGTTGGATCGATGATCGTATGCGGTCTGGTTGGTAATGCGCTTGCTAACATGCTGTAGGTGCTTTTAGAACCGTTGTCGTCGGTACATCGTACCAGCTGGGCAACCTCGTTTCGTCCGCATCTTCAACGATCGAAGCCAGGCTCGGGGAGCGATTCCCACTTGCAAAGAGCGCTAAAGGCGAGAGCCGATACGACTATGGCAAGGTCATCTGCATCTTCATGGCCTGTGTGTACGTGTATGTCATCGTGTTGACGTTTGTCGGCCCCGAGAATCTGAGAGCCAAGTTCGATGTCGCACACGACGCAGATGCGCAGGTGGTAGTAGGAGACCAAGCGCTGGAGAAGGTCAAGCTAGGACGAAAGGACGAGGAAGAGAAGACTCAGGAACAATGGAGGGAGGTTTGATCCAGAGAACATTGCTTTGTTCTTAGGCTCGCTTAAATGTACCTTACCTAACGGGGAGTAATCCAACAGCCTTGAGACAATGGGGAAGCCACGTGACTTTGCTCATCCCACGCTGTAGGTACGCTACCAGGACGTCCGAGGATTGCTCAGCCTTTGAAGACCCTTTTTACTGCTCAAGCAGGTAGCCGATAAGTAGGGATAGCTAAAAGCTCCTAGTGCCAGAAGAGACTGAGATATAACCTAACCGAACAAAGGAAATGTCCTGTTTCGTTCCCTCGCTCGCATTTGATGTCCAATGTCATGTGGACCTAATAAGAAGTTGGTTCACATAGAAGGGCAATTTTTGTAATCTTATATATAAGTACACGCAAGGTGTGGTTACCAGCTACCGAGGCTAAGTTTTGGTTCCATTGCTCTTAAGTATTGGCATTGGCGGTGATGGTGAATGTTCAGACTAAGGGAAATAAGCAAGTGAATGTTGTGATCCAATCATAGAAATAACATTCAAACCAACACCAACTCTTTAATATAGGTTTCATCTATCGGACAGCCAGCTCTTATATCGTAACTAAGATCGATCAGCCGTGCGATTGAACTTCACATGATCATCCTCACTGCTTCTCCAGCCAGTACAGGGTCGGGATCGCAGTGTTCCAGAACACCGACTCTCCAATCTTCTCTCTGATTTAAGCGAAAGTTATTCGGTGGGTCGCGTAGGTCCGACCGAAGGTGGTGATTAAAGCCCAATTTTGATTGCGAGGTCTGGCTATGTAGTACAATTCACCTCTTAGACCAACTCACGATGCATGGCAGTTTTTGACTCTTTGTTCTACAGCACTGGCTAAGCGAGAACTCTGGTCTGCAATCAGGAGATCTCGCCTACTTGCTTCAGATGCTTCATTTTGAAACAACATAATCCAGCTCCTGTGTAACATCTGAGGGTATAAATCTGAGCCATCATGGACCTCCTTCAACTCCTTCCTCTCTACATTTTCTCATCAAACTGAATACTTAGCAAATCGATAACCTCGAGATTCGATCACTTTAGAAATTTGAAAGCCTCATAGAATCAGAACAACCATTTCATCTCATCCAATACAATGCCGGGGCTTTTCCCAGAATTGCCCGCTGAAGGGTCGAATGGTCTCGAGCTTCAACTATATGAGAGACATACTCAGCTGGATAATGAGAGTATCGAAGGGTTAGACGGTGGATCCACGAAAGGGCTGCAGATCGAGGCCAATCGCGAGCCAAAATACCCTCCAGGCCGCCAGCAAGTTCAACCACATCAACCACCCCCTCTTCTGGGAGAACCTAGCCCGCCCTTAACCCCCCGATGTCAACCCAAGCAGCTCTCGACTCCTCGTTGCCAAGATCAACAAGGCACCGAAGATCTAGAAAAGGGGGTTAAGTGGAAGGAGGATAAAAAGGAGAACAAGGAGGAAATTCTGAAGGAAAAGGAAAGGTTGAGGAAGAAGGAGGAGAAGTTAAGGAAGAAAGAGGAAGAGCTAAAGAGGATGGAGGAAAACCTGAAGAAAAAAGAGGAAAAGCTAAAGAAGCAGAATAAAGGAAAAGAGGAAGATAAGTCGAAGAAGGAGGGGAAGGAGAGGGAGAATGGGAAGGGGAAGAAGGGAGAGAAGGAACATGAAGGCAGGGGGACGAACAAGGGACCGGATGAAAAGGACAGGAAGCAGCGCAAGGACAGGAAGAAGCGCGCTGGAACAGGGCAATCCGGTTGTTGTTGTTCCTGATGAGGTATAAGAATTCAAATTTAAATTGTTGAGCCCCCGTATGCCATCTTGCAGGAGGGAATTTCTGAACTTCAAATAAGCAGTATGAGTACCTAGGTAAGGTAGGTAGGTAGTGGTTCTGCGGAGGGAGAAGGAAGTGGCGGATACTACGGCCAGCAAAAGGCTATTGGTTGGTGGGAAGGTGCGCTCCTCTATGCTTCCTTGCCAAATGGCGGGCAACATTATTCGGGCCATCAAACTTCTTTTCTCACATTGCAAGTTCCTGACCGTCACCATCTTCAACATTAGAATCACAATCTTTTCGTGACACCATTTCCCTCCCGAGTGTCATCAGCCATCGTCCCAGAAGGTGGCAGGGTAAAAGACAAAGGGAGCCTATCCAGCCACGACCTACGGATCAGCGAGCGATCGCAACCAAGCCTCATCTCCTAAATCTTCAACATCAGAAAAGATCCTCTCATATACCGCAACTATGCGTCCGAGAACAATCATCTTCTTTTCGTACGGAATGGAAGAAGGCGATGCAGTGTTTTTCAGAATTGGAATCATAGCGGAGGACCCCGTGCCAGGTCAACCTTTCCCCGAAAGGTACCTCATGGGAGACTTCATCCTGAGCATACTCCCTGACCTGTGGAGTCGACTCATTGATCTATGCGTGGAGCTCTACTGAGTGTGTGTGAATCCTTAACCCTCGTTTATTGATCATTTCGAAGCCGTGCTAATCGCAATCTTTCTCTTGCTAGGAAAACGAACCGAGGAAGCATACACATGTAGCAAAACAAGACGGAAGTGGCACATGGTAGCTTTGCAGTATGCCTACCTACTGAAAGACAGAAAGCCTAAAAGCATCTTTTAAAACGCAAAGATAGAAACAATGGCCGTGCAGCTCCAAACATAGTCATCCAGGCGCACCTAATAAACAAAAAGTATCCTTCCGAACCTGCCTCCAGCTCTTTTCCAGTGAACTCAAGTTCGTGAGCATAGAATGCATTATCTCAGATCTCTGCTCACATGAGACTCAATTTGCATCAGTGCAGACCCCAGCGTTGGAGCCTAAGGGAATTATTATTACGTACAATGAGTTGAGCCCATCTGATCCACCGTCTAGCTAATTCTTACACAAGCTGCTCATGATGTTCTGCTAAACTAGATACAAGGGGCTCAGAGACTGAGGAAGAACTTATTCCAGGGAGGGACCTGGTTCTTGAGGAACCATATTAGCAAGACCAGACAGCGGGCATGTTAGTGATTTCCATACGTCTCAATTTTCTTACGATGTTATTGCACCATCAGACTGCGGCTGTCATGTCTCTATCTTGCCCGGCGTCCAGGTCCAGCGAGGAGAGTCACTGCAACGGAAAGAAATGCTGAAAATAAGTATGTTTGAAAGCTCCGGGATACGTCTCTTTGAGGAGGCCAACCCTGTTGGTCCATAATGTAACATATACGGAGCTAGTCAACACCTTGCCCACGTTGTCTCCTCCTAGTTACCAGTAGCTTCCCAACTCTCCTGCTAGGCCGATCAAGACAGATTTTTTCTTAACATTCTAGGCAATCACTTCTCCCCAACCTTAAATCCAGTCTCCTTTGTCTAAGCCCGAGACGCTCCTAACCAGGGCTTAAGATGGAGGACCACCACCGCCGCCTCCACCTCCGCCTCCACCAGAGTTGGGATTTGTGACAGGCCCTTCCTTGTAACGGAACACAGCAGGCTCAATATCCTGAGATCGGGAAGTGTCAATGCCAAATGCGATCCAAGCAAAGAGTCCGTCGCTGACATCGTCACCAAGAAGCGTAAACTCCATAACCGGGTCGACTCCGTCAGTTCGCGTCTCCTCGGCCAGGATGGAATCAGCAGCGTTGGTGGTCAATTGCTGGCGGTTAGTGCTATACGGGGACAGGAGCTCGACTTTGGTGATGAGGGACTGATCGAAGAAAGCCTGGCCGACGTGGCTGGCCTTGATGTTGTTACCGAGGGTGCCGTTATCGTAGCGGGTGGCACCAGTGTGGACCATGATGTGGATGTGAGTGGCACGGCTAGTGTAATGGCCTGGGAAGATGGACTCGAACTGGGCGACTCCGTCCGAGTCTGTTTCCTGGATACCACGGAGCCAGGTGTTGTAGATGTTGGAAGTATCAGCGGAGTTGCCGTTTCCTTGAGCGTTCACGCCCGAGTAAACTCCGGTGGAATTGCAGTGCCACATCTCAAGATAGACATCTGGGACTGGGTCGCAAGTGTCGACATCGATGACCTGATAATCAAGGATGGTATCAAGACCAGCTTGGGACTCAACAATGTTGACCCTAATATCCTCTCCGGAGACATCTTGTGCCGCCAATTAGCAGTGATTCGACCAAACCGTTATCACAAAGCATTATGAAGACTACTTACAGTAAGGGCCTTGAGTCACTTCAGGCGTCAAGACGCAAGAGTTGATGCCAGAGAAAAGAGTATCAGCAGGTGTATCAGTTGTATACCCCTTAGATGTCATATCATGGCTCTTGTTCAGGACATCATCAAGACTACGCTTCTTTCGGAGCTTCTCACGCGCTGCCTCAACAAGAGCCGAACGGCGCTCGTGATTACGCGCGCTCAGACCACTCTCTTCCCACCTCTTGAAACAGTGGCTGAGGGATCGCTTGCCGACCTTGGAAAGTGCCTCGCGACGCTCAAGAGCCTCAGCCTTGACGTCGTGGCCAGGGTGGGCGCTGATCCCGCTCACTAGGAGGGCAACTGCGAGATTTTGAAAGCGCATGACAGAAGTTCTGACCAGAGTAGGGTAAAGCCTCGCTTGTGTGGAATACTGAGAAAAGTGGTAAGGAGAAGATGGCTGTGAAAATTCACGCGTTCATTCAGACCTCTTTATACTTTTCGTCTCCGAGTTTTTGTCTCTTCTCTCCCTCTTGGACAGGCTGCTTTACTCACCGATCTTTTCGGCCTACGCCTCTGGGGTCCTAGCTTGATTGGAAGGTAGCATCGTTGCTTGAGTTGCAGGCACATGAAGCCAGACACGATGGCCTCAAGAACCAACCGAGGATGTCTGGTAATGACCCCTGAAACTGGAGCGAGTTTGTTTAATTCGAATCGTATTGGCCTATCACGCAGCGCGTATTTCCAAGGAAGAAGGAAACACTTGCCTAATCCTAGCCGCGGAGAAGCATACAAAAGGCCCCAACATAAAGAGTCGCATCGAGTTCTGACCCTGGAACATCAACAGGGGGTCCTGCAATGAGAAAGAGGCAATTTCTAAGCGTTGAAGTCATTAGAAGCTTTTCCACTCACGGGCCAAGAGCAACGTCCGATCAAGTTCATGGGTTACTTACCGAACACAGCAAAAACTACCCCTGCAAGATCCGTGTCTCCAAGGGTGGGATACGCGGAGGTCTTTATGCCTCGGACCCAGAACCCCATTGAGGCAAGACGCGCGGCCTCTGAATAACCTCAAACACTCATATGTTCCATTGGCTACATCTTTGGGGATATTTTCCCAAGTTGGTCAGGTGAATTACACCCTGCCGCGCGTATATTGTGTGTCTTCAAGATGCGGTTCGAACAGAGCTGAAAGAGGTGCCACGGCGCAACTGAATGTGCTGAGAGTGACGACTCTGTAAGGCTCCAATCAAGATGATGTGCAGTAAGTGAACCTTGAGTAGTTTCTGGACTCTTTCTTGTAGACGTGGTAAAAGCAAATCCCATAAAAGGACAGGGGTTGAGGAAAACAAGCTTCTAGCGTTACATAAAGATAACAAGCTTACCGAGGGTTCCCACAGGGCTCTGAGAGATGTTCTTGCTAACACATTGGCGCCAAAACCTTCTTTTTGACCGCTCGGTTCTATTGATCCCATCGGAGCTACGGCAAGTACGCAAATCCATCCTGTAACCTTGTAGTCAGTCATTGTCTCAAAAGCCACTTCCTTTGTCAACACCCATTGATTGTGAGGCTTTGTCAGGAACTTCAACCTACGAGAACTCAGAGTCGATCAGGATTGTAGATGCAGGAGCATGAGAGCATTCCTTCCGCTAGCTACGCGAGAATTCTGCCCCTCACCGGCCCGCTTCCCCCGTTGGTAGTTGAGAACTCAACCAATACTCGAAATCGCAATTATTGATCCAAGCTCCCACGGTTCCTTGTTATTTCTCCAGCGGGGTCGGTTCGGGATTCCTTTTTGCTTTAGCGAGATTGTCCGAGGTTGGATCTTGTTTTCGAAGCGCGGGTTGACGTGGCCTCGACAAGGGTTGATGTCGAGAGGGGCCAGGAGATCGTTGCAGATCCACGGGGTGCCTGAATCAAGGAGGTGTAGAGTCACTTGGGAGGGGAAAGTAGTTCTTGCTCGAATCAAATGGGCTCCGACAGAATCGGTGTCGAGGGGTGCGAGTGTTCTCGATGCTTCAACTCGGCAGCAGTTCGCGGACAAAGGAATTCCGTTTCAAACAAGGGCAGGCGATTCAAAAGACGGAATCAAGAAATTGCGAAAGCCAATCAGGATGGGATTCGATACCGTGGCTTGATTGTTTGGTCGTTGACTGTTCTTCGATGGGATGCATGACTGGAGGCGATCGAGCGAGATCGAAGCGAAGCTGAGAACTATGATCGGAACAGATACAATATCGAGTCGTTAATACCACGCATGAGCTGAGATTGGATTTTCAAACAGAGGAGAGAAAAAGAAACACGGCAACATCGTAAGTTACCGAGGTACGTAGCCATTGGAGCAGGCGCACGGCGGAGGAAGGAACGAAGGGGCAGCGCGACTCGGGCAGATTCACGTGACTAGAGCACTTCAACAGTCAAAGCGAACAACAAAATGTAGAACAGAAGCCTGATGGAGCAGTTTCCAACTAGACAATACTTCTTGGGAAAGATGACTAGATTCAATGATGGAATAATCGAAGCGGTATTAAAAGATTGGGGCTCAGGCATAGCTTACATGGACTTGAGTCGAGACGAGCAGGCTGAAAATCGGTCAGCAAGACCAAAACACTGAGAAATCAATTGAGCAGCATTTCGGCTGATAGTTATTTGTAGCGGTGTTAGATTCCTCTCTAGCAGAGCTATTTCCTTGCTTGTTGAACGGACCAAGTGTTCTCACAATCATTAAAGCACAACAATCACACGATCATGGGAACTCATCAAGTTGTTAATATACCAATGTCTACATTCATCCATTCATTATATGAAAATTATCTGTGATGCATCAGGCACCGTGTCTCTTCAAAGCATCATGCGGGGCGACGCCACCCGCTCCTGCAAATGAAGGTTGTTCCTAAGAATATCGTCCGCCTCCCTGTCCACGGCAGCATCGTCCGGAAGTTCCCAACCGGCGAAGCTGGGGTAGGGGCTCCTGGGGTACTGGACCTTCTGGCCGTCGGCGCCCTCGACCAGGAGCTTCCTGTTGAGGATGTCGTCGGCCTCCTCGTCGATGACGATGGTCGAGGTTCGCTTGACGAAGTTGGCGGCCTGGGCGATGCCCGGGAAGTCGGAGAAGTCGATCCCCTTCCACGTGCGGGCCTTGAGGCCGCGGTCGTGGAGGTTCCTGTGGACGGCCTCCTCGGTCGCGTCGGCGGGAGCCTCGCGCGGGGAGGGGGCGGGCGCCGCGGCGATGGCCGACAGGGCAGCCAGGCCGGGGAAGTTGGTCATGTCAAAGACCTTCCACTTGCTGGGCTTGGCGTCGTCCTCTGGGAGAACGGGGGCGGCGGCGGCCTCCGTCTCGTCCTCCTCCTTGATGGTGTCCTCGCTGTCAAAGAATGTGGTGGTCTTCCAGTGCGCGGTGGCTGGAGTGTTGAGAGGGACGCTGAAGCGCGGCGCGAATGCCGTGACGGGGGTCGCGACGGGACTGCAGAGGCCGTACTGCTCCCTCAGGGGAGACATGATGGGCGTCCCATGAGGGCTGGCGAAGCGCGCACTGGTGGCAGTAGGAGGGCTCGCGGCAAGCACAAATTCAGATGCCGCGGTGAGCAGCAGAGCTGTGGGAACGGGGCCTCTCCTTGCACTAAGCATATTGAATTAGTTTAAAAGGGTGGAGTATTGAACCTGCAACACTCTGTAATAAATAAGGGGTAAATTGAAACAATGGAAGAGAAGATGCTTAGTGGGTTGAGACCAGCTCGAGAGGTGTGAAGTGTAGACTAATGGTGGTTGTGTGTGATGGGAGGGAAGGATTTGGGACGAGAGCATCGGCTGGCTTCCTTATATGTGAAGCGAGGACTGCTGGCTGTTGCCACCGGGCTGGCGCAGGGCAATGTGCTGGTCAGCACAAAGGGAGAGCAATGACAGGGCATGTCGAGCACAGGCAAACATTCACGCGCACGGCAGGCCTTCATTCGCTGCTGCGTGAGCACTGACGGCGAGGTTCTGGGGGGCCATGGCAGCATCAGCCAGAGTGCCCACTCTGGTGCTTCGGCTGGTGGCAAGCAGAGACAGAAACCTCTGTCAACAGACATGACAATGACAATCAGCGGCAACGGCCCCCAGCTCCCGGGCTTGGGTCCTCGCCACGCCTGTCATGCCCACCGCCTGTCTGTCTTGTTTCTCGCCGCGACCCAGGGATGATTGGCTCGTGCATCGTCAAGGCCGGAGGACACAGCTACCGCAACGGCAGCGACCGTCTTCTTCACACGCTTCGAGGCAAGTGGCGTGGGCTCTTGCAAGCAGCATCGCCGACAGCAGACGGAGAGGCAGCCAGCAGGGGAGATGCCATTGGGTGAAAGCTCGCCCCATGCACAATATGTCAGCAAGGGTGGATATAGAACAACAAATTTGATTGGCAATGAAATCATCTCTCGTCAGAGCAAATCCGAAACGTGTTTCAGCTGTGTCTGCAGTTTGCCCCTGCCCCCATCGAGGCCAATTGATTCCCCAAAGCGCTGCTCAGCCTGCTTGCCTCAGATGCTGTTTCGTGATGACTATCAGATCTGCTACCGTGCCGTGCTATTACTCTTACAGTACTGCCTCAATCAGGCCAACGAGCGCTGTCTGGTTCGAGCCCTTGATCTCGTCCACCTTGTCGCCGCCTACGTAGAGCTGGAACGTGGGCATCGCAGTCACACCGCGGTGCTTCGACAGTTGCGGCAGCTCGCCAGCGTCGACTCTGAAAAAAGATATGGCATGGAATTTTTCCCAGTCGGAGCAGCTGCCGTCGTCAGCGATCATCATACATAGAGTGCCTATGGTGTAGTGAATTTATAGCGTTGCTCGTAGCGCAGCAGAGGCGACGTACTGATCAAACACTGGAGCAATTGCTTTGCATGATCCGGATGTTGAGGAGTAGAACTCGATGACCGCCACACGATTCTCCACCAGAAGATTATCGAACGCGTCTTCACTGCAAACGAAAAATTAGATCAAGCGACCAAGTGCTTTTTTTTACTGTTTCCCTGCGTCCGTCCTTCTATTATACAAGGCGTACCTCGTGATGTTGCGTACTGGCATGATGGTCTAGGGTAGGTGGGTAAATGGGATTTAATGAGGAACCAGACTCCAAGAACACGAGAAATTGGTCACAACGGTTCCAGCTGGCATATTAATCATTTTCAGGTCTGAGATGCCACTGCGCTAACGTGCCTAGAACTCACTCACTTGGCTACTCAGCCGTGAACTCTCTCGCCATGTGATGCTATCACCTGGACTCGCAGTCCGCCATGACGCAATCTTCACATCACCAACGCGCCGTTTGGCGTGAACGGGCGGCTCTAATTGATTAACGTGTCAGTTGGCGGGGTTCGACCGGCTGCCGCCTTTTTTTTTTTCTTTTCTTTTTTTACGTGCCAATAATGTAAGTTTCCTACCTTAGGTATTGACAGATGCACATGCATCGAGTCATGTTGTCAATGATCCAATTTTGGGCTTGGACCCTGGAATAACCTCCGATCGCGTCTCCCGCACTGGCCCCACTTTAGTTATGGGCGTTGCTAGATGCTGCTCACACGTCGGTATTGACTTTGAATATGACATTTTGTGCTGAGTTAAATCAAATCTAGCATTTTTGGCGAAAATAGGTGAGGGAATTATCATCTTGATGTGAATCTAGATGGTGACTGGAGCGTAGGCGCTGGAGAATCTCGCTGTGAGCAAGGCTAATTCTGTCCGCCTCATCTCAATATGGAAAGAGCTTTCGGTTGGTACTACACAACGGCTATATCCAACTTCTCCCAACCTTACGCATCAATAAATTAACATCAGGTAGAAGTACCCTTTTATTGTAGCTAATTAAGTAAATTACTAAAATGCTCGAATACTCCAGCCGTTGTGCATCTGGACGCAACGGTAGTGTGCGCCAGATGTTGGTGACATTGGATCACTTATAGCGGTGGCAGTATGTTGGCTGAGAGCCAGGGCTTGGTTTTAGAGCACGCCCATGACGCCCCTCCAAAGTTCCCTCATGAATGCAACAACCGACCAACAAACGACCAACAACAGCACCAACAATATGGCGCCGCCATTTTTGATGCCTGGCTGTCAGCCTACCTGCACCAATCCTATCGAACACGCGGCCAATAATAGGCCCTGCTTTTGTATTTCTCAAGACGTATTGCCTTCTACGAGCGGCGGGGTCCCGGGACAATCGCCTCCCTCGACGACTATTCCACCTGAGCCGATCCTTCCCACTGTTTACTTTTTTCGTCACCCAAGTCAACAACCTTCTTTGTACGAGAATCGTATACTTGGTCGAATCGGGGGAATGCAGCCTATCCGTGTTTGGCTTTCCCGTAAGTCCCTGCTCCCCTGATCAAACGCGTTTCTAAGCTAAACCCGCACTGCAGCTCCTGGGCCGAATCCTTGGAAGGTATGCACCGCTCCAGAACAATCAGAAATCCGATTCTTTTCTCATGCTTATCCACCGTGCTCTCTAGGTCATCACCGTCCTCGAAGAACTTGCTGTGCCCTACCAAGTTGTGTCGATTCGCTTTGAGGACATGAAGAAACACCCGTTTGCGGACATCAACGGCCGTATTCCCGGTATGGCTTCAAGAAGTAATCGATAAAGCTTGGGATACATCTAACATGTGTGCAGCTATCGAGGATCCCAATACTGGCGTCAAGATCTACGAAACTGGAGCCATTATTCTCTACCTGATCCAGAAGTACGATACCGAGAACCAGCTTCATTATGATTCTCTGGACAAGGAAGTTCTTTGCAAGCAGTGGCTCATATTCCAAGTCACCGGACAGGGCCCGTACTTCGGACAGCGCACCTGGTAAGATATCCGGAACATTCCTACATATTGCCATGCTCATACATCTACAGGTTTACAAACCTCCCCCCCGAGAAGATCCCCTCCGCAATCGAGCGTTTTTCGAACGAGATCAAGCGCGTTCTTGGTGTCTTGGATAAAGCACTGGGAGCTGAACCCAACAAGGAGTGGCTGGTCGGTGATCGCATCACATACGCCGACCTCGCTTTCGTTCCTTGGAACGACCTACTGGACGCCACGCTTGGAGTCCCCGCCGATAAGAAGTTTGAAGGCTTTCCCAACGTCAAGGAGTGGCATGAGCGCATGACCAAGCGACCTTCCTGGATCAAGGCTATGGCACTTAGGGCCCGTCTGATGGACGAGCACGGCCTAGACTGGAATAGCATGCCCAAGCTTATGCCCAAGCTTGTGACAGACTTCGAGGAGTACCAGGAAAGTGTTGCTCAGGACGAGGGTACAGAGGGTACATGGGAATCCAGTACGATGTTCTGTGATGTCGGTCGACCCCTACTACCTTAGGTTTGGATCCTTTGCACAGGAGTAATTGATACAGATAGTATCTACGAGAAGTATGAATTGATCTCTGTATCCTTGAAAAGATTTATTTAGGGTTAGGGTTAGGGTTAACCTCACATAAGAAAAGATTGCAATGCTGCGTCACTGAGATTGGGACAAAAAGTTTGGACGGTAACCAACATAAGTGACAGCAGTGTTTGCGCAGAAAAGGGGCAAGGGCACCTGCCGGGCGTCTTTGAGCAGAGTTGGGGCTGGGAACTATGAGGAAGGATCACGCAGGGCAGCCAAACTACTCAGAGTGCAATACCATCAATGCTCTATTTGTTATCATAACCAGTCTAATGAGTTCTTCAGCTCTCGCTTGCATACTTGGTGAGACCTCTAAGTAAAGCGCCTATATCTTGATGAATTTCCAAGTGGTCCTCCCGTTCTGCCTGACCTCCAGCCCCTTCCCATCCGCCGAAGTCGTGACAACATTCAGCCTGAAAGGCGTATGCGGTGAAAGAAGCAGATTGCCGCCCTCTGGATGCGGCCGGATAGTGAACATCTCCCACTGCTCAAGCACGGTTGACGAGGCGCGGACGCCACTGATCCCGCCCCCTTCCCAGCTGCCATCGTGGCCCATGAACCGCCCCGACGCGGGGTTCTGGAAGCCCAGATAGCCGTCCTTCTCGACGCAGAGCCAGTGCTTCTTCGCGGCGAAACCGTCGCCGGGCGCCTGGAGGAGGAGGCGATCGCCGCCGACGAGCGCCCCGGGTACGCTGATGGCGCGGCCGCTCGAGCTCTCTATGATGAGGTAGGTCCTTCCATGCTCCGGCGCCGAGCCAACGCTGCCGTCGCCGAGAACAGAGTCGCTGACTGTAGGGGTACTCGACCCGAAGCTCGAGGAGAATTTCTCGTTGAGGTTTGAGCTGCCGTCGCTCAGGGTGGACATTTTCGCTGATGTAGTTCGTGAGGCTCGAGGGGGCGATGAGAGTTCTTTCTCGTTTGGAGTTATTGAAAGGAAATGGGTTTCGTTAACTGCGAGAATGGATTCGGATCGCTTTTCTGGGAGGAGATGTGCAGCCTGCTGACGTTTCATCAGCCGATCAGCACTGCCACATGATCGTGATCAGGGAGGTCAGTCACGTAGATCGGCCTCTGTTTCCATATCGTCTACTGAGAGGCCGGAATATGCCGCTCTGTTGCTTTCGTAGGTTCGATGATGGCATTGCGCTGGAACCTTGTATCGAATGCTGAATCTCAACCCGAGCTCAATACGATGGTTGGTGACTTTCCAAGTTGTAAGTGGTGTCGGTTGTAGGGGGAACCCCGGGCTTCAGCGCCAGCCCTAAAGGGGCAAATCTGATAAGCGAGAGACAGGATGAACATTTGGACCACCCTTGCTTTTGACAAGAGGTAGAAAAAAAAACGAGGGAACAAAATAAAAGCGTTGGCGGATTCTCAAGGCTTGGTCTCGCACAAAGAAAGGACGTTAGCCAAGTGCAGGCTATCTGTGTGAATGGATTGATGAATGTTATTTTACAACGGCAACGGCTGTTGCGCTGCTGCACTACAGTGACAAGTGGGGCTTTGCGGCGATCTGCAACTGAATTTGCAGTTGACAGCGCTGCCTTACCACCGCATTAATCATCGCTGCAGCTGCTGATTCAACATCACTTATTGCACACCAAAGCAACCGAATAAGAATATTTTCTTTCTTTCTGTCTTTGAAGTTAATCGAAGGGTAATTGCTGATTTTTAGACGGGATTTCTACTACCAAAAAACATTTAATGATAAGTATTCAACGCTCGATGATTGCTCCCTGGAAACCTTCCCCTTGCGCCGGGAACACCCCATTTGTCGGACACCCACGTCGAGTCCCTAGATGCCGGAGGACTGCTAGATGCATATGGTCAATATGCAAATTCCAACCTTTTCAGCGCAGGATAGTCGGCCAAAGTCTGTCACTAGTCCCCGTCGGGCAAGGTGTGTGATTACCGAACATGGTTTTGAAAGTTGGTGATTGCTTCGTCATCCGCGCCGGGCCGAAATACAGGATGTAACGGTTGGATTCTACCTCGACTGGGAGTTGCGCGCCCTCCAAAGGTCCACTGACGGATCCGTTTATATGTGAGAATTTCCCGGGAATCTCCAATGCCGCCCCTCGAATGTCTTGAACTTTGTCGTTGGTCCTTCGTCCAATGCATTGCTAACAAGGCCAGTCTCATCTGATCCCGAGGAAAGAAATTGCCCGCACCTGCACCATGGCACAAGGCGATGTTGAGAGCCACCTCGCAAGTGGAGAAGAAACCGCCGATGCAGTCAGCGCCGTCTTCACTCCCATACGACTAGAAAGAGAAGGTACGGCCGGATATTCGAGAACCACGACGACCGAAGCACTGGCCCATTCTTGGTCCCAAAACGGATACAGCTGTGATCCTGTACTCGATCCCGACGAGAGCTCCGAAGATGATGGGCCAGTGAAGAATGATTTCGTGGTGGGCTGGGACCAGGGGAGTCAGGATCCTCTGTGTCCACGTAGATTCAACACTACGAGGAAATGGATTATCGTTTCGATTGTTTCCATGGCCAGTCTTTGCGTGTAAGTCGCACCTCCTTTTTTTACATTTCTGGGAGTCAGATTGGGAGATCAAGGCCCTGCACCACATGAAGCATCTGCTGGTTTTGATAACTAAACAAACCCTTTTCCAGCACGAGCGCGAGCTCTATCTACGGGTCGACGTACGCGCAAATGGAAGCAGAGTTCGGCAACTCTCGCATCGTCTCCACCCTTGGCCTGTCAATGTTTGTGCTTGGAATCAGTCTGGGCCCGATGCTCCTAAGCCCCCTAAGCGAGTTTTACGGACAAAGGCCGATATACCTCGTCTCCTGGACAATGTACATCATCTGGATTATCCCGCAGGCCGTTGCCAAAAATATCCCTACCGTGATTGTCGGCCGCTTTTTCGATGGACTATCAGGCAGCGCATTTCTGGCAGTGTCGGCTGGCACGGTGGGAGATTTGTTCAACCGAGACGGACTTCAGGGGCCGATGCTCATGTTCTCATTGGCACCTTTCGTTGGGCCCGCGATTGGTCCTGTCATGGGAGGGTTTATCAACTATTTCACAGGCTGGAGATGGACCTACTATGTGCTGCTGATCTGGTCTTTTGTTATCTGGCTATGTATCGTCTTTCTCGTGCCAGAAACTCATCGTAAGTTGCGGGGATTCCTTGACGCTTATGTCCGATTTTCTGACCTGGCGCTGTTCGACCTAGATTCTATTATTCTCAAAAGCAAAGCCATAAAGAAGCGAAAGGAAACATCCGACGATCGCTGGAAAGCACCCATGGAGATGTCCGACAAATCCGTTGCCAGCGCTATCGGCCACTCGCTCCTCCGCCCCTTCGAGCTCTTGATATTTGAGCCCATGTGCTTGAACCTGTGCCTCTTCTCTGCTATTCTTCTGGGCATTCTCTATCTTTTCTTCGGTGCCTTTCCCCTGGTCTTCCGAGGCGTATACGGGTTCAACCTTTGGCAGAGCGGCCTGACCTTTTTAGGCATTCTAACTGGCATGCTCTTCGCAGCTGGTTTAGATCCTATCTTCGGACGTATTCGCTTGAATCTTGTTAACAATCTTAGCGCTGAGACAGGCGTCGAGGGGTCTAGCGAGCCCGAGTTTCGATTACCCTCTGCGATTGCGGGTTCTGTGCTAGTTCCTGCGGGTATCTTCATGTTTGGGTGGTCTTGCTTCCCCTGGGTGCACTGGATTGTTCCTGTGATTGGATCGGCGATATTCGGAGCCGGGTTAGTTTGAATATTCCTCCAACTCTGAAGACATGCTCCGGGACTGGTTCTAATTGAAGTGTTTTTAGGGTTGTGCTCGTGTTCAATGGAATATTTACGTTTCTGGTAAGTGGCCTCGCTTTTTGTATCCCCTGAAAAACATACAGCAAATGGTCTAACCGTGCCGACAGGTTGACGCATACCCTCAATCCGCAGCGAGCGCACTCGCCGCAAACGCTTTCGTTCGCTGCGCATTCGCAGGTGAGTGCTCCCTGGCATCTATCCCGCCATGCTTGACGAGAAGTTGAGTAGCTCAGGAGTTCATCGACTCGTGCTAACTATCAGCAGCTGCGTTCCCCTTATTTGGAGTTCAGATGTACAACAAGCTCAACTACCACTGGGCGTCGTCACTACTTGCCTTTTTGACCGTTGCTATGATGCCGTTTCCATATCTATTCTTCAAATTCGGGAAGAAAATCCGAGCTACAAGCAGATTTGCAACATCATGAACGTCTGAACAAGGATACATGACTAGTTTCTCACAGTTATGGACAGTTTCTGCTGCCAAATCTGGCATTGTTGTAGAAATCATTAAGCTTTATGAAGATCCTCAGTGCCTAGACGATGCAATCCATTGTGAGGGCTACCCCTTGTTAGCCACGTGATAACTGAATGCGCGTTTAGCTGGTCAGGACTCGTATGATGATGGGCTGACAGTGGAAGCCTCATCTCGTATTCATGTGCCGACAGGAAAAATCGATTCTATTTCTATAGAGCATCTGCCGAATCGCAGAAAACGCAATGACGACCTAACAGGATACCTTGGCGAAAGAATATGCCTACACCTAATATTGTGGTGGTTATGCAGGGGTATTAGACCGATGATTGGCTACTCCTTCATCGATGGCAAGGCATTTTCCTGCTGAATCCTACTTGGTTTAACCCCGGTTCTCGCTGTCTCATGCTTGGAAACTAGCGCAAGCGACTGGTTTTCTTTGGTCTAGTTGACGGACTGTTAATTGAGTCCCCTTTAACAGGGCTTGTATGTTGTGATTCCCAGACACAGTCTTGTATGTTAATAACAATAATTACAATGTCTTTGACGAAATCGACGCAGGCGACTGCAGCTTCATCATCGAATGCCTTGACGACGCCTTTCAAGCAACCTAGAGGCTGCGGTAACGAGTTTCCAGTGACGAAGAACTTCACCAGCTTCTACAGGACCAACAGCACAACGACAAGCTCAGTCCACACTGTCATCGCCTCTGGCCCTGGCGCCTCAGGGTATGCGGCCTGCCAGCCCTCACAATGGGATGAGACAAACACAAGGTTTTCGTTCAGCCCGGGCGTCTGTCCCAGCGCGTGGACAGTCTGGCAGATCTCGCAAAACACCAATGGAACCTGGACGGCGCTCTGTTGCTCGAGGTCTGCATGAAAAGCCTACCCTGCATCTCCGGTTCTATGATGGGAGCTCAGCTAACCAACGCGAGTCTCCAGAAACTTCCATCCTCTCTCCAACACCTGGAACATCGAGGGAATTCCCAACGACGCCTGTGCGAGCATCGTGACGAATAACATAACCACATCCTACGTCACATCTACCAACACTGTCACGGTCGGATCGGTGATTCAAACAAACACTTACACGTTCAGCCCTAGCTCGGGAACCACTACCACGTGGATTCACAATGCTTGGCATGTTTCATGGGACCCGACAGACGTTGTGAGCCTCACACCTTCTCCACCGACGCCTAGATGTTCGACATCGGGCATCTTGAGCTGGGTGCCTGGTGAGAGCCCCGGAAACAGCAGCACGGTGTACGGCTCCGAGTGCCAGAAGCAGGAGTCGGGCAACACCGCGGGTTGGGGACTCTATTTATTCCTGGTAGCTGGCTTGCCCACCATCATCGGTTTGGCCTTCATTGGGTGCTGTGTCTGCGCCATTCGAAGCAACAGCACGCAGAGAAGACGCCAAAGGGAGAGGGTGGCCGAGGCTTACCTGGCATCAAGTCAAGCAACGGCGACCAGCCAGAGCCAGGGGAAGACCCAACCAGCGGTTCAGGAGACGATACCGCTCGAGACCGTGGGACGGGAATGAAAGCTGGATCTGCAGTAATCGTAGTTGCGGAGTACCGCGGGATTGTCCTGTTCTTTAATTTAAGTGGACTATAGTTGCCAAATATAACGTGTTGGGTGAATCAATGATAAATTGGAGCCATTTTCTCTATAAGGGCATGAGATAATATGCCTCATGGAGTAGGAGAGAGTGAGTAGGGGCCTTGAGCATATCAAAAACTCCTGGCTCTACCACTGCTCGAACCTGCTAAAGTGGAACTTTTGGATGCAACCTGATATTATTGCCACTGTCATCCTAGACGGACCCTAGGAGGCAGCTCTATCGATCTTTGCCTATGATGGGAATGTAGGTGGCTTTGCATGGGATCCGATCAGATTGAAAAGGTACCGCTGTCCTGAGGGCTAAGGGGGTGAGGCGTACTCGGACACGGGTCAAAGCCTGTGGGTACAAGTCCAACCTCTGAAAATCCTATTGCGAGAATAAATTGGCATTTCATAGATGCGTAGGAGTGTAGTAGCCCCACAAGCCATATTTCCACCGTATTAGGGAAGAGAATGCCAATGCTAGTGCGATAATGTAGTTGATTATGAATGGTACGCCGAATAGAGTTGCTTTACTCCTCGAGGTTGTTCCAGACACTAGGGCCAAGGTCACCCCAAGGCAGGATCCAGGGGCAGTTGGCCATCCGCAGAAGGAGAAAAAGAAGGGTAAAAAGACTACACAAACAAGGAGAAACACTGCTGCTCTCTTGAAGATGTTGGCGCTGACATGTACTGAGGCTAATGTCGCGGTGCTTATGGCCAAGAGAGATTTGGTTGCGATGCTTGCTATGTTAAGAGCAAAACTACTCGAGGTGAAAGCCTCAAGGATATCGAGGTAAACTGCCCAGATGCCCAAGAATAGAGATAAAAGGAGCCATTTTTGTCGAATCATCCCTTGTCGTAGGCTATAGAAGCCTTGCGGTAGGGGAAGTCCCGTGACTGAGCCGCCCTGTAGGAGGTTCTCGATCTCATGTTCAAGCTGCTTGTCGTCTATCGTTAGATATTCAATCTTGGCAGCTTTTAGTTGCCCGCCAAGTACTTCTGTAAACTCGAGGAGACCTTTCCAATTGTTATAAATGGCCGCGAAGCCGTTGAGTTTGAGCGTCAAATGGCTCTTGGCCCAGACGAGAGCCATTCCAATAGTCCACAACGAGAGAAGAATGATGTTGATGAATAATTGGAGGAATGAAAACCCCCACTGGTATCGCTGATTTATCAATTTATTAGTCCAAATTTAGGGGGATACGCCGAACTAGCAGGTACCTACATTCTGAATTGGCTGGCAGGTGCCGTTCTTTTGAATTGTTGCCATATTGTAGGCTTCATTTGAGAGCGAGTATGTTATCAAAGATTCATCGTTGAACAAAGGATCCATGTAGTTTATGGAGGCCCAGACACCTTCGGTGAAGTTCGGTGTGAAAATGTCTAGAGGAAGATAAAATGCCGTTATGTTGAGCGGCGGACCCCGGAGAGTTTCTTTGCCCCAAATTGTGTCATTTTGGCTCTTTTCGATTGCGCTTCCTGCCATGTTGGAAAGGCCATATGATAGAACATCTATGAGATACTATCAGTAAACCCTCAAAAAGTCCGAATTAAATCAGAATGTCTTACAAGCAGTAGTATTGCCTATCAAATCAGCGTGTCGATTGGGATTTAACATGCTCTGGTAGCCGCCGATTATGTCGGGAAGCCAGCCATAGCGTTGTAAAACCAAACCTCGGGCTCCTATTTTCCTCTTCAGCATATGCTCTCGGAGACCCGAATGCTGAAATTACCTTCGTCATAAGGGACGTGTTGATTCTCAGTTAGGCCAACCCGTGTGCCGTCGTGGATGATGAATGCTAATGGGAAAGCTTGTGAAAAGCTGTCAAGGCCATGCTCTCCCAAATCAACCCATGCTTGATTTGCGGTCGTATATCCAGCCAGCGAACTCATCAAGGTTGGAAATGCAACGACGAATAGTGCTGCGATGACGAGAAACCACATTTTGAAGGCTGAAGCGAGCCCCCGCCCAAGGAAAAACTGTCTCGCCAGTCGTAACGTAGATATTGTCGACGGTTCGGTGTAGAATCTCAAAAGCCACACTGTGGTATAGGACGCAGGTTTTGTGGCAATGGAGACTGACAAGTATTCGATCCAAATTCTTGTCGATGCTATCGCAAGAAGTGACTGTCCTCCTCGGCCGATTATCTGAGCGGAACGACTGTTAGTCCTCTTGGCCACCTCGCAAATATATGACTTGTCCCAGCAACAAGGACAAGTTAGCCGATCCGGCAAAGAATACTAACTAGATTCCAAAAAATATCAACAGCCTTGGCTGAATCAAAGGACAAAGTTCCTGTCCTCAATGTGATTTGGAACAACCCTTTTGGTGCCCACCAATCGAAAGTGTCTGCGATCGCGTTGAATGCCCCATCTGGGTGACATGGACTGTCTTTGGAAGTCCCTGAGCCAAGCGACACCAAAAGCATCCAGACGACCAGTGCGACGAGGCAATGTACCCAGATGGCGAAGAGATACAGGGGACCTTCGCGCTGCCATTTCATGGATCGCAAATCATGCCATGCTTCCTTGAACGGCCTGGCACATTTTTGTCGGAATGAGATCTGTGGCTTTTTCATAAGTGTTTCCTGCAAGTTGGATTCGCTGTCGCCATGTTTATGCGTAGCCATAGCGGCCAATCGAAGACCAATTGTATCCAAGTAATGTAGGCGAGATTAAGCTTGATGAATGTAGCCGATGGGCATCGTTGATGAATGCTAGCTTTTGTGCATCAAAGCTGAAGATACTGCGGCTCGGGGTATTAATAGAGGACGACTGGCTGATCCACCTGGGCTGCAAGACTCCTTAGTATAAACCCGTGGCTGAGAAGGGACTGTGGTTGGCTAAGTCAGCTTCCTTCAGGTCCTTCGATGGTACGGTGACTTGGAACTTCAGTGTTTGATTCCATTCGATATGCAGTCATCGCGTCAATGCTTGCCCCGTATTGGCTTCTCCGCCAGGTAGGGGGGCAAGGGGGGCAGCATGCAAAACGCCAGGTTGGTCCGAGATCGAGATCGTCAAGCCACTCAATAGACCGAAGATCTTTCGCTGTTTAGCCTGATGCCTGACTGATACTCAAGGTTAACTTGTTGACCTCATTTTCTCTTAGGTATTGCTCAAGTTGAGGGTGCGGGGCAAGGTCCATTGGCAGGGGGTAGATGGCTGTGAGTTGTTTGTTTGGTCGTCGGGTAAATGTGTGCAATGAAATGCCTAGAATTCCGGGCACAAACATGGCGCATAAGGCTGATTTCAGGCTTCCTGCTCGCCTATCGCACAACCCTCTTTGCAATACACCGCGCAGGCACTGCGCCACATTAGCGAACCGCCCCACGTTATGCCTTGCCAGCGTCAGTCGAACGGATATATAAGAAGCATTGGGATGGGTAGCAAGTTCTTGAAATCAGAGAGCCGATCAGCTTCAAAGTTGTTGCTCGTATGTGAATGGGCATCTGCAGTCTAACAATTTCCTTCGTCGCTTCCTGAGAAAATAGCGCCATGGCGGACACCATTTTGATGAAAGTACCTCCGGAAATCCTCGATGGTATACTGGACAAGGTCTGGGACCCAAAACCTCACCATCCTTGAGATCTGAACTGACTGAGAGATGGAACACAGCTGTCAAAACGTGACCTGACAGCTCTGACCCAGGTATCCAAGGAGTTACACAGATTTTTCTTCGAAAAGGTATGGAGGTCGGTGACCATGACGCCGGTCGACGAATACCACCAGCAACGCACGCCAATGCAGCTGTTGTCCGCGAGATGTCTCGAGAATGCGCAAGAGCTCCATTTCAAGGCAAACTTTCAGTACTCAACAACTAAGAGGTGTCTCCATGGGCACAACGAAAGCGATGAATGGTACACTCGTGAAGGCCTCTACCAGGGAGCTCCGCGAGCCGAAGTGCTGGAAGGAGGCGGAGAACACCCACCGCCGTTTGAATCCCTTTCACGCAAAGCAGCCTCGGTACTTGGCCATGTCAAGCGAGACTCCCTATCCAGTTTCAGGTATGAGATGGGCGATGGCGGATTGTGATCAAGATATTGTCCCGCAGAATCGCTGACACAGGTGTGATTGCAGTTGGGATCTAGGAACGTGTATCCCGGCCGAGATTCTAGGCCAGAACGGAATTCTCCCCCAAAAGCACCCGAAACTGCAGAGTCTCAGCGTGTCCAGTGATTTCTTATGCAATAGAGGCGGCAAGATATCCGTCTCTGCATTCCGCAGCCTTCAAAGACTGAGATGGAGAGCGCCGAACAGAAGTCAGGTGGACGCCTTGTCCGAAGCCATCGAGAACAATGCGAGCCACTTGAAAGAGCTAGAGATAGACTTTGCTCGCTGGTTGACACTGAAGGATACGATCTCGTACCCTTATGGAGGCTTGGGCGGTGGCATTTCGAGAAAGGTTTTCGGGGTCGGCCCCCAAGGCCTTTATACCGAGGTCACCCAACTTGCGGGGATTCCAAGTCCACCGCAAGGCATCATCTTCAAGGAAATCCGCTCACTGTCTCTCACAGAGGTCCCGCTCACGGCAGACTTGGCGCGGGCGATTAACTTTGAGACACTACAGTCCCTCAAGCTCCGCACATGCCCTGACTGGTTTGATTTCCTCAATGCTCTTGTTGAGGATAAGGTGAAGATCAATCTGAAAGCATTCGAACTGACTGATGATCTTGGTGAATACCAGAAGACAAATGATCAATATTATGCCGCCAGTGTTGCATCAATGGCTGCCTTCTTGGCTTCATTCAAGGGGCTTGAGCAGCTTCACCTGGCCGCCTTTGGCTCCCAGGACTCCGCTGCAGCGTGGAAGGGATATGCCCGCGACCATGGAGAAATATTGAAGAGTTTTGTGGCCCATGATCGATTTGCCAATTGGGACCGACAGAGCTATGGCACCGGACAAGTTCGCGACTCGAATTATATTCTGTCCCGTGACCAGGTCAAGCTGTTCAAAGAGGACCCCTCACAGAATCCTCTATCACTCTTCAACCTGAATTTCTTTGGTGTGTGCTGTCGGACGGAGGATTTGGTAAGTGCACCGGCCCCTTGGCTTCGTTCCCTAATCTAACACACGCTCAGCAAAGCCTGCTTGCCGGCCTCAAAGAGCGCAATACTCTCAAGGTTCTTCATGTCCGACAAAGTAGCGCATACCTGGAGATGTATAAAACCTCCAGCGCTGTGAGCCAACTGGATCTGGAAAAGGCTTTGGTTGTAAATCAGCAGGACTTTGACGGTACGAACTTCGATGATCCTTGGCGTCATGTGGTCACACCAAAGCGTCCCGTCAAAAAGGAGGCCGAAGAAGTCCGGCCGGAATTTTTAGATTTGGTAGGATGGGCGTTTGGACCAGAAGGTATCAATTCACTTGATTTCCTTGCATTTGGAGACTTCTCGAATGGTTGTCGAGAGCCTCAGAACAATCTCGTCTTCTCCAGAAACCGCACGGGTAACAAGTGGGGGTTTTCGCGTATTCATGTGGATTGCGAAGAATGGCACGATGTGCTGGACCAGTATGGGGATGCGATCGAGGCGTGCCCGACAGACAGGCTGTTACACACCTCGGAAACCCTGAGCCAGCGAATCCTATACGGCAGCTACTAGTGTCGGCCAGAAGAGTAAATGCAAGAGAAACCCAATTGCACTTCTCTCAGGATCATCTCGGCTCTTGACTTGCCCCTTTATTCGCTGTGATTCACCACCAGGGGCGGGTTCTTGTGAGAAGGGGATGAGACCTAAGTGCCATTCGAGAATGACATTTGTCAGTAGTATGAAGTAGAACAAAGGAACAATGATACAGTATTGTATATTATTGTGACTCAATAATCCGAGAATGCCGGTCGCAGACTTGAGAATAAGCAGCTTATTGTTTGAGTGTCCCAATTTCATGCCAGAAATTAAGACAAACGGCAGAAATTAAGACAAACGGCAGAAATTAAGACAAACGGCACTAACTGGCCTCGAGAGGTTGACACAAACGAGGAGACAGCGAAATCATGAACCCAAAACGGGTTCTTTGGGCTTTTTCATCAATTATATCCCCTTGGTATCGTCTGTTCACGATCTGTATCCACCCAGCTTCGCAGACTGCTTGTATTCATTCTCTCACTCTGGTCAATGCGAGACAAGGCTCGGGTCAAGTCGCGCATGTACTCAGTTGCACGCCGTGCAGGTGGTTCGGAGGCTTCAAAAGGGCAGTTGAGCAATGCCACGCCTACGTCACGGACTTTATAGGCCTTAAAAATGATCGAAATTGTTAGCGAGCGTTCGAAATATGGCACTCTCGTGGTCAACTCACAAAATATAGACCGTTTGGTTCGATGTATGCATGGGGTATGCTATGAACTAAATGAAGTATCTGGCGACAAACGTCTTCACGTTCCGACCAGCTCGCTTTCAGGGCTGCTAAATGGCAGTCTCTCTCTGATTGGGATATATCAGGCCTCTTCGACATATCCTGTAGGATGAGATCAATCTGATCCAAGAGGGCGCTTTGGAGCCATAGATGCGTACCGTGTAGGTTTGCCCTCATGATTTCAAACTGGCCAGGGAGCGACTTTGCATCATCCTCGACCATCTCGTCAGCTTGGTAGCTCACGCTAGAATCCTGCTGAACACTGGCGGGGGAGGCTATGGATACTTCGTCTGGAAACCAGGATGAAGATGCCCACTGCCGGATTTCAAGGGGGGCGTCATCCAGCATGTATCGCATCTCCTGCAGAAGTTGTCGTAAGTGTGATAACCTATCTGTAGGTTTAACTCGCCGTTCCCAGTCACACAAGGCTGGCGTTAGAGCAAGCTGCGCGCTCTTGTGAAACACCCTAGAGTGTAAGTTGAACCCAGCAGTTAAGTTGAACTTTGCGGCGGTCCTGGAGTGATATTGGTGCATGGATGCTGCTGCTGGGGAAATAGCTGCAGGTGGGGAGATAGGAGATTCAAGGAGCTTGTGCTCGAGAATCTGCTCATCGTCGAGTTCCAAGGGGACGAGAGCATCAAAGTTTACCTCGGCTAGCATCCCATGATCGAAGAAACTCAACCGCTCTTGCCGTCCGCACTGGTACCACGCATGGCTTTGTTTTATAATGTTAGAAAGATGTTCATATAATGAGATGGGAGCTTGTAACAATAAGATGGGAGCTTGTAACAATAAGATGTAACAATAAGATGGGACAATAAGATGGAGGCTTGTTGAGATGGGATGGGAGCTTATGAAAATGCTTACGCATATGTATAAAAGCATAACCAGAATGCCTTTTTCCGCAGCTGGGTTTCGATGCAATTGAGTCCCTCGTAATCCGCGATGCGATGGATCCCCAGCAACCGACCGGTCTGCAAAAATTCGACCTCTAGCATGCGGCTACGGTTAGCCTGCCCGAGCTGGAAGCAACCCACAGATAATAGATAGCTCGTTGCCCACTTCTGGTGACTGACTTGGTCCCAGTAGGTGGCCGTCCGCATTTCCATGCACAAATCGATACAGGCATTAATAACCGATTCACGTGTCTGAAACTTGCATGTGGATAAACTGCCGGAAGTAAGAGACTGGTAGTAAGGGAATCTGGACGGAAGGAGACCGACGGCGACGACCACCAAGGAGAGGATCAAAGCGAGGAAATCTGGATCATCATCGCTTTGGTTGAGTCGACGGCGGAAGGTTGGGCGGTGTACAACCGGGATTAGAGGGTAGATGCGGGCTAGATAGTCGTCTATAATAACGAGAATCAAGCCTCGTGGGCCTATTTTCTCTGTTGCGAACCAAGGGCCACTGGCAGCAGTATCAACCTGGCGAGTCGATGGAGATTCAAATGACTGGGACGAGCTATGAATATCTCGTTGCATGATAGTTAAGCCGATTTTTCTATAGATAATTAGAGACTATCATACAACTTTATTTATAAGAAACTTACCTTCGCTTGGGGCCTCTTGTCTGTGTTGGCTTGAGAAAGGTACAGACGAGGTCGAGTCTGATGCACTCGCGACATCGTTCCATCCCCGTCGCCGTCGCCGTCCCTGTCCCCGTTCCCGTTCCCGCCCCCGTCTCCGCCTGCGCCTGCCCGAAGACGCAACGGCGGCGGCGCACTCGGCAAAAGTCACATGCTCGCCTGGCAATTGTCGACTGCCGTCTACTGTGATTGGGAAGGCCGCCGTCTTTCTCGGGGCTGCAACTCCTGCTCGTGGTGTCGGCCTCAGGGACCACTGCTACCGGGGACGAGGTCTCGTGAGATTTGTTGGAGCGCCGCATCACTGCCTTCCTGTACCCAATAGTAGATACATACCCCCAGCAGTTAATGTCGCGGATTCGTGGTGGTGCGGCGGGCAGTTGGCGAGGAGGGGAGAATTAAGCAGCGGAGAAAAAGGGGCCTCACCATGTGGTGCGTGGAGAAAAACCTCATTCCCGGTAGCCCATCCATGTTTCCGACGTTCGAATCAGGCAAGGTGAACCGCTTCGTCACGACAACGGGGTAAAAGGACCGAATATGTCACCGTCACGACTTGCTCCAATTTAACCCCAGATGATGGGCAAGCAATTGCCACGTTCCAAATAGCCTTAATATCCATCCCGCATTATGCTCTCCGCACCTCATGAACGCGACAGTGGAGATCTCAGAAGTAATCGAAAGGTAAGAAGTGGATTTCAGAGGCGGAAGTCACCGTAAACTAGACCTTCGTGTGTTGCTCAATATGGAGTCCGATTAGTGGAATGTCACTGTCAAACTTAGTAGACATGGGAGGCAGTGGGCACATATAGTAAACTGGCAATTATCACCATGGGTAGCTAGATCGACCAAGATACGATGAAACATTACTTGACTTTACCCATCATGTGATTGATGGTTTCAATTGTTGAACTCTGGATCTATAGCAGGACTGGCTGGCTTTGGCTGAGCACTTGGAAGGCCAACATTCGGATGGTTATGTATCGCCAAGAAGAACGTTTGGTTCGAGTGTGTTCGCTGAACGGATTATGCCTTCGCGCCGCCGTCTCTTTCAGCATTTTCTTCATGTTGCTCAACAATGGCACCCATCTTCTCGCTCGCGATCGCCACAGCTGCCATGTCGTCGCCGTCGAAGATGACGGCCATCTGCTCCAGACTGTACCCGCGAGTCTCGGGATAAAAGAAGTACACGGTGACGAACATGACAACAAGCACAACGATGAAGACGAGGTAATACTTCCACTGGATACTGTCGAGCGCGATGGGGTTGACAAATGTGTTGAAGAAGATGGCGGCGATCGTCGAGACCCAGGTGACGGTAACACCGTGGGATCGAAGGGTGAACTGCCAGATCTCGCAAGGGTAGGCTGTCATGAATGGAGTTCTGAGAATATGTTAGATTAGTCTTCCTTTGCATCATCAAAAGGGTCATGCGGAACTCACAGCGCAATATCGTAGCCCAGGTAGAATGTGAACAGGAACGGGATGACAGCAAGGCCGACACTTGGTGACTCATTGCGAGCGAATGTTGCACTCAGCCCTGTCACAATAACCATGCTGACGAGCATAATGCTTGCGGAGCAGAGGAACAGGACACGTCGGCCAAGTTTATCAACACTGCATGCAGCAGCAACAGCCCAAATCAAGTTCCAGACGTTCAGGCAAGCAGAGATCAAGGTCTGCTCAGTGACAGTCCTGACGCCAATCGAGTTCAGAATGTTGGGAAGGTAATATGTGATCTGGAAACTTGTGAGCCATCTGTATGAATATTATCACCGAGCTAAGGACTTGTACTCACAATTCCATTTCCAGCCCACTGTCCAAAGATACCGAGGGTAACAGAGATAAAGAGACGGTGGCGGTTTCCAGGGGTCTTGGTCATGTCGGCGTAGGATGCACTGCTAGCAGCCTCCTTCTCAGCGTTGATGGTGGCTGCGATCTCGCGCATCTGATACACGACAAGATCGCTGTTCCGGTCACCTCCAGCATGGTACTTGGCCAGGATCTCGGCAGCCTCTTCATTTCGGCCGACGCTGACGAGCCAACGAGGACTTTCGGGACACATGAGGAAACCGGGAAGAGCAAGGAATGGCAAGACGACCTGCATGATGGCAGGGATACGCCAGCACCAGTTAGAGGCAATGTTGCGGCAACCGAAAGTAACCCAGGCGCAGAGAGTACCGCCGACGTAGAAACCGCACATGAAAAAGCTGGAAGCCACAGAGCGGTGGGTAGGGTAAGCGATTTCGTTGATCAGGAGCGGAGGGCCATTGCCCAGCCATGCCGATGCAAAGCCAAAGAACAGTCGAGCATAAGTAAAGGTGACCTCATTTTGGGCTGCGCCTTGCATGCCCACGCCCAGAATAAGAAATCCGTAGCCGAGATAGATGCCAGGCTTACGTCCGTAGCGGTTGCTTACCCAGGCGGCACAGGGGAACGCGAGGCCGGTACCAAGCCAGTAGATGGAAGCAATCCATCCTAAGTAGGCGCCGCTAGGGTTACCCATGAACTCATTCCATCGTGTAAGAGCCAGCAATGAACCCATAATGGAGCCATCATATCCATTAGAAGATGCTAGCAATGCTTGTCAGCAGAATATTCTACTGTTGGGCCTCGGCAGGGTGAGTCGAAACTTACAGAACATTACAAGGGACAGAACAATATAGTTCAATTTGATGAGATGCCCGACTTTGTACCAAGGTCGGGTGTCCTTGGACAACGTGTCCAGAGGGTTCACAATCGCCGTCATTGTGACCGACTGCCTTGATTCCGGGCCTAGATAGGTTTGGAGAAATTTTGAGGAGGGTGGTTCCAAGAGTTGGGGAAGATGTTGTGGGAACCGCGATGTAAAGCCGGGGCGACGAGGATCTATATACAAAGCTTCACTGCGAACGGGGGTGGTGTCCTCGGTTCTGAACTTCTGATTCCGGCCTGTGCACCGCAGAGGAACAGTCTTCTAGCCGAGCTGGCCAATTCCTTCCGTATCACGAGGTCGTCCGCGTGGGGACCGGGCTCCAGCCATTCACTAGGCTCTCAAGTCACGCAACTTGTCACCGTTCCCCGTGGAGAAAGTAGAGTTCCGTTGCATTCAATCTCCTCATTCTGGGGACGTTCAGCTTCAACCCCCTGGTTAGCTTTTTTTCATTAGTCCAGGTTTGGGTTGCTGGATAGCGGAGAAATGAGTCAGTCCCTGCCGAGAAGTGGAAAATTAGCACTTGGTCCCACTCGTAGCAACATCGTGACGAGGTAAAGTGGCCCATGTCACTGCGTATTTCTCCCCTTTATTCTCCTCTGCCCTGTCTCAACGGCCCATGGTGGGTACAGGAGAGGCGAAACCAAACACAATCTGAATCAAACCCGGAATTAATAACAGTGTCAAGTGATGCTCAAATTCTTCATCAATGACAACCTGTGGCGCCGAGCGAGTTGAACTATTGACTGATCTGGCCGGTAAAATATCTCAATATTTTGGCTAGTGTGGTCAGATCATACGAGGAAGACGCTCCTACATTTATCGAATATTCCCTCGGCGGAAAAAAGAGTCGTCCAGTAAACTTTGGCGGTGTTGCAGAAATGGACGTTGAAGCCCTCATCGATCAGCTAACGCTGGAGGAGAAGGTTGCTCTCACAGCCGGTAAGATTGGCCCATCATTCTCACACTGACTGCTTCGTCACTTGCAAGAGCTCACACAGCTTTCACAGGAACGGGATGGTGGCACACAACGGCAATTGAGCGCCTCAACATCCCCTCCATACGCCTCTCGGACGGGCCAAACGGCGTGCGCGGCACCCATTTCTTTGATAGCACGCCTTCAGCATGTCTCCCCTGCGGTACTGCCCTGGGTGCTACCTTTGATACCGACATCGCAGAGCGCATTGGTCATCTGCTGTCCGACGAGGCCCATGCTAAAGGTGCACATGTTGTTCTGGGACCAACCATCAACATCCAGCGCAGTCCTCTGGGCGGGAGAGGCTTCGAGTCTGTGTCTGAGGATCCGGTTGTGTCTGGTGTCATCGCTGGCCACTATGTCCGAGGACTCCAAAAGTCGGGCGTGAGCGCTACCCTCAAGCACTTTGTGTGTAATGACATGGAGAGCGAGAGGATGGCTGTCGACTCGCTCGTGACGTCTCGGGCAATGCGCGAGATCTATCTTCTGCCATTCATGATCGCTACTGAGCTGGGTAAGCCCCGTGCGTTCATGACTTCTTACGGCAAGGTTAACGGAACCCACTGTTCGGAGAACAGCCACATCTTGCAGGACATTCTTCGAGACGAATGGAAGTGGGATGGCTTGGTGATGAGTGACTGGTTTGGAACATATAGCACATCCGAAGCGGTCAATGCCGGCTTGGACCTAGAAATGCCGGGTGCAACCAGATGGCGCGGTGTTGCATTGAGCCATGCGGTCTCCTCCAACAAGGTCAAAATGTCTGTCCTTGACGAACGAGTTCGGAACGTTCTGAAGTTGATCAAGCACGGATTAGAGGAGACATCGATCCCTCCGAACGCTCCCGAGAAGCAGCTGAATACTCCAGAGCACATTGCATTGCTTCGGGAAGCTTCGGCAAAGTCTCTCGTCCTGCTGAAGAATGACAACCAAGTCTTGCCATTCAGCCCCCAAAAGAAGACCGCCGTCATTGGCCCCAACTCCAAGATTGCCACATATTGTGGAGGTGGGAGTGCCAGTCTGCGAGCGTACGCTGCCATCACTCCGTTTGAGGGTATCAGGGCTGCTGCCGAGGATGTTGTGTTTTCTCAGGGCGCATATGGACACCAAATGCTACCTCTTCTCGGCGACTACCTGAGAACTCTGGATGGGAAGCAAGGATTCACTCTGCGGATGTACAATGACCCTCCGCCCTTGACGGGCAAAGACACCCGCATGGTGATCGATGAACGTGTGTTGGACGCAACCAACCCCTGGTTCGTAGACTATGAGCATCCTGAGCTATCAGAAGTTTGGTTTGCCGAGGCGGAAGGTATCTTCACCCCTGAAAGGTCTGGAGACTGGGATTTCGGTCTTGCCGTCCACGGTACAGCCGAGTTGTTCATCGATGAAGAATTGGTTGTGTCAAATATGGAGAACCAGCGTCCCGGAAGCAGCTTCTTGGGCTCTGGAACAGTAGAAGAGACTGGCAGCAAGAGCTTGGTCGCCGGCCAGAAGTATCGCCTCCTTGTCAAGTGGGGATGCTCCAAGACCAGCAAGCTAAAGATCTCCGGCGGCGTTGATTTTGGCCAAGGAGGTCTTCGCTTCAGTGGATGCCCGAGATTGGACCCTACAGCCGCTATCAAAGAAGCGGTCGAGATTGCCCAGTCAGTCGACCAAGTTGTGCTCTGTATTGGTACTAGTGGCGAGTGGGAGTCTGAGGGACAAGATCGCGCAAGTATGGCTCTCCCGCCGGGGACAGATGAGCTTGTCGCCGCTGTACTACAGGCCAACCCCAAGACAGCCATCGTTGTTCAAAGTGGTACGCCGGTGGCTATGCCCTGGATCGATCAAGCCAGTTCAGTCGTTCAGGCATGGTTTGGCGGTAACGAATGCGGAAATGGCGTTGCCGATGTCTTGTTTGGCAAGGTGAACCCGGTAAGTATAACCGACGAACCTATAGCTGTGCGTTAATTAGTATTTCTAACCATTATTTTTAGGCCGCAAAGCTTCCACTCACCATTCCTCGCCGTATTGCAGACAACCCTGCCGCTTTAAGCTTCCGATCGGACAACGGAAGAGTGCTCTATAGCGAGGATGTTTATGTGGGTTATCGATGGTATGACACTCTCGACATTGAACCTCTTTTCCCCTTTGGACACGGGTTGTCATACACCAACTTTGCTGTATCCAACCTGGAAGTTGAAGCTTCCAATCCCGAAGAGATGACTGTCAAGGTCCAGGTTAAGAACACAGGTGCCATGTCTGGTGCCGAAGTTGTCCAGGTGTACATTGCGCCAGCAGCATCAACCCCACTGAATGCATCCCCGAGGGAGACCATCACACGGCCGTCCAAAGAGCTCAAGGGTTTTGCTAAGGTCCATGTCGAGCCAGGGGCTACTGAAGCCGGCGAGATAAAGCTGGACGTTCTACGCGCCACGAGCTACTGGAGCGAGATGGAAGATTGCTGGCGTAGCGACGCAGGCGAATACGGTATTCTGGTGGGCACGAGCAGCCGAGGGGCTTTCCTCGAGACCTCGTTTGTGCTTCAAAAGACGCGACGGTGGAAGGGTTTGCGCGCATAGTTTCGTTGAGTAGGAGCTTGAACTGGGTATCGAATCGAGAAATCCTTGCGGGCTTGGTCTTGAGGGGCGCGTTTCATCTGATGTCACCGTGACCTGTGAATTCGATCAATTTCTCTGTGTGATGCATGAAATCAATTGCTGGTGGTGACTTACCATGGCAAACAAGCAGAGCAGATCAGGCTCCTTAATGCTCTGTAGCTGCATAAGCGTCTTCCATGCGTGGAAAACTAGATTCGTTCTCGAAGTAGAAGAGTTTTTGCACAGCAACATAACTTCTAGGCTTGGATGTAGAGGAAAAAGGGATCGGAATCATGGGAGTCATGTGAGGGATGTAGAACTCTTGGAAGGAACGGAGCTGTTGGGGGGGGAATCAGCCCTTGTCACGCAGTAGCGCTAAAATTACAGCAAGGGTCCGATCACTTAACCCTATACTTATAATATATCTACCCTATATAAGGAATTAACCTATAAATATATAATAAGAAGCTTAAAAGCTTATAGTTAAGAGTAGTAGGGATTAGAAATAGATCTATAGTTATATATCTATTATATATAGTTAATTAAGTAAATATTATTAGTATAAATAGTATAGAATCTAATAAGCTTACTAATAAAGTTTAATAAATATTTTAAATATTTATAAAGTTCCTATTCTATAATTTCTATACTCTATTTTAGTTCTAGCTTTATACTTCTTTATAAAAGTTATAAGCTTAGAAGGATTCTTAAGTAAATTAATTAAGATTTTATAATTTCTATTATTATTATATAGTAACTATATCCTTTATTTATTTTATTCTATACTATAATAAGTACTAATCTTATTTATTAGATATTCTAATCCTTTATTTAAAAACTATTCTTTCTTAAACTCTTTATTAAATCTATAAAAGCTAAGATATTAGTAGAACTTAATATTAAAATTAAATATAGATCTTATAAAGAGTATCTAGATTAGTTTTCTTACTTATAATTCTATATAGAATTTTATAAGGTTTAGGATATTATTAATCCTAATAGAGAAAAGAATAGGAATAAGTATAATTATTCTTTTACTTTTCTAACCCTCTAGAAAGTAATTAAAATCCTAGTTAATAAGTATTTTATAGGGACTTCTAATATTTCTCCTAATATAAATAATATATTTATAAAAATAAGTAGCTAGAGATCTAATTTATAAAGTTTATTAGTTACTTAATCTAATAGTAATATTACTACTAAAGGATAACTTATAGAGTTTAAAAAAGTAGAATATAAGAAAAAGAGATTAAATATATATAAAGTAATCTTTAAAATAAAAATACTAAAAAAAATAAAGCTCCTTAAAGTAGAATATAATATTCTATATTTAGTATATAAAGCTAGAATAACTATACTAATTACTATCTATAACTAGATTATAAAAACTATTAATCTAGATATTCTTTTTTAAATTATTATATCTTTAAGTATTAAAAAATAACTATCTATATATACTATTATTATTTATATTAAAGAAAAACTAGTACTAATAGATAAATCTATTTATAAAGTAGTTTATAAAATATATCTAAATATTATTATAAAACTAATTAAATCTAGCTCTAGTATTAAGATTATATAGTAATACTTAGAATAGGAAAAAGCTCTTATTATTATTTATTTAACTAAGATTTATAAGATTAAAGGAGCTCTTAAGGTTAAAGATTTTCTTAAAGCTATTACTATATTTAAACCTAATTAGATTAATATATAGATATAGGAGTTAGTTTAATTTAAATATAAAGAAGCTAAATTATAAAAAACTCTTAAAGAATATAGAAAGTAATTCCTTATATTTATAAAAATACTTTATATAAGAAGGATTATCTATTAGGGAGTTTATATTATCCTTAGTAAATACTTAGATAAACCTAATAATAAGAGTAAAAATAAGAGTAAAAGAAAGTTAAAGAAGTATTTTTATTATAAACTAAACTCTCTATTCTTCTATCCTTAGTTATCTAAGGAGTATTAATAAGTTTAAGAAACTCTTAATCTAAACTTATTAATAAGAGAAGAACTAGCTAAAGTAATTAAAATTAAACTTAATTAATCTAAATAGAAAAACTTAAAAGAAAAGCTTAATAAAAGGAAAAATAAAGAGTAATTATACTATTCTAAAGATATTATTACTATTATAATAAATTCTATATTAATAAAGATAGACTTAACTCTTAGTAGAATCTATTCTACTATCTTCTTTAAGTATCCCTTATATCTTTATATACTCTTAGATAACTATAGAGTAACTTATATAATTAATAATATAAAGCTTTTTAATAAAGAAAGTTATACTTATAGTAGATTAGATAATATAATTAAAGCTAGAAGCTTAGTACTTTTAATCTATAGCTAAGGTACTTATATTATAAAGAGTATTCTTAATAGATCTAATAGTTCTAAACTAGACTTAGTTTTAACTAATATTATCTATATCTAAGATTTTTATCTTAATATTATATTAGAAGCTTTACTAAAGAAGAACTTAGAGATATAATATCTAGAACTTAATAGTATACTTTATTTTAATACTTTTAGAAATAATATTATATTAGCTAAGCTTATTAATAAGTTTAATTTATTCTTTCTTAAATATAAAACTAATTCTTCTTACTTTAATACTTCTAATATAATTAAAAGAAGCCTAATAGGGATTATAATACTCCTTATAATTAATAATAGAATAATAAATATTATACTATAAATATTTAGATCCTTATAGAATACCTTAGTCTAGAAGCTCTATATACTATAATCTATTAAGTATATAGTATTAAACTAAAGGGAACTCTAAGATTAAAGTATAAGTTTTATATATAAGTATATATAAAGTAAGTTATTTTAAAATATAAATCTAAGTATAAAGCTTTATACCCCTTTTAGAAGATCTTTTAAAATCTCTTTTTCTTTCTAGATAAATATAATAAGAAGAAAATAATACTTCTTCTAAAAGAGTATTATTATAATTATATCTTTCTAAGGTTATTATTCTTAAAGTTAAAACTTAATATTCTTAGAGAATTATAAGATTTTAAAGTATATATAAAATAATATTTTAAACTCTTAATTTATATCTTTAAAAGTAATAATAAATATACTATATTTAAATTAAAAGAATTAAATAATTATAAGCTCTAAGTAAAAGAGCTTAGTATTAAAATTAAGTTTACTCCTATCTTAATAAAGAAATCTAATAAATTTATTAAGTAAACTAGCTAGAAAGTAGTAGTTAAAAGTATTATAATATAAATTATAATAGGATTACTAACTAAGCTATAGCTTAAAGTACTAGAAGTATTAGTTTAATTATATAACTACTCTCTAAAAGTATTAAATAGAATAATTATACTAAATAAAGTATTAGAAGATTAGTTTACTAACTTCTTTAGATAGTATCTAATTAAATTTATATACTATATAATAGTTAATCTTTATCTAAATTAGAGTAATATTTATATTTATAGCTACTATATATATCTACTTAATAGATTCTATAAGATTTAAAGCTATATTAAAGAATTTAAAGTAGCTCTAAGAGAATATATTAGATATTTAGTTAGATATATTATTTCTAATATATATAAGATATAGATTCTAATATTTAATAGGGTTATTATAATAAGAAATATTAAGTTTAATAAAGAGAAATTCTTTAAGGATAATAATAAGGAAGAGAAAATATAGCTAATTAGAGTATTAAACTCTTTTACTATATTAAAATAGATAGAAAAGGAAATATAAAATACTATTAAATCTAGTACTCTATATATATTCTACTTTAAGAGTATATTATTACTAAAGAGTTAAAACTTAGAGATAAATAAAAATAAGAATATCTTATTTAATTAAAAACTAATAATACTTAAAGTTAGTAAATATCTAGATTAGATAATAGATATTTCTCTAGAAATTAATATACCTTAGGTAGAACTTTTAATATCTAGATAGATATCTAAGTTTTAAATAATATTTAATTAGATTATTTAGAATAGTAGTTTAAATTAGAAATTAGCTCTAGATATAGAGTATATACTTATTTCTATATAAAGTAATTAATTTATTATAAATTATAGTAACTTAATTACTTAAGTAATAGAGTATATAAGTAATAAAGTCTATAGATATATACTCTCTAATAAAAGCTTAGAGATATAGAATCTTATTAAAACTATTAAGGATTAAAATAATAACCTTATATCTAACTAGCTAAGTTTAGAAAATCCTAATACTAGTTTTATTATTAGCTTAGAGGATAGCTATATATCTACTAATAAGTTATCTAATAATAAGAAGGAGAACTATAGAACTCCTTAGTAGCTACTTACTACTAAGAGTAAAAATACTCTTTTAAGTATATCTACTTATAATAAGATAAGGAAGATAATATCTTAAGCTTAGAAAAGAAAAGAAATAGTTAGGGATTCTATTATAATTAATACTTATAAATATAAGAAATTAGATTCTAATAATAAAGATTTTAAAATAGTATTTAAAAACTTATAAACTAAATTAATAGTAGAAAAACTAGCTTTAAAAAGAAACTTAAGATTAATATAAGTAGTATATATAATAGCTATTTAATAACTATTAATTAGACTACTATTACTTAGAAGAAGTATAAAGAATAATTATAGAGATAGTACTTATATAATAAATAGTAAAAGCTACTTAATAATACTTAGTAGAATTATACTTAAGAAAACTAAAAAGCTTATAGCTATAGTTTAATTAGCTTAGTTAAATATAAATCTTAAGTATCTCTAAAGTATAATTATACTTTTAAGTATAATTACTATAAGCTTTATATAGTTAATAATATAAAGAATAGATATAGTACTCTTTAAAATATAGTTATATTAAGATAATCTAATTAATCTATAACTATCTAAAGACTAAAAAGAGCTTTAAAAGTATCTATATAAATAGCTCTTTATAAAAGTAATAGATTTAGAAATTAAAAACTTAATTAGTTAAGAAAT